CATTCCTACCGATCCCCACCCAACAACATCCCCCAACATGGCCCCAAGATGGCCATTCCTACCGATCCCCACCCAACATCCCCCAACATAGCCCCAAGATGGCCATTCCTACCGATCCCCACCCAATAACATCCGTCAACATAGCCCCAAGATGGCCATTCCTACCGATCCCCACCCAACAACATCCCTCAACATAGCCCCAAGATGGCCATTCCTACCGATCCCTGCCCAACAGCATCATCCCTCAACATAGCCCCAAGATGGCCATTCCTACCGATCCCCACCCAACAGCATCCCTCAACATAACCCCAAGACATTCCTACCAATCCCCACCCAACAACATCCCTCAACATAGCCCCAAGATGGCCATTCCTACCGATCCCCACCCAAGAGCATCCCTCAACATAACCCCAAGATGGCCATTCCTACCGATCCCCACCCAACAGCATCCCTCAACATAGCCCCAAGATGGCCATTCCTACCGGTCCCCACCCAATAGCATCCCTCAACATAGCCCCAAGATGGCCATTCCTACCGATCCCCACCCAACAACATCCCCCAACATAACCCCAAGATGGCCATTCCTACCGATCCCCACCCAATAACATCCCTCAACATAGCCCCAAGATGGCCATTCCTACCGATCCCCACCCAACAGCATCCCCCAACATAGCCCCAAGATGGCCATTCCTATATACCGATCCCCACCCAACAACATCCCTCAACATAGCCCCAAGATGGCCATTCCTACCGATCCCCACCCAACAGCATCCCCCAACACAACCCCAAGATGGCCATTCCTAAACCCTTCAATATAAGATAGAATTAATTTCATGATCTATAGGAGACCCCTTAGCTTAGATAGATAAGATATCCATGATTTCCCAAATATTATAACGCGCGTCCCCTTGCCCCTAATATAATATCAAAATTATACGGACCTTTGGGGGAGAGAATGATAATCTTTATTTTTCCTTTCGTATATCATCAATCTCATTGACACCTTATATGCCCAAGAGTCCGTCCATGAAGAATACCCATTATAATAATATATTTTGATATTATTCATGATGATATTTCATATATAGACATGCCATTCATTAAGATCATCCCATTAAAAATCCAATACAATAATAAATTCGCGAACAAAACGCGTGTTAACTTGTTTTTTTTTAAGACGTACGAATTGTATTTTAACTTCATGAATATATGAATGAAACCATCAAAGAATTATTGTCCCACGAAGTAATAATAGAAAGAGCGCGAAATAAAAAAGGAAATAAGAGAACATATTCAAATTGAAGTCCATAATATATTCTCTTCTTCTTCTTCGGGGCATGAAGGCATTCTCTCTCTCTCTCATTTCATGAAAATCATGAATTTCAATACGTTCGTTTATATTTTAATTTAGTTCTTTCATTCATTTGTTATTCTCTCTTATTTTCTGGCGTCTTCCCTCAATTGGGGGTGGTGGTGGGTGCATTTGCCCAATCGTGGCCCGTCTCACTTGGGATTTCGCCTGTTTTTTCGTCTATTGTGGTTCTGGGAGCTCTTTGTTTCATTTGAGATGATTTTTCTACCATATCTTTCTTGCGGATGTCACTTGCACCGTAGCTGGTTTCACCCGTACGATCGATGATCTTTTGCTGCTGACCGACGATCAGTGTTATTCTCTGGTCTTTTTTTACTCCGTTCACTATATTATAATTCATACGTTCACATATTCACTGATAATTATAATATTGAATTCTCTTCGTATTAATTAAATATTATATCGCGCGTATAAAGATTCTTGATTCGTGCAAGAAATCCCTCTTGTTTTGCGGTGTTCATCTCGTGGCATTTCCAGAAGCGTTCCATTGTCGTGTTCATGATGCCGGGACGCTTCGTCTCCACCTTCGCCATCGCCAGGCCAAGCCCTTCCGTCAACGATGCGTGGGAGACATGGATGGCAAGATTAAAGGACCGGAAGTCGATGCAGTCCGACGTGTGCCGCCTCGGGGTGAGACGTGTTTTCGGGTGAATGTGCGAGCACTTCTTCGTCCAGTTCTCATGGATGTGGCAGGGTTCAACTGACCAAGATAGATGGCTTGCGCCATGTTTGAGGTGGCGGCATCGCTCAAGTTCTCATGCTTAAATATGTCCTCTGAGTGCCCCGGAACCCTGACTAACCTGACTGCATCTACAGCATTCGAAGAAGCTAAGACTTGGGCACGTAGTCACGCGCGTCCGCCACCACATTGATTGAATTCAATGCATCCAGAGATTTGTTTTTGAGCCCTGACTTGTTGACCAGTCCTGCCATGGCGTGCATGTCCGACACCAATCTTGGCATGGGTGTCTGGCGTGTCATCAACAAGGCGCTTTCGGTGAGCAGAACAGAAATGCGCCGCCATTCCTCCTGGCTTCCAGACATAAGTGCTGGAACGTGGCCTTGCAGCACCGTGAACCGGCCGTTGTCCATCAGATCGCTGCTCGCGAGGAACTGCATGGGCAATGTATCATAGTCACTCATCCACCCGCCACCAGCTTCAGACATGGCCAAGTAGCGCATATAACACATCTTCTCGTAAGCTGGATTTGGCCCAAGTGGGATACGGTTCAATCTCAGGAGGAGCTGCTTGTAGAACGGGGACTTCTTGGCATCATCAAGGCGCAGCACGCGAGTGTGCCAGCCAGCTCGCCGCCAGTGATACTCCTTAGTGCGGTCAAGCATGTGATAACTCCTTTGCCTTCTTCTTGTGCTCAAGGTGCAAAGCTGACTCAAAATGGATTCAGGAACTTTGGGTAGGTGCTTCCCACAGAACCAATCCCAAACCCATCGAAGGCTCCCAAGTTGCCAAGGTAAGTTGCCTGGCATTCTCCCGGTCGTCATGCGCACTTTGCTCATAGAATGTGTGCATCACACGAGGTGTCAGTGGATTTGGAACAAATCCTGCCCGCCAATGATCAGCAATAGCTGCAGCTCGACATGGCTGCTGCTTTGCTCCAACACAATACTCGGCCTGCGACTTTTTGCACGTGACTGGACATGTGAAGGAACCTTCAGGCCAGCGGCACACATCGCCATGCAGGCCCTCATGAACCTCCAGCACGGCCCTTCCATGGCACGGCTCCGGGGCCCAAGTTGCATTACAGGATGCCCAATGGTTCCAAAGATGAAGGGAAAGCTCCTCTCCCATCACGGAGCTAACATAGCTGGCAATCCAAGACGGGTACGCAGATCTCGTCTGACAAATAACCCCATGCTGTGTGGCAGTTCGCCAGGATCCTATTTCTTTATCGTTTAAGGACAGCTCGAGGCCGAGAAAGCTTGTGAGGGAACGTAGGGTTTCCTCGGGGTGTACAGCCACATCCTCAAAAAACAATAGAAAAGACCCAGGCAACTCTGAATGCTCACGATATCGAGCTTCTGTCCAATTGGACACAGCCCGGATACGTTGGATGGCACATTCGTATGTACTGGCGCAGTTCTTGTGTCGCAGAGCAGTGGCCACGTCACGAGGGTCACGCAAGAGCAACACATGCAAGCTAGACTCCATGGAAACATCGCTCTTGTGATGAAACTGTTCACCATGGTCGACCTGACAAATGACCTCTGGGCATCTCGCCCACCATGTGCAGCCTTGTGCCATGAAACCCTTGATGACATTGCAAAGCGATTTGCCATGACTTCCAGCATGCGCGATGAACGCAACAGACCTTGCAGTAGCCAGAAGCCTCAAGGTAGCACAGTGTAGAAGCCTTAGCTTGTGCCGAATGGCGCGGCATGGTGCGGAAGCAGCCGAAACCACCAGACTCAGCAATTTGCAGTGGCACTCAGACTTTGATGGCCTTTTTTTTTACAGGCTACGGCCACTCTGCGGCCTGACTTCTCGACCCACTAGCGGCATGGGGATCCGTATTGAAATCTGACATCCCAATTCCCAGCCTTGAGCATGCCTGAGGCTTTTAATCAAATCCCATCGAACAGCTAAGCTGCAGCAGCAGGACTGCCAAGAAACCTCGACTCATGAGACGAGGTCACGCCGGAAGCTACCGAGTCCACACCAAGAGCATGTGGATAAGCTTTGACAAACCAAAGTCTTGACGTGCCAAGAAACAGGCCACCGCCTTCCACAAGCTGAAAATCTCACGGGCCATGCTCTGTGTATGGCCTACTAACACACTTACAAGAATTGTCCAAGGTTAAACTGTGAAAAAGCTACATGCGGTAACTGCAGCTAGCTGTCGCACTCTCAACCTTGCATGAACCCATCCGAACCCTAAACTGAAACCCTAAACCCACACTCTGAGAATTTCTGTTGCTACCGCCGACTTTCTTCGCACAAGCATGTCGAAACGACTGGCACAAGAAAATCTTAGAGCGCCTACTGCACAATGCTGTGGGAAAATGACACAGCAAACGTGGCCGAACAAGAAAGCTGGTGAACGATGTGCTGCCATGTGATTTCCGCTTAATCTGGCAGCAGCTGTGCTGCGAACCAAAATTCAAAACCGCAGCGCGCACGATGCTGTCGTCAACTGGAATGCATTACTTCCATGCGGCACTCCCACACCCATTTTCGCCCTGAATCAAGCTTGGTAGCACAGCAGCTTGGAGGTAAATCGCTTCCTCTCAAAGCAGGCCCCCTCCCGCCTGCAAAGCGTGTTATATGGAGCTGAACATCTCAATTCATTTAAACCACCCTCTTTTAGGCTCTTGTGAGGAAACAGGATTTCAGAGGTGAAAGTAAATGAGATGTTCAAGCGTGGTGGGTTTTGCGTGAGGCCTTGCAAGATTTGCTTTAGTGTCCCAAGCCACCACTTAGCTGCTTGCGGTCCCTGGGGTTTCCTAGAGGTTTGTCGGATGTCCCTCCTTTGGCGCTCGCAGGGTTTGGTGAGGGCCCTGCAGGTTTGTCGTATGTCCCCTCCCTTGGTGCACACAATGCCCAGAGATCTCGGCATTGCCGATGCGAAGCCCGGCTTCAGAGGGCTGCATATGTGAGTGTAGCGTTATGACAAACTTCTCAGACTTCTCAGCGAGGCGCTAAATGGCCATGTGGAGGCCCATACGTTCCTGCGTTCAATGCTTCAGGAGCCTTCACCGTCAAGGGCGAAAGCTCTTTTGTTCCCATCCCATCGTGCATCAACATCCACACATACTTATCATACTTGTACTTGTTTTGCGTGACTGTGTCTGCGCGAAGCCCTTAACAGCGTCTGCAGGCCCGTTCCCCTAAACCCTAAACCCTAAACCCTAAACCCTAAACCCTAAACCCTAAACCCTAAACCCTAAACCCTAAACCCTAAACCCTAAACCCTAAACCCTAAACCCTAAACCCTAAACCCTAAACCTCACAGCGTCAAAGGTGGATCGGGCAGTCCTCATTTCGAAGCCCGGGGGGCTCAGATCTCAGAAGCAGCTGTCGCAAGATGTCGCAAGGAATGGGGCGTGGGGGAGGGGGGGCAACTCGGACCACCCCGTTTTGATTCCTGTTCTGAGACTGTCTGGATGAAACCACACCATCACTCTGGCATCGAGATGTGCATTATTTTCACAAGTTACTTAAGTCTGGGCTGGTGTTTCGTAGAAAGCTCTGAAGTGTGGCCTCTTCATCGAACGTGGGAGCTCAACTTCAACCCGCTGGTCCGTGCTTCTAACTTGACCCTGATGCAAGAAGAATCCGTCTCAAACTCGGCACGAGCTGCTCACCACGACTCGCAGCTCTGTCAGAATTGCACATGGCAATCCACTTCTCTTGGGTGCACTTACGCGCAACTAAGAACGCCTCTGCAAAGCTGCTGTTGACCAGCGCTGGCATCTGTCGCTTGTCCTCTCCCCGTTGCATGCCCCGCTTGACTTGAAAACTTGGACGTCGCAGCCTGCTCAAAGAATGTGAGCGTTGAACTGCCGAGTGCTAATCCTGGAAAGTCAAGCAAAACCGCAGCCCAACAAAACGTCGGTGCATGTGCATGGTGTAGCCATTCAGAAGGACTAACAACTCCAAGATGGTCATTTCCGGGATCGCCGCGCCAATGGGCCTTGCTGGAGGCATGACATCCACTTCCAGCTCAAAGGGAAGAGCGCTCGTCAAAGCGGCACTGTCTTGGTTTATCGCCCGGATGGCGCATAAGGGAATGATCGGCACCAATACGGTGTCGTTGAAGCGTGCATGATGCAGCAGGTCCCGCTATGTCAAGCACCCATGCCATTGACCACTTGACTTTGATCGGCCGCGATTGCAGCGCCGAGGTCAATCCTGACAGGAATGCAATCTCCAACAAGCTGTCTTCAGCAGGCGACTGAGCGAAGTGTTCTTCGGGCAGACGCAAAACCTCTGTGTGGCCGCAGCACATCGAAAGAGAGGACATACTTCTCGGAGCGGGCGCCGCCCACAAGTCGGATCATATCGACAACCTCGCCAATGCCTGTGCAGCGTGCGAATGTGATCGTATTCCCCGCACCGGCCGCCCCTTTGCCGAAGCCCACCTGACAGCTGAAATCTGGTGGAGGCTTTAGCAGGTGCCTTCGTCGCACTGGCCAACGGCTGGCAAGACAAGCAGCAGACTGAGAAGCGCCAAGCGGTTCGAAACCATGGTGCGAAAGTTGCTCAACCTTCCAAGACACTGCCAGAAGAAATGCGAGGGTCAGCATGAATGCACATGCTGCGCGCGCAAGTGTATTCTTGACTTTCCCCTGATCGATGGCACTGTCTATTCCGGCAGAACCCGCCTCGTACTTGTCAGCAACCATCACAGAAACGGCCGACTGCTCGATGGCTTTATGAGTTGGTTCAGGGCCACATCCACTTTGTGCCGAAGTATGCTGCCGTCCACCCTGCTCTTTCAGAATACTAGTGCTGCAATGACAATGATTTGTCTTTGATGCTCTTTTACGTTGAACGGCTCGATCTCACTCTTGATCCGAAACTTGATGCTTTCAAAACCTATGAAGTTGGCGTCGGTCCTTTTGCTATTCCTAAATTCGCAACCATAGTAGCCCCAAGCATGTTTGGAGAGCAGGTAGTGGGTATTCAAAGCAAGCATGTGCAAAGCAACTAGACAAGCAGCAGCAGCAGCAGCAGCAGCAGCAGCAGCAGCAGCAGCAGCAGCAGCAGCAGCAGCAGCAGCAGCAGCAGCAGCAGCAGCAGCAGCAGCAGCATGATGCAAGAACTCTGGGCCAGCGCTCGACAAAACAATGCCACATGTTTAAGGATATGTTCTCAGGTATCACTCCTTTTTTAAAATTCAATGTCTGTGTGAGCCTTGTACATGGCCATCCACTTCTAGGCGCCTCTGCGGGCGTGCTGGATGACGAACAAACTTGGTATATGTGGTCATCCACATGTCGATGGTTGTCACACAGACACGCAGAAACACGCAAATCTCAGTGTCACAGTCTCAGCATTTTCGCTGCCAATGCGGGCGCTTGAGGCCTGTTTGCCCAGCGATCTGTGCTTCAAGGCCACGGCTGCACGATGTGGCACAATGGAACTCCCGCAGTGTATGCATGCGTACAAATAACAGTCATACCAGACAGTACTTGGACCATAAGAGTGTAGTCCATGACTTGCTTCGGCAACTTTCGTCTCACACATCATCAGGTGGGCCCTTAGGACCTGGAGGGTCCCGGTGATTCGCCGGTGATGGCTGCTCTTCTGGGGCAGACAGCAGCGCCAGCCAGTCAGCCCTGGTCTTGCACTGAGCGTGCCTTTGCACGTGGTCCACAATCGACGATTCGTAAAGCCCACTGTCATCGTAGAAGGCCAGCGCCAGCGTACCTGGGACAGGTCTGTGTGTCTTAAGACCTGAGCCTGCAACGTAAGAAATCATGCGATTCAGGATCTTCAGGTGCTGAGCTCAGCCAGGGAGCTGTCTAGTGGATCATCCACGTCCGGGGACAACAGCAGACCATAGAGGCTCTCCAGGAGGTTCCTGACCTTTGTCTCGCGTGTCCAGTTCCGGCCCAGGATGGAATGGCACACTCGCCCGTGCTGGTTAATGTTGCAGTGCTTGATAGGCGTGATGAACCGAATCTCTGGAGGCTCCACAGGAAACTCCGCTGGAAATATGATGTAGAGCAGCCACACTCCTCCAGTGTACGGTGTCCCCTCTGGGCCAGAAACTGTCACTTTCCAACACCCGATGTCATCACAGTTGGGGAAGATGTCGAAAGCTGGGTGCGGCTCCCTATGCAGGTGACGCATCTCGGCCAGGATCCTTCGACTTCTCTCGGCACCTTCCTTAGCTGCGGCTGCTCCCAGGGCTCCCAGGGCTCCAAGGGCTCCCTCCTGCGTCTGATGCAGGGCGTCTTGCAAGCCATGTACGCACGCATCCAGTTGTGGGGGCCGCCTTCGAGGGGGAACCTGGTCCTCGCTGCATGGGTCCGGTGGATACCGGGCCGGGCCAAAAGCTGCAAGGCATGCCTGAGAAGCCAAAGGCATGTTCCGCGGGCCCATGCAAGGCCGCTCCAGGCTGAACAAGAAGGTCTCCAACTCGTTCAAGCGCACCGCATCTTTGAGGCTGGGTGGCCGAAAGACGTAGCCTCCGCTCGCTTTGCAGATTGCGTGAAGGTCAGGGTTGCTTTCGTTGCCGATCATCACAGCATCCGCAAGCACACCCTTCTTCTGTAAGAAATGCGCGACCTGAGGAGCTTTCTTGTGAGAGCTCGTGTCGCAGCCGTCGGAAAGAACTACAAGCCTGAGTTTCGGAGGCGTCCCCTTCCTCCCTGGTTTCGCAAGTTCCCGGGTCTTCCAAACATCCAGCATTTCAGCTGCTTGATGACACAGCTGCTGGTCGGCATCTTGGATCGGCGCGAGCGCTGGCAGACCAGGGAATTCCGTCGGAGTCATACAGGTCGTTTCTTGCGCGCTCAGCGAGCCCTGTTACGTTCCACACAGGAGGTGGACCTCAGCCTGGCTCTCAGAGTTTGGGATTTGCATCCGACAATATGCCTCTCGCCAACCACTACATGTTGGACAACTGTCCAGTTGTTCGGAGCACCGGTTTGGATGTTGAATCCGGGAAGGCCTTCATATGGTTACCTGGTTCCCTTCCTTTCTTTGTGCATGACTTGTCTAAGCTTCGGATTGATTGCGCTGAGGAGGCCAGGTTTTATGCAACGCGCATAGATGAGCATGTGCCTATTTTCACCAGCAAAGTTCAGTTTGTCCACGGCGTGGCTGCATCAGCTGATTCTCTTGAAGGGTCTGGTAAGGAAAGCCGAGGCACGGCATCGAAGAGCCGAGTGTTTCCATCAGGCTTCACTTCAGAAATGCTGTCGCGAAAGCTCTCGTAGGCAGGAGTAAGCTCACAGCGGACCTCTACAGAATCACCGAAGCATACCAAGCCAATGGCACAGGGGTTGTTGTAGGCCAATGACCTGTCAATAAAGGCGTTGAAGAGCTGCTTGACTACCTGAAGCGAGACTCACCCTGCAACTTGTCGGGCTACAATTAGTCCACATGTGAATGTAACCGGCATAACGGCTTAATGCATTGCTGGTAACATGTTCACCAAGATGACTAGAATGTGAGTGTGCAGAAATGTAGCCCTTACAGTATATTACCAGACCTACTTGCCTGAGATGTTGGCGTCCAATTTCATCAGCAATACGACCAAGCATGCCAATCTACATTGAGTCAACTTCCCATGATTTGATGAAGCTGAGATACAGTGATTCTATCGAGATAGCGGCCGCGTGCCTTCGCACGCCGGATCTTCTCTCTCCCCTGACGATGTAAGTCAGACTCAAGCATGATCTCATCTGCGCAGTCCACGTAGTCCCCAACACAACGATCGTCCGAGAGGAGGGTGCCGCTGCGGAAGCCGTCGCCCACCTCATGAAATAATGGAACAACATGTGCCCAAGCCAGCACGTGAGTGACGCTGATCGTGCACGACACAAACATCACAAAACTTAAGACTCTTCCACAAATCTCACTGCTAACTGTCCAAGCGACTTGCTGCAAGTTGAACCAGAGGTCCATGTGACTTGGTCCGCTGGACAGCTGCTGGGATTGCGGCAGCAATGACCAGATGCGACATTTCAAGGAGAGGATCAACTCACAGGCTCCCACCTCCAACTGCATCACCGAGCCCGACAAACCCTGCCGCACCAGCACTACCCGCACCTTCTTGTTGCGGTGGCATGTCTGAGCAAGTGGAGAGAAAGTGAACATCTCCAGCGGAGAGCCATCAGTAACCCCAGCTCTCCTGAGCTCCAGGAGCTCTGGCAGGAGGTTGCCAGCATGATAGACCACCAAGTGAGAAGTTGCCACTCCGAGGATGGTCCTCAGCTTTTGCTTCACAGTAGCTGCTGTGGCAGGGGCTGGCAGCTCCAGCTCGACCATCTCACTTGTGTAAGACTGGTAAGAGTGGGGCATGTAGCACACCACGCGCAATCGTTCTTGTTCTGAAACTGTTGGGATTGCTGGTTCTTTCGGGGCAGGGTGGCAATCACGCCAGTCCTGTATTTGGGACCGCAGCACCTGGTTTGGAAAGAGTGTCGTATCGGTCAATCTTTGCCCAGTCATTGGCGATGTTTGTGCCTTCGAGAACCATGCTGTGATGGCATCGCTTTCGTAGGTGAAGCCATCCGGTGCACAAACAGCATGTGTCATCAAGCTCCTGGTGATGGGACAACAGAACTCGGGGGGTGGATCATCATCCGCATGTTCTAGCAGAACCTTGGCAAACGCTGACTTGTACTTGACCAATCGCCTGGCATCATCGACGGAGCCTCGTGGCGCGACTCGTGCCAGGCTGCTCAGATCTTCCAGCACCACGTTTGCAAAGTTCGCCTGGTCTCGCGAAGTTGTGCGTTGTTGGATGATCTGGCGAATGTGAGCCATTTCGGGGAGTGCAGCAAAACGCCTCAAGTGGCGTTGTAGAGCTTCTGTAGAATCATCGCTGGGATCCTGTTCAATCTCGTGGTTCTCTTCGCCAAGTCCAGTTTCCTCATCCCGCTCAAAGGACGAATGCTTGCACATGGAGTCGGAGACATCAAGGCAAACAATGATGCCTTCCAGGACTTCTTTCTCTTGAAGTTCGATATCAAAGTTGGTCCCCACCTCGGACAAACTCTTTGCGGCCATATCTAAGTCCATGTGCTCCTCAGCACCCATGCCAGGATCGAAGATCACGGCGCTGCCTGCAGCAGACTTCCCGTGCCCTGTAAAGACGACCACAACGCCGTCCCTGGTCTTCGTGAGCTTGGGAGGGCACCTGCAACTTTTGAGTGACAGGGCGCTGAGCAAGCGCATGCACTGGGCAGCTTCTGTCCCACAGTTTTTCCGCAAGTTTGTCCAGGACGGCAACTGGTCCCTAGACAAAGGGACGGAGGGTGCCTGAGCAGCTTCCATCACGAGGCACTCGGCCATGGGCGCGTAGGCTCTCACGAGTCGTGACAAGGCATGGCTTTCCATGAGTTCCTCGGCGGCCCGGCCGTGCAACACTTCTGATTCACCGGGCACGGCCTCTTCGTCTGATGTCGTCTCCCCAGGACTGTTCGACAGGTACTGCAATGCTGCCTCTTGATTGAAAGCCACATCGGGGACATCAGGAAGACAAACGACGGGCTCCTGTTGATGGGGCTCCGTGCACAGTCAGAGTGCGCAGCAAGTACAGGGCAGAAATCGGCAGAAATGCGCCTAGCCTACGGAGTGCCTACGCGACCTACTGGCCGAAGAAGCGGTCTATAGAGTCACAGCATGTCACATCATGTCACGGCCAACCCTATCCTTGAATACGGTGTGGCTGATGCTGCACGTCAAGGCCATGGATCGAAAATGAAGTGCTGGACCGGAATGAGAAGAGGAGCTTGTTGCGGATTGCAACAAAAGCGACAGCAACAGACGAGAATATTCGAACAGGGTGTCCCTCTCGGTGTGCTCCGGAGCTAGAGTTGTCAACAGCTGGTACAAGCCGTGGGCTACGGCTGCCTTCTCGGGATCTTGCATTTGCTGAGTTCGCCCTTCCAGCAGCAGCTGCAAGCCCAGGCAGAAGGGTGGAAAGGGCAAGCACTTCCATGCAGCGTCTACAAGTCCTTTCGAGGCTTCACCTTCCGCTGCCAGGACATACAGGCAAGATAGCAGGCAGCTGATGCCGGCTTCTGTCTGGGGGCAAGGAACCACTTGCCAGGCTATGTCGGCAGAGAATAGTCCAATTCGGTCCTCTTGAAGAGATTTCTGTGGGGCCATCTCCCCCCTCGGAGCAGAAGAAGAAGAGCGCTGGCTGACGTACCTTGTGGTCTCCCGCACTTCTCTCACTAGTGAAGGACGAGTCATTGAACAATCGCTGCTGTAGAGCGAATTACACCTTCAGCACTTTGCCCACAACGGTCAGAACTCTTCTACCAATGGCTCCATGCTCCCCTCCTGCTACTACGACTGCAATAAACTGATGATGATGATGATGATGATGATGATATCTACAAGCGACTTCATTTTCCTCAGGCTCACAGGACGACAGCTTCTAGGATTCTAGGCGAGGTGCAGAACCTCCTCGGGGCGCAGCTGATCCAGGCACCGATGCCTCGCCGGTGGTAGTCAAGGCTAGGCTGACTTGGTATTGCGGGCTGCTCCAGCATCGTGTTCTGCGCAACGCTTGAGGTGACTTGGGCAAGGGAACCTTGCCTTCCTGATGTGTACAATGTGCCATCGACAAGTATAACTAGCCATGTGTGCCCACTTTCCGGCCTATACGCGGGGGTATGCCCTTTTGTGCCTCGCTGTTGGGGCTGCCAGCCGCTGGGACGCGACAAAGAAATCCAAGGCCACGAAGCTCTCGTCTACCAGAATCACCGCCACTGAGGCTTCCACCTGTGAGGCTGCCAAGCTGCGTAATAGCAGCGGTAGGCTGGTCGTGGTCACAGTGGAGAGTGATGCCAGTGGTGCCAATAGTGGCAGCAGGAGCATAACGAAAATAGAAATGGGAGTAGTGGCAGTGGCAGTGGCAGTGTGGCAGTGTGGCAGGGGCAGTGGTGGTGATTGCAAGCTAGTAGTGCTGATAAGGCCTAGTCCGAGTCCTAGTCCTAGCCCGAGTACCAGTGCACGGGAAAAAACGAAAAGTAACGGTAATCAAGTACCAATAAATACTATGCGCAGTAAGAGTAGTAGTAGGTCGTCGCAAGAATAGTAGGAACAGTACAATAGGGATAGTCATGAACATGTGCGCGCCGTGAAAGTGTATACTATCGGGGGAGCACCGATAGCCTAAAAATCGGAAGCGGCTTTGGACCTTGCATGCTTGTTCTTAGTAGGATGCTCAGGAATCCAGGGATAAGTAAGGGTGTTTACAGCTCAGTTTTTTTTTTTTGTGTGTGTGTGTGTGTGTGTGTGGGTGTGTGTGTGTGTGTGTGTGTGTGTGTGTGTGTGTGTGTGTGTGTGTGTTTGTTTTGTTCTTATGCTGGAGATTCAGTACAAATCCGAGCTCCTGCCTAAACACATCCCTGCCGGCCTTCACACCGGAGCACAGGTCTCCCACCCGGGCACTGTCATGATAGGGAAGGCCTGTGAGCTCGGCATCTTTCACATAAGGTATGCATGCCCATCCTACAACTGGAACTCCGAGAGGAAGCGATGCTATTGCGCAAGGTACTGCACCCTCATTCTTGCTGCAACTCCGCTCCCCATCCAAAAAGCAACCACGCCTGCCATGCTCTGGATCCGCATCTTTGAAGGCTGGATCCTCAGTGCAGAAAAGTGCAGAGATCAGCACTCCCCAAGTCTCCCGAAGTCTCCCAAGATGTCTCAGAAACCCGAAAGACTCGATTCACCTATTGAAAAAGAAACAGAAAAAACAAACAACCTTGAGTGCACTGACTGGCGCCAGAGGGTCCGCCAAGCACGATGCAAGGCTTGCTTGACCTGGCTTATGCTGTCAGTGCTTTGCATCTTCTGCTTCCACTGCAGGTTGTGATCCTGGTCGTGGCACTCGCAGGTGAGCATGATGGTCCAGACATGCGCGCCGCAATCACAAAGCGAGTACACGGCCGGCTGTGCCGTCACAACCATGGACTGATCATCTTGAACAACGCCGCGGCTGCACGCGACATAGTTCTGGCAGTCGAGGCCTAACATGCTGAACACCTCCCTCTTCAGCTCTTCGACTGTAGAACCTCCTGCCGCCACGCTGGCCTCCCGAAAGCCAGTGTTCAGGTCTGGTACGAGAACCAGGACATTGCCATCCTCCCGTATGCCTCCCTTCTCTGCCTGCTCTTCCTCCAGGTAAAGCCATTCCCCGCGGCAGCATGGGCACTGCAGAACCCTGCCATCCACAAAGGACTTCAGCAGGCACTCGGCATGGAAGAAGTGATGACAAAGGCGGTTGCCCACGACGAGGTCTGGGGATCGACCCTCGGAGCTCTCGGCACTTCCGTCACCCAAGCCCGACAGGCAAATAGAGCAGATGTCGGCCTGGGCACGAGAAGATGATAGGATGACGACGCTGCGAACACACTTTTGTCTTTGCCATCTTTGCTAATCTTGTGTACGTGCCTGAAGGTACGAAGCAGTCAACATACTATGCCACAGGCACCATGCACGAGGCTGAACTGTTTTACGCAGTTCTGGAGGATGTCATGGAGAAACCTGGAGAAACCTTCGGCCTTGGCAAGCTCAGCTGCCCAGCGCTGCGGATGCCAGGACTGCGAGAAGGCTGCAGCATCAATCTTCAGAGCTGCCTCAGAAACCAGATCTCTCACGGGTGTCCTACGCCAGGAAGATAGAGGCGGATTCGTGCAGCAGTCCCGTTAAGTGAGCAGAGCTCCACACTTGCATATTCATTGAGCTCGATGTGAGGTTAAGTGGTGTGCATGCAGGATTCAGCTGGGCTCCCCGACGTCGTAGCCCCAAAGCTTAACGCGTGCCGCCGCCTACAACGCCAAGGAAGCTGACCCAATGCGATGACATGCTATGACTCAACATCCAAGTGCGAAAACGTGTGCAGTCCTACCCCCGACGAACATTTAAATAGCAAGCCGTCTGAGCCTCTGAGCACATGCAACGGCCACGGTCTGCGAAAGAGGCCACAGGCGCCGCGTCTTCTTCAATGGGCTCGTACTCGATGCCCTCAGCCTGTGCGATCTGCTTCGCCAGCTCCCAGGTGCTCGTCGCAACAGAAACCTGAACTTGGGCGACGGACAAACTTCAAGCGCACGAGAATGCACCATAAGGCATATGTAACATTATGTAACTCTCATATGTCATAGCTAATTGCGGCTGCTTGCAGCGATTGCATCCAAACGCGGCCACTTCATGCCAGCAAACTCTAGTGACTCTAGTGAAACCCCCTTCAAAAAATTTTCAAACCAAGCACCTCCAGGGCCTGGGGCTGCAAGCCTTGAGCAACTCTCTCCAGGGTCTGGTAGCGAATGAAACCATATCCTGCCTCCTCAGCGGCTGGCTCTGCCTCGAACCCATCGGTGGTTCCAGTGGTCTCGGACACTGAGCCCTCTGTACCGTCATGAAATTTCTCCGGCTCGGGTGCCGTCTCACTGTCTTTTGAGCCTCCCGCACCCGGAACACAAGCTACATCTGCAAAGACTGTATCTCCGTTCTCCACCACATCTGACACAAGGTCATCATCATCCATCAAAGCGTGCGCTCTTGATCCATCCCGCAAGTGGATCACCTGGCAGCCCTCAAAGCCTTCTAGCTTTCTGGCTCGGAGCTCCACATCCTCCTTGAAGTTACGCACCCTCTTTGTCGGCTTTACTGGGACCAGGATCGTCTCTGCTTCGTTCTCTTGGCCTTCCTTCCTCAATCTAACATGGAGTCGTAGCATTGCGGCACACCTCTCCAATGCATTGGCCGTTCCACATGCTAACTCCACTCACAGTGAGCCGAATTTCGCAGTGACATGACCTATTGCCTGCGCATTTGAACGCTGCAAGATGCAGCAAGTCATGTGGTCACAAGCATGTCCTTGATTTCTACTGCATGCGCATGTCTGGGGTCTCTTGCAGTACGCCGAGATGCCGATCCAGTCCCAGCATGCCGAGCGAACCCAAGCATTGGGAAGATGATTTCGGAACTTTCGGGATTGGAGCCTGGCTCGGACCTTTTTTGGCGGGCACCGCCCCTTAACGCACTCAGCTCATCTTCTCCCTCGCAGTGGTGAACCGAAAGCTCTGAGGCGACCCCTGACCTTGTCCTGTAAGAGTGAACGCTGCCTATGCCGTGCCTCGTGCTCACGCTGGCTTCGCACTGACGCTGTTCGTCGCGCTCCCTCCTGTGCAAGCTGCAAAGGCGCTCGAAGACGGGCGCTCATCTCGCGCTGAACGATCTGGTCCTCCGGTTGGCTCTCTTTTGCTGGTGCTTTTGTGACCTCGTGCATGAAGCTAAGGGTTGGGTTCAGGCGACTTCCGATCCACCTTGATCTCACACACTCTTCTGATCAGTTTATTCACTCTCGGCTAGTGTGAAAAAGTAGGTTTTTGGATCCCGTAAGATTTGCACTTTTGGATTTAGGGGTTTGGGGCTTGGGGCCTATGGGGGGCTATTTGGAGAGGAAGGGAAATGCCTCGGGTCCTGGAAAGCAGGGCGCAACGCCAAACGCCACGGCAAGCAAAGGACGCCACTTTATTATGCCAGTAGAGGAATAGCTTCCTCACAATGCTTCGGACAGCTTGGGGAGCGATAGTGTTCAGATCTTGAATATTGAGCTGTTGGGTTTAGATCCTTTCTTTGGGAGTCGTGTGTTCGTTTGTAGGGCTGAGGTCGGGTTCCTCATGAAGATGGCAAGGCGACGACTGTCACAGCTATGCGGCATTCGGATCATAGCTGTCGCGGCTTTCTCTGGCTGGCCTGGCCTATCTCCAGCCTTGCAGAGTTTGGTCCGTCACACCCAGCAACGTCGTCCAGGATTCGCGAAGAACTATTTACACGAGCAGGGGAGCATTCAAGCTCTCCAGCTTTTCCAAGAGCTGCTTGTAGGAAATCTCATAGTCATGGACGGCACAGTATGTGCGTTACCACTGAAGCCCTTCACGCCATGCGAGCAGAGTTTGCTCAAAGCTATTGAAAAATATGCCGGTATGGCGTGTGCAAAGTTGGAACTGCAAACTTCTCTTGGAAGCGTCCAAAGCCTTCGGCTGCAGAACAACTCCTGAGGGAGAGCAAGCTTCACAGCATGAGCTGGTGCACCCATCGCAGGCTAAGGCTTTGAAGCTTAGGTCTTAGGGTACACTTTAGGGCTTTAGGGTTCAACGGCTTACAGGCTTTCGGGTTTGAGCAGGCCCAAGCTTTTATTAGTAAGTAGGGCTCAGGATTGCTGTGATGGATGCTCTCCAGCTGAAGCCATCAGCTCATCAGCTATGCAAACTAATTTTGCTACTGCTGACACACCTGCTTCCCGAATCTGCCTCTCGCTGCGCCCAAATACGTGTAATTCGACTGTGATAGATTCAAGCCACACTGAACAACTCCCCAAAGGGTCATTTGACCGGCAGTGAGTCTGCAGCAGCTTAACGCCCTAGACAAAAACCCTTAAGGGGCCCTTTATGGACTCCAGAGAAATGCACGGCCCTCGGCTAGCTCAGCTTCTGGACCAGGGACCTGCGGTGGCAAAAGCCTGCCATGCAGAGCATCACTCCGCAGTAGATCCCGGAGGCCCAAAGGCCTTAGATAAGCCCCCAAAAAGTGTAAACACAGGGGATTAAAGTATCCAAAAAAGCGCAAAGTGTGTCCATTCAGCTACTGAGAGGCTATGTTGAAGAGCTCGATTGCTGAATGTGTAGCTGGCGAGGTCGCAAATCATGTAGGCCATGAAAATCAAAACCGTCTGAACACAGTCGCAAGCGCGCGAACCCATTCTGGGAGATGCAAATCGGTCGCAAAGGTAGAACAGCAGCTTGAGGGACAGAAGCTGCGAGCCCACGCCGAAACCGATCAACCAAGCCATGATTCGAGCCCAAATGAAATCACGCGGAAGACCGTCCAGCCACATTCCCACAGTGATCTCTAAGCCGGGCAGCATAGGGATGGTGCTGAAAAGCAGGAAGTAGGCAACGGGCACATGGGTGGCCTGCGCCACTAACTCCTTGTGCAAGGCTCCCCGGACGTACTGGTTAAAAGCATCCCTGCTGCTGTACCATGTCTCAATCGCTGTGTCGACGAATTGACTGTCGAAGTCCAGCCGACATTCGGATTTGTCCACATCGAAGTTTGCAAGCCCTTCCACCAAAGTCTGCTTCTCTGCTATAAACCTCCGTAGGGTATGAGCAGCTACAAGCATCGGCAGCAGTGCGATGGGTGCGATCGGAAACGGAAACATGGCATTTAGGGGGGACTGGACGGCTGCAGCCACGTACATCAGCCAGGTGGTGAAGTAGACGCTCGTCCAAAGTGCAAGGATTGTCATCTCCAGGAAGAGCGGCACCAATCGGATTCGCCCAGTAGGGTTCGCCGCCCTGTACGCTGCCATCTCGAAGACACACCATTTCCTCAGGGCACCAAAAACGGACAAAAGCAAAAATTGGGATTGGGATATCCGAAACCGCTAAGGTAGGGATGCCCCTGTCAAGTGCTTATTCTCATGTCCTTCTTGGATCCCCGACTCCTCGAGAAGTAAGGTGGCGACCACAAAACTCGCAGCTCTTTTGAGCGGGCCAGGAAGCCTCCCAAGCTGTAGATTCCTCGCAGCATGAGCTTTGAGTCCACCTGGTGGATGCAGACCGCGTCCAAAAAGCACTGAGTGCTGCAACCTTGCGGTGAGTAGGCGGCGCAGAGGGCCCCGAGAAACATGGCTGGGAGGTAGGACGCCAGGAGGAAAGGGCCAACATGACAAGTGACCTGGACACCCAGCACGCTGATGTTGGATGCCGATGTAAATGGGCGTGGCAACACCTCTGCCTTGTACAAAGCAACAATGGTGACCAGAAAACCCATCCAGGACAGCAGCAAAAACGTCCAGCCGGACTGCAACAAGAGGGCAAAGACCTTCCACCGACCTGACGTCCTCCAAGTGTGCGACAGGAACACATCGAGCACAGCCGCAGGACGGGATTGCTCCCACAAGGCCTTGCGAGCTTCCTCGGGAAGGTCTAAGGGGGATTTTCGCCAAAGACGGCCCCCTCCCCGCAGGGTTTGCCTCAATGATATGCTCCGGAAAATGTCCTGGTCGACCTCCAGCTGAGTTAAAGATTTCATCCTGATCCATCCCACGTGGTCCTCGACTGGCTCCGAGCTCTCTGTATGAACTGCTCGAAGCCCTGATGGTCCATCTTTACAATCATCGGATGTATTTCTCCTTGCCAACTGCTGTGTCGCAGATTCGCGAGCATCTGACGGAGTGTCTGGATTTCCCGTGAGAGTGGTTTGTGTCGGAACTCCCATCTTGGTGCTCTGTGCACATATCATCTCTCCAGGAAGCCTCTGCTCATCATGGCAGCAGCTGCTGTTGGCTCCCATGGCTGAAGCGATCGCTCCCACCCAACGAACACTGGCCGTACTTCTGTGCCTCAGCTCCCCGGACGTTATCCTCACAAACAGTGTGGCATGCCTGCCTGCATGAACGCGTGTATGTATGCATGCATGTGTGCATGTGTGCATGTGTGCATGTGTGCATGTGTGCATGTGTGTATGTGTGTGCGCGACAACGACGATGGTCGGAAAGCTTAAATGTACAAGCAGCTTTACTGCCGACTTCATGAAGGTTCGAATCCCGGGCGACCCTTCTGCGAGTGAGGAGTTGCATGCTTTGTTTCTGGTGACAGCGCCAAGTGCGTGACGGGGGCGGGGGGGGGGGGGCGGGGGAATATCGGAGCTCATGCAAAGTTTTGCAAAGCTGCCAACAAGTGCAGCTGAACGAAGTTTGCAGAACGTAGCGCTGGAAAATATGCTTTTTCTTGGCGGGGCGGGAGCATCATTATCCCTTAGAAATAGACACTGTTACACACTTTCGGTCCCTGTGATGCAGCCATTCTCACGCATGAATATGCGTTTTCCCTAGGTCTTGGCACATTCCTGGTTCTTGCAATGCCACGTCTCAACGCAGGGTTTGGCTCCGTGGCTCGGAAGCGATGAATCTTGAACGTCGGAGTAGCAATGGACTGCAACATACCTGATTGAGGAATATTCCCCAGATTACAGGGGGCACCTTGATACAGGAACCTCAACTAAGGCAGGTAGGTGTCGTCTCAGAGTCTCAGAGTATAGCTGGCAACAACAACTTTAACCGAAACGGCAGGAAGAAGAGAAACGACGAGAACGATAAAGCAATAACAAGCAGGTTGGATAAACATAAAACAAGTCAGCAGATAAAGCAAAACCAATCCAACCAAATGCAGCTGTTCTGGCCCCGTGCACAGTTCTGACTCGATACCGAACACTAGGGCTCCAAGAAACAAATAGTGCATACTTCAAGGTCCAAAAGCTGCGAACAGTGCTGACTTTGGGCTATTTCGGAGCCCCAGACCTAAAAGCTACATACAAAGCCTTACAAGCTATTTCAAGCCCCGAGGGAATAGATTTTACACCCTTAACCCTACACCCCTAAACCCTAAACCCTAGAGCCGACACCCCAAATCCTAAACCACAAGCAACAGCGCAAGCCATCCTCCAGGTCCAGGATCCGGCCCCTGAGGATCCAGTAGTCGCAGGGGAAGATACCTGAACGGGTTCAGGGTTCAGGTTTTGTTTAGGGCTTCGGGAGTTTAGGGTGTCGGTTTTCAGCTGAGGCTTTGAAAACTTGAGGGAACGGGGCTATTGAGGGCTTGGGGTAAGTGAACACTTGGATGCCTAAGACCCCAAGCTCCAGGTATGCAGCACACCTACTGTGGGATCAAAGGGACTACTACTTCGCGGCTGCTCTGTCCAGTCTTCGGAAACAGGACAGGCTTCTACAGCTGCATATTCTTAACAGCGTACACAATCGAGCCGAGGGATGCCTCAACCCCAATAACCACAGCCTCAAGAAACCTAAGCTCTAACGGGAGGCTCAGGGGAGTTCGCACGCAAGGCTGCAAGCACCTTAGCCAGGGCTTTGATCATGCCATATTTCATGACTATATGCTTACCTTCTTAGTACTCGGTCCAGATCCCAGTGGCCTGCGATGGCGCCCGTGACCATGGCGTTGCCGGAGAGAAAGCTGAGCACAAAGGCGACCTCTTGCAAACTGCAGGAGGGATCCATGTAAAATGTGAACGACAAACCAGGACCCTCCTTGGACCCCAAAATAGGGTTATATTGTGCCAAATGATGGGCATTTCAGCAAATAAAGGGTCTAGGAATTAGGGCCTCCTGTGTTTGAGGACTTCTAAATACTACTCGCACCCTGTGTGGGCCAAGGTTCATCTTCTGCTCCCATTTCGGTTGCGACTCCTGCTCTCCTCCTGCTACTACTTCTGCAATAAACTGCTGATGATGATGATGATGATGATATCTACAAGCTTCATATTCCTCAGGCTCACAGGACGACAGCTTCTAGGATTCTAGGCGAGGGGCAGAACCTCCTCGGGCCGCGGTTGATATACCTGGCATAAGACAGGTGTGCCCTGAGCGCCCGCCCGCAAGTCTTGGCTCCAGCGTAGCGATCCATGGAACAGAAAACAGAAATCGCAGTCCTCCAGCTTCAGGCGCTGCCTTTGACTTGCTCTGACCTGCCATAGAACACGTGGCTTGACAGGTTCGTGACTGATCCCGAGGAGGGAGGTGGGGCGCGCCCTGAACTGCCTACCCAAATTCTGGACTTCGGGTGCGTACGCCAAACTGCAATAAGAAGTCTTGTGACGATTCCGGTACTTCTGCAGTGTACCTGTGCATCGTGACCTGAGGCTGCCCTTGTAGTATACAACTCGCAAGATTCTAGTCAGCCTGTAGGGCGTCAGCTTGTAGAAGTATAGGCACCGTTGTCGTGTTGCTGCTGCATGTTTTACAACGTCGTGCTCAATAGTTGTCGTCCAGCCAACGCCTCTCTTCGGCCGCGTCAGTAAGCCCAAACACCACCCCACCCCCGCCCCCCTAAGTCCAAGTCCTCGTCTTGCAGCTCATGCATGTTCGCACATCTTCACGTGCCACCCGCCTCTCACAGAGAATCAAGAAGTGCATGGAAAGTGCCATTGACATGTGGAGCAGCTGTGTGGCTCACGCTTTTCTGCGAGGCGCTTGCAGGCAATCGACCGTTCAGGCGCTGAGGCTCAATCAATGGCTTCCCGCATCCCAGTAGCACCATGAGGATCCGTGAAGGGCTGAGGAAGCCCTCCTACAACTTACTCAGCCGAGTTAAGGCTGCTCAGCAACGATCTGCAGGGCCCCAAAGCTGATGAGCTTCGGGAGGAGCCTCGCAGAGCCTTTGGGCACCTGGCTCAAAGTGAAGGGCCGTCCCTTCGCAGTTTTTGCAGCGAACAGTGACAGGCAGAATTCGGCTGCCGGGGCCTCTGTTGCATGTATGGGGAAGGTCTCTTGGTTTATGATCAGCTTGTGTTGGGGAGGCACGTCAATCGAACCTTCGGCGAGCAGCACAGCCCGGAGATTTGGGGCGCGCATGAGCTGTGTGGTGTCGGGGAGTGTCTCGGGAAGCTCCAACAGGGGGAGGTCTGTGAAGGATGTGGGATTCCTCGAACGAATTGCCGACAGCGAAAGGAGCTGATGGGGCTTGGCCACAGGAGAGAAATGCACCATTGCGTGAAACCTCGCGAGCTGCAAAGCCCATGGCAGCAGCGTCTCAGTGGTTTTAATCTTTCCCAGAGCTTCCGAAAGAGACACTGACCGCCCGTTTGGAAGACGCACCGTGCGACTGGCACCGAGGCTGGAAGCTGCAGCCTCCAGGCGGGTGGCCAGATCCTGAAACTCCGAAGTCACGCGGTCCAAATACTGTTTGGGCAAGTCCTGGTTGGAGAGGGATGTCAGGAGAATCGATGTCGAGGCTTCCGCGAAGCTGAATCCTGGCATGCGGTTGAGCTCGGGCACCATGGCCGCGAGCTTTGCCAGGAATGACACCAGCGGCAAGTCATGGTCGTCTGGCTGGAACTCGCCGCTGGAAACGAATTTCTTGATGCGGAGTCCTGGATTCGTTGCCTTGTGGATCATTGCAAGGAAAAGCGACTGCCACACATAGTATTGCCTCTCCAAGTTCACGGTCAAATGCATGGAGAAGTCCGTATCAGTTCTGGCTTGATGCAGCGTGCCAAAGGGAAGATATAGGATGTCGCCACCCTGCAGGGTGACATTGCTGCAGGAAACATTGAAATTTTTCATGATGACCTCCGGCCGCTGGTTCGGAGCCATCCAGCTTGGAACGTCACAAACAGTCCAGACTTTGTGCCCTGCAGGGTGATTCAGGATCCATGAAATCCATATGAGAGTCGTTAAGGGTCCTTGAGCTGTTTTTGGCAGGTTTCGGCGTTGTTCGGAGTTCGAAGTTAATGGAGGTCTTCGTCTCGTAGAGACACTATCCCAACATGTCTAGATGAGCCCCCCCCCCCCCCCGACCAACAAAACGACAAAAAGTGCTTGGGGATAAGCTTGGGTGGGGCCATGGCCTGCCAGTTGCACCATGAAGGCATCCATGACCTGAAGGACTTCGTGTGCCACCGGGGGGCATTGTGACTGTGCCCCCCATGCACTCCCTTTCTTTCAGTTTGCCAAGTTCCTGTCCCCTTCCGGTTCATTGTTCGACCTGGCCAATGTAGTATATCCCAGTGCCTTTAGATACTCCTCTCAAGACCAAGACGAGGCAAAGGATAACCAAATGTCTGGGATTGGGGTTATATGGGATACTTGAAGATCATTGAGCCTAGAGGCGTCGGAGTGCATGCCATAGCTGTGTGAGTGTGGGGGCGTGAGGTACATGTAGACGTCAACCGGAAGGTGGGCTGATGCATAGAGATGCTTCGCGAGGCGGGCACCAGGCTCGGACCACTTGTGCAAAGAGTTGAAGACCATCGAGAAGCCCTGCAGAAAGGCCTCTGAGACCTGCTGCAAACTGTCCTTCGAGGTTTTGGAAGCTTTGAAGCTCTTTTGGGTGACGGGATGCGGCAGGATCTCGAGAACCTCCTCGGAATTGCCTTGCTCTCGGATCCACCCAGCCACGTGATCCAAAGTGATTTCGACGAGGGCCTCTGAGTGGGGGAAATGCGCCCAAGTCTTCTCAAAGACCTAAGTGCTTCGAGACGCAACGCTCTTCTACTTGTCTCTTCATCTCGCTTGGTTTCTCCCTGGCTCGACGTTTCTCAAATTCTGCAATGCTCCACCTTCCTCTTTCCCCTGCGCAGAGGACTAGCAAAAAGAATTGCACGATCGCAAGAAGACAAACACAAGCAGCAACAAGTTAAGCTGACATTTTCATCCTACACAAAATCACTCGTTTGAGGTCACATTTTCGTTCTCGTCCAGGCGCAGGCTTAATCATTGGTTTCGGGTTGTAGCTTACCTCGTAAGCGCCACGGATTGGGCGTCGTCCAACTTTTGTAGTGCACATGTCAAGGACTGCGCTCCCGATACCCAAAAGTCATCGTCATTATTCTTGAGGATGGGAGCTCCGACCTTTGGATGGGAGTAGCAAGAACAGAAGCTAGTCGTCGTCGTATGGTTGAAATACTGCAAGAGCGTGCAAATGGGGCGCAAACTGAAAAGCAGACAGCCAGACAGTCAGACAGTCAGTCAGACGGTCAGACAGTCAGACAGTCAGACGCTCAGACAGTCAGAGGGTCAGCCATTTTCTTTTGGAGGAGACTTGGGTGCTCATGGGTCTCGTACCCAAGTACAGTAGAAAGTGAAATTTCCGCTGAAGTTGGGTAGTCATAAGCTTTTTGGATTATGTGTTTGAGTGTCTGCGTTAAATGTCTGAGTGTCTGAGACAGTAAGACTCTTCGAACCCGGAATACACAGACCAGCAAGTCGGACAGGCAGACAGGCAGACAGTTAGACTCTTGAAGTCCAGCATACGCGGACCGAGATCAGACACTCAGACAATCAGACTCTTTAAGAGATCGCGTCTGAAACTCAGTCAGACAGTCGGACTCTCTAAGACCAGCTCACGTCTGAATGTCTGAATTAGCGGACCAAGAAGGCAGACAGCCAAACAGTCAGACAGGCAAACTCTTCAAGACCAACTCCCGTCCGAGGGTCCGAATGTCTGAGTGTCTGAGTGTCTGCTGCACGGAAACGACCCCCGTCAGAATCTTTAAGACCAGCTCGCGTCTGAATGTCTGAATTAGCGGACCAAGAAGGCAGACAGTCAGACACTCAGACAGTCAAACTCTTCAAGACCAACTCACGTCCGAGGGTCCGAATAAGACCAGCTCGCGTCTGAATGTCTGAATTAGCGGACCAAGAAGGCAGACAGTCAGACACTCAGACAGTCAAACTCTTCAAGACCAACTCACGTCTGAGGGTCCGAATAAGACCAGCTCGCGTCTGAATGTCTGAACTAGCGGACCAAGAAGGCAGACAGTGTCAAACTCTTCAAGACCAACTCACGTCTGAGGGTCCGAATAAGACCAGCTCACGTCTGAATGTCTGAATTAGCGGACCACGAAGGCAGACCGTCAGACACTCAGACAGTCAAACTCTTCAAGACCAACTCACGTCCGAGGGTCCGAATAAGACCAGCTCGCGTCTGAATGTCCCAAGAATCCAAGAAGGCAGACAGTCAGACATTCAGACAGTCAAACTCTTCAAGACCAACTCACGTCCGAGGGTCCGAATGTCTGAGTGTCTGAGCGTCCGACTGTCTGAGTGTCTGCTGCACGGAAACGACCCTCATCAGAATCTTTAAGACCCGCTCGCGTCTGAATGTCTGAACTAGCGGACCAAAAAGGCAGACAGTCAGACACTCAGACAGTCAAACTCTTCAAGACCAACTCACGTCCGAAGGTCCGAATGTCTGAGTGTCTGAGCGTCCGACTGTCTGAGTGTCTGAGTGTCTGCTGCGCGAAATCGAACCCTTATTGTGCCCCCAATCCAATCATAATTGTAATAGCACTAATGGCGCTACTACTCATAAGAACAATAACGCTGCAAGTGGGGTGATGTGCACGGCCAATGCGAGCCAGGCGCCTCGTTGAAGAAGGCCTCGCGTGCTAACGGCTGGATCCACGTCTCCAGGATATCGCCAGCAGCCACGGCACAGAGAAGCCATAACGTTCGCAAGGACGGGGTCCACACATCCCTCTTGACGAAGGCCATCACCCGAAAGCTCTCCCAGGTTTCGGCGCTGCTTCTCTGCGACAGCTTTCCAAATGAACACTTGCCTCAGCGCTGGGCTCACTGCAGCCCAGCAATACACATTCAATGATTTCAATGGCCTGCGATAGGCTAAACGACTTTCTGCGAAGCCGGAAGAAGCATCTCAAATCAAGCTTGAGCCATAAGATGCCATAAGCCACGTGGGTATCCAGATTGCAGGCTCAGCTGCACGTTCTCAAGTCTAACACCTGCTAACTTTCACATGCTTTTGTTGTTTCAGCGTCCTTCTGGATACCTCCGGTCCATTGAATCATCCATGGGCTTTTTACTACTCACATGTCCATCCAGACTGATGGCATGTGTCAAGCACGACATTTCAATCAGAGTTGCAGAGGCAGAGTTAGGACATTTAACGGTCTGGGCCTAGCCAAATCCTAGTGGATGCTGGGTATGCCAAGCTACTTCAACTTGCACCTAACCCCGATGCCATATAGAAATTGATGGGGTTATTTTTGCAGATCTAGTGAATCTAGTGATAAACCGATTCTTTGAGGACTCGCCAGGCCTCATCGCCATTTGCCGATTTCTCAGGCGCGCCCCAGAATGGAGACGAAAGCAAAGTGCTTGCAAATGGCTGCCGCGAAGATGCAACCTGTAACCCGTACCTCTGCACAACTCGCGACAGAATCGATACATCGTTGCAATAGCAGGCATTTTGTATAGCTCTCCTCATCTGGCGCTTTGAGTCAGGGTCAGCATGTGACACGCAGTATTCGGCGTTGTTCAGATTGCAACCGAAGCCCTTGGACGCAAGCATGGAATGATCATTTCTGCAGCCGGAGGTTCGGATTTGAAAGCAAAATGAACACCGCCACTCTGTCTTCACCATTTTGGCGAGTACGAGTCTTCAACAAATCAGAGATGCCTTCAAGTCTACTAGCCTGCTCAATCTTCACCTGCCTCCTCGTCGTCTTCCTCATGTTGACCACGCTTGACTGGGATCTCCGCAGGGACTATGGTCAAGGTGTCCGCGCACCATTCAAAGTCATCCCAGGCCATCCAGAACGACCCGTCTGTGCTTGGCCCGGTCCTCAATGCCGTGGCAAGCTCGGGATTCTTCTTCCACTCCTCACCCTCATCCTTCCAAGGGCCTTTCCATTCCTTGCCATTGCAGGGCTTGAAAAACAAGAGAGTAACATGGACACCAGCAGACTAGAATTCTGAAGTAAAGCCCGGGAATCACAACGGCCAAAGGGGTTTCGCAATTTCACCATCCTCTTTGGATCTTCCCAGACCTCTCCCGGAATCTCCACGGCTTGCAACACCGAGTAGACGTGCCGTGACATCAGACCATCAGGGCGAACACCATAGATGGGGCGGCCTTGGGCGTTGACACCTGGCTCAACATGAGGCTCTCAAGAACGCGGAGGAAAAAAAAAAAAAGACGGCCCCTCTCAGCTCTCTAATTGCTACCATGAAGGGAATATAAAGTGTCCCAGGGGCCTAGATAGTGAATTGATGAGTGTGTCTCGTTGGAGTTCCAATCGTTTCGCAATCCTTGCATCTGCTCAGTGGTATTACTAGCCTGCTAAATTATTAAAGCACATCTGGACAACGTTACAGTGGAATCCCCCATCCCCTGCCTTTGAACTCGAAGGTCACCACAATCAGGTTGTTGGACTGGTCTGCTTCAAGCAGCTTGCCCCACATGTCACCCTCCAGTGGTGTGATGCTCTCCTTCTTGAATCGCTCTCCGACATGCCCCACACTCGAACCCCATTGAACCTTCGTTGTGCGTTCCGCCATTTTCTCACCACCCACGTAGTAGTTGATCCAGCCTGGATTCCAGAATCGAGCTTTTAACACATTCCGAAAAACTTGAGGCTCTGGGGGCAGGGAAGGGTGATGAATGGAAAAGCAAAGCGTGGCAGCGTTGGAGGGGGAAAGTGACAAATAAGGACGTGTCTTGCTACGGGGCTGCAGCAGCCCGCGCTTCACCGTGTGAGCAAGGTGGACCGCAGCTGAACAATCCTACAGACCCTACAGTGCACCTCCTTGCCTCGGGATGGCATTTAACTTCAAACACACAGTCCTCCCCCCCTGACGTGACCAGAGGTTCATGCAGCCGGTAGTACACAAAACAAAGCAGAGTGTGGTCATGCGAACATGTCGGCAAAAGACCTGTGACAGAGTTGAAGGTATCGCCGCATACAACAGTTGAGGCGGTCAGCGATGGTCAGTTCTTGGAGGACAGCTTTTCGGATCCACGTAGAGTTCTTTCTCTCGCTGATTCTAACTTTGCACGCAGCTACTCAGATGACTGAAACGGTACTGGTACACAGCAGTGATGCCCTGACTGCCGGCACGGGATGAGATGAGTCACCCTTCAAAGTGAGGCGAGCGTGACAGCGGAAATGAACGTTGACTTTAACAAATGGCGCGCCATTATCGGAGAAGACGAAGATGTAGAACGTCGCCGTCCATGCATCCCTGCTCCCGGAAACTTCTTCCCTGTGCCTCCCGCAACCTCAGCCTACAGTAACAGAATGTACCAGACACATCGAGCACCATCTCTCACCCTGCTCCCTTCAACTACACTTCACAGTCGTTCACCCATTAGAACCGGGCAGAACATGAGCCTCACCGTCACTGCAAGCCGAGTTACCATACTCAGCTCCTTCACCTTCAATCTTCTTCATCATGATTCGATGGCAGTTTCGGTCCAGCTCCTCAAAGACGGCCTTCTTCGCCAGCTTCCCGACCTTCGTGCTCTTCACGTCGGCCTGGGAACGAACGGTCACGCCGTCTCGAGCGGTGACCTCCCAAAGGGATTTGCCTCCACATCCCTTGGTCACAGCCCTCACATCCTCCAAGTATGATCCGAAACGCTGCACGGTGCTGCAGCCGGTCAAAGCCGCGAAGGCCATGCCCGTCGTGCCAAGATGCAGCTGTTCGTATGAGCCGAAGAGCTTGGCGAAAGCCTTCTCCAACAATGGCACGTACATCTCACCATCCGACAAGTCTGCGAACATGGGCCGTTGGAACGGATCTTTGCCCTTCCGAGGTTGACAGGGAAGATAATCATCAACTTGGATCGTCTTCCAAGTCTGGGTGTCTTTCCAATCAAAGAGTTGGAGCTCATACTTGCCATCAGCTGCAGCTTGCTTGGTGATGAAGATCTTGTCTCTTAAATAGTTGGGGTATTCGGCCACTGCTGCGATAGCAGCGATGAGCCAAGTATCCCCAAGCTGACCTTGGCAAGCATCACATGGCTCTATCTTGTGGAAGAGCACTGGTTTGGAAGACAAGGCCAATGCCCTGACCCACTCACATTCTTCATCTTCGAAGCGCTTCCCGAGGCTTTCGACTCCATGTGGGAAGCTTGGATCCTTCCATCCCTCCGGCACTGAGGCATTCAACGTGGCATCGGGGTCGAAAGCGAAGACGTCCATCATCACCCCATCCTCTGACCAAGTCGCTAGATCAGGAGAATACCCTTTGGTCTTCCCGCTGATTTCAGTGCCTTCACCATCGTCTTTGTGATAAGACAACTTCCAGTGCTCTGACTTTTCGACGTAGATCATAAACATCTTGTACAGCTCATTGTAGTAAACAGGTCGACCTCCAAATAGCTCATCTTGCTTGAGGAAGGTCCCGTACTCGTTGCTGTACATGGCCTTTGGTGCTTTCGCAATCTGTTCCTCGACAGGCAGAGCCTCCGGCAAAGTGCACGTCATCTCTGCCTCTGGCAGAAATGCACTGCGCAGGCTTCGGTCCTTCTTCTTCCAAACCTGCCAACCGGATTCGAGGTGAGGTGCTCCAGAGGTCTTCAAGCGAGCGCAAGACTTGCCGGAGGTCCGCTTGTGAATTTGCCATTGCTCCCGGGCTTGCCAATAGAAGAGAAAGTACCTGCGGCCCCATGTTGGTGACAACATCTTGAGCATGGAATCTGCTTTCTACTGTTCCGTTGCTGGTGTTGGCTTTAAGTTAGCAACGAAACACCAAGAAACAACCGCTATTATATAAAAGCTGCCAATTGCTTCAAGGCGCTTGTTGGCAGCACAGTAGAACACCGGACGGTGACTGCAAAACTTGGCTTGTTGAGTGTAGACACCATTGATCTCCGCCCGAGAGCAACCTGAGATCACGTAGGTGAAGTCAGCCACCCGGCCCAAGCCAAGACCGATGCTTTTGGGATCCTTGGACGGGGCTTGAATCAGCTAACGTGCCGATTTGTTTGCGGCCCGCCTACAAGACCTATTCAAGGTTTATTAACCTGATAGTCAGCCACGGAATCTTCTGCAAAGATCCATCTCATGAACTCATCAATTTGCAGTTTGCCGTCCATATTGGTATCTGCTCCCGCCGCCAATAGCTCATCGATGCGTTCACTGTCCCAATCATCTGGATTCAGCTTCTGCAAGACATTGCCTACAGAGACAACTGCCAAACACCACCGCATGTCTGTGCATGTCATGTCTATTTTGCTGTAGTTCTTTGCCGGCGCCTTCCCACCTGACACCCCATGACTTGGATTGGGCGAACGAAACTGTTCTGCCTTGAGGACCTCTCAAACTTGGAGAACCAGGCACTACGAAACAAGTGTACTTCAACCTGCTATTGGACCCTCTGGGTTCCGATCTCCCTTCTGCCTAGCTGCTTAGCTCATCTCGGGAGATGGACCCATTTCCATCCTTGTCGAAGCGCTTGAAGGCGTTCAGGACTACGTGATCCACCATGGCTAGGGCACCACAAAAATCCAGCTGCGCACTGCTGAGCCGTCAAACAAGATGATACAGTAGCACGCCCGGACTTGAATGGGGTCTGGATTTCTGAAGAAAGACGTTGCTGCCAATCTAGATGGCATATGATGGCATAGTAGGAATGCCGAGCTCCTAGCACCAAGAGTGATAGTCCCATGCTGGCATATAGGAGAGTTCGCTATAACGTTCTAGTTCCTCAATGGTTGTTTCAGTCGCGCACCGTCGCATGACCGAGAAGCTTTTTGCATCGTGTTCAGGATCTGCTCCAATGCTCTCTAGCTTCGTCAAGCTGAGGATAGCCGCCGCGTCCTGCTGGATGCTGTCCGGAAAGTGCTTCACTCGGCGCAACATCTCTGCCAAGGGCTTGGCCAGCTGCTGCAATCGCACGGCCCCGGCTACCACGCAACATCGCCGCAGTGCGCGGATGCAGTTGCCTTGCACGTTGTCATCCTTCGGGTGCCTCTGCATCGCGGCCACCAGCGGCTCTAGGACCCCAGCCTCCACGGCGCGCTGCTGCCGTGCGACGCTCTCGGCATCAGAGCCCGCGCACAAGATGCCGACCGCGTAGCTGGCATTGTTCTGCAGCTTCGTGCTGCCGCCGTGCACCAACATTGCCTCCACCAACACTTCGAGGGCACCGGCGTCGACAGCCAGCTTCTTCCGCCCAGCCGCCACATCCCCGTTTTCATCCCCGAAGCAAATGTTTCCAATGGCCAGGCTGCCTTTATTTTGCACCTCCATCCTGTCACGGTGCTGTTGCATGGCAGAAACGACCCTCATGAGGGCGCCGGCGTCGGCAGCGCGCTGCTGCCTGCTCACCCCTTCCTGGTCGGTGCCAAGACACACGCTTGCAAGGGCCGAGCTGCTGTGTTCTTGCACCTGCGCGCTGCCAGGATGTCTTGTCATCTTCTCCACGATCACCTCCAACGCCCCAGCTTCGGCAAGCGCAGCGCGCACCACACTGTTGCGGGCATCGTCCTCCAGCTGTTTGAAGCTGCGGGCCACCTCTTCTGCAACTTCGGCCATGCGCATCTTCTCATGGAAGTGCACCTTAACATGCTTTCAACAGAAAGGAACCACACGCAAACAACCATCAGCCCCTCAAAGCTCAACGCTGACACACTGTGTGTGATGGATCAGCATTCGGGGCTTGCCTTCGTGGAGCCGGGGGATATGGGCGATGCAAATAAGTGGACAACAGAGTGGCATGACCACCAGTGCGCAGGGGAGGTGAGCAGTGGTCATGGCAGTGTTCACGCAGTGCGAAGAAGTGGCTTTGCTGTGGGAGCGGTCCTTGACTTGGGAGAAGAGGTGCCCCAGGCAGGCCCTCGTAACTTACAGTGTTTAGACTGCCTCTAAGGTGACTACTAACTACTACAGATACTGCAACTGATTGCACATGCTGCTGCTTGGAAGCAAGCCCTCTCCAGATCTCTTCAGTCAATTGCGCTCTGCCCCGGTCTGCTCCAGGGCGGTTGCCTGGTGGCTTCCTTTCTTTCCTGTTCTTTCCATTTTACTTTTCCGGAACTTAAATATGTTGCCTCCCGAGGGTGAGGCACGACGATGTGACCAAGAAGCAAACGCTGCGACGGGCACTTAATGGGCAGGGCAGCCTCGTGTGACGGTTCCTACCTACCCCGAGAAGCTCCGAGAAGCTCTCGGAGGCGGTTAACAGAGACTGCTAGAGCGATTTTCAGGGGGGGAAGCTGTGGGAGAAGTGATGACCTGATTTGTCGTGGCCGCGATCAAGATCCATGCTTTCGAGTGCGGAAGCTAGTGGCGCGAGTGGATCCAAGCAATTCCGGCTGATGGGGGATCCACTCACGGAATCAGCGGCATGACGACCGACAAGGTACACACAGCACATCCATGGGGAGAAAACCTATTCATGGGCTTGCGCGTCATCAAGACTGACGAGACCACATGAAAGCGGCAGGCTGCGTGGTGACCGACTTGCGGAATGTCTATGAGTCAGAGCACGGCCTACTGCAAGATGGTCCATCGCAAAGATGCGAATTGGTCTCGCACTACAATCTCACGGAGGAAGATGATGTCATTTCTGACAGTAAACAGGAGTTTCGCCAGTGCTGTTAACATCCAAGTGGCAGTGCTCTCGGCTTGGAAACCTGGGAGGTGCCAGGTTGATGCAGATTTTGGTACACTGGCTGCACTCAAGAGGTGAAAAGTGCATCCGCCGTCGAGCGCGACGCCGGATTGCTGCGCCTGTACCCTTGTAAGCCTACCTGGACCTTCCAAAGTATGCAAAAAACTAAAAGCCTTTCTGAAAAACTTTCTACTTTTCTTCATGCAATCGTTGAAACACTCCCCCCCCCCCCCAGCAGAAAGTGCACTGATGTGGTTTTCGAAAGGGCTTTGCGCGGCCATTCCTGTTTTGGTCCGGAGATGCTGTTCCTGCTTGGAGGCAACGCGGTGGCAATTTGGGTGCCATGAGGCTGCTGGGTCTGGTCGAGAATGTTTTGGAGTGTTTGTTGTGTTTTTGTTGTGCGTAACTGGAGGGTGTTTTATGGCCGGAGCCTCGTGTTTCTCCAACGCCCCGAGTTCAAGTCCACCGCGAACACGTTCTGGAGCTTGCGTGTGCCGAAGCTGATTGCGACTCTGAGGCCCCTGCTATCGCGAGGATACCCTCTGCGTCCTGGTGAACATGATGCTTGGGGTGCTTCGCTCGGCGCAACATCTCCGTCAAGGGCTTCGTCAGCTGCTGCAATCGCACCGGCCCAGCTACCCCGCAACATCGCCGCAGGGCGCGGATGCAGTAGCCTTGCACGTTGTCATTGTTCGGGTGCCTCTGCATCGCGGCCACCAGCGGCTCTAGGACCCCAGCCTCCACGGCGCGCTGCCGCCGCCCGACGCCTTCAGCATCAGAGCCTGCGCACAGGATGCCGACCGCATAACTGACGTTGTCCTGCAACTGCTCGCTGCCGCTGTGCTCCACCATGCCCTCCACCAACACTTCGAGTGCACCGGCGTCCACAGCGAGCTGCTTCCTCCCATCTGCCCCTTCGCCCGGCTTGTTGCCGAAACAAATGTTTCCAATGGCCAGGCTGCCTTTCTCGTGCACTTCCACCTGGTCACGGTGCTGCTGCATGGCAGAAACGATGGTCTCGAGGGCGCCGGCGTCGGCAGCGCGCTGCTGCCTCCTCACCCCTTCCTCGTCGGTGCCAAGCGACAGCCTTGCAAGGGCCCAGCTGCCGTGTTCTTGAACTTTGGCATGACTTGGATGCCGCTTCATCGTCTTCACGATCGCCTCCAATGCCCCAGCGTCAGCAAGCTTGGCTGGATTTTTGCGGGCTTTGTTGCTCAGCCATTCGCAGATGTTGGCTGCCTCTTCCGGATCTTCGGTATCGCCAAAGAGATCCACCTGAACGCAGAAAAATCTGACTGAGCTGCAAGCAGAGTCTGCCTCTTAGATGGCAGAGTTCTTGGACTGACCCCTACGTACCGACTGCAAGAAGACATACCAGTGGTTTGCATGGCGTGCCCCCTGGCATGCCATTGGGGCCATTTAGGGTCATGTCACAACAACTCAGGCAAGTGCCGCCACGGCCGTGAGCGTTTGACCAGGCTGCACACCTTCCTCAAACAAAGTCCTCGATACATCCAGAATCAGATCTCGATCATCGCACACTAACTTCGCATAGAAAATGTCGAACTTCTCCTCAGCGAGCTCTTTGAGCTCGCCAGTGCGAGTTGATGTCCAGTCTACCGGAAACGATGCCTCCTGCTCGCCATTGAAACTTCTGACTTTCACCTCAAAAGACCAGAGAAAAGGAACAGTCTAATGCTACTACAAAACCCGCAGACCAAGGGCTGTCCAAGGTCTGAGACATTAGGGTAGGTCTGACATGGCAGAAAAAGAGAACGAATTCAACCGGTCCTTCAGTACTGAATAAACGACTCTGGCATCAATACAGGTTTACATCGTCAGGGCAAACATGAACGGCATGAGCCTACATGTCTGCTCGCGTCTTTGGCGGCTTATTATCTGACTGCCTGTTTCGCTCTCTGCTATGTATTCTTTACATTGTTCCCTCACACAGCTGTTTTGTTGTGGAGCTAGTGCGTGCCGAAGCCACGACTAGTTCGTTTTAAGGCCCCTGCCGTGGCCACTGTCGCGAGGATAGCCTTTGCGTCCTGCTGGATGCTGTCCTGAGGGTGCTTCAATCGGCGCAACATCTCTGCCAGGGGCTTGGCCAGCTCCAATCGCACGGCCCCGGCTACCCCGCAGCACCGCCGCAGGACGCGGATGCAGTTGCCTTGCACGTTGTCATTGTGCGGGTGCCTCTGCATCGCGGCCACCAGTGGCTCCACGACCCCAGCCTCCACGGCGCGCTGCCGCCGCCCGACGCTCTCAACATCAGAGCCTGCGCACAGGATGCCGACCGCATAACTGGCGTTGTCCTGCAACTGCGCGCTGCCGCTGTGCTCCACCATGCCCTCCACCAATACTTCGAGTGCACCGGCATCCACAGCAAGCTGCTTCCTCCCATCTGCCCCTTCGCCCGGCTTGTTGCCGAAACAAATGTTTCCAATGGCCAGGCTGCCTTTCTCGTGCACTTCCACTTGGTCACGGTGCTGCTGCATGGCAGAAACGATGGTCTCGAGGGCGCCGGCGTCGGCAGCGCGCTGCTGCCTCCTCACCCCTTCCTCGTCGGTGCCAAGCGACAGCCTTGCGAGGGCCCAGCTGCCGTGTTCTTGAACTTTGGCATGACTCGGATGCCTCTTCATCGTCTTCACGATCGCCTCCAATGCCCCAGCGTCAGCAAGCTTGGCTGGATTGTTGCGGGCGTTGTGGCTGAGTTGTTTGCAGTTGTTGGCCGCCTCTTCTGCATCGTCGTTATTGTGCTCAAGGAGATTCACCTGAAAAGAAAGAACTCCGAATTGGCAGCGCTGACAGATACAGCTTCAATGGCAGTGGTGGTGGAAGATAAGCAACAATTGCAGGAAGTTTGGGGGGAGAGGGGCGCAAACAAAAAAGCTCTGCCACATTCCATGGCAAATCCATTTTCGGTCTGCCATAACAAGTGATCCAACAACTGGCTCGCGGACACCCTCTCTGTGGAAACATGCAGATGGGATCGCATCAGTTGAGGCAAGGGCAGGCGTCATGGCAGTGAGTCTCGCAGCGTTCAGCACGCCCTCCACAGGAACCAGACACGTTGCGACGCTTGGCGGAGGCTCGGCATCACCGTTGTCATAGCCTTGCATGGTCCATTTGCCTCAAGCTGGTGACAAGAGCCAACGTTGGCTGGGAAGATCTGGGCAAGCTGCTTCAGGAAGCTCGAGGAAATTACGCACTTCACGCATTTTACGCATGTAATTCTGGGGTTTCGCGAATTCTGTCGGTGGACGTTGACAAACGCATACCGAGCGCGGATGACAAACTTGCAGCCTACGAAACTGCTTAAACGAGCACGAAAACTGATACTTTGCTGTGCATCGCACGAATAGCGTTTTGCCGAAAGCCAAACTGTTTGCCGGAAAGCTGCCGTTTGGAGGGGTCTGGAACGAGGCGTCTGGGTGCAAGTAGTACCATCCGCCGGAATCCTAAGCTGAGACAGAAAGGACGGCTGCTTGCAGTTTTTCTTCTGAGCATGTCCAAACTTTTTTGCCAGGGGTCATCACGGAAGTTGATCTTCCAATTTTCCTTGAAATAGATGATGGCTGATGCGCCCACCTGGCGGCATGTCTGGGCCGCGAGCATGCGAAGCGAACTCGGGGCCAAATTTTGCAAAACGACATATTACAATTACAAGAAGGATTCTGCGCTGCTCTCACACACTGGACACAACAGGGCACCCACCTGACGGTATTTGGGTCGTCCATTCAGCCAGCCCATGCATCGGTAGATGCCGTCTACACGGCTACCCACGCCGCCAGCACCAGACACCTGAATAAGGGTCTCCTCAGTCCACCAGCATAAACAGGCACTTGTCAGCTTGTACGTCGCGCGAAACAGAAAGAGATCACGAGGCTGTTTCTGGGCCACTTATGCCACTGACCCTTTGCAACTTTAAAAACATTGACAGCATCACAGCAACTCAGGCAGGTGCCTCCACGGGCGCGAGGTCTTTACAATCGGGCACACCTTCCTCCGCCAAAGTCTTCGAGACGTCCAAAAACCGATGTTCGAACAACAGTTTTACGGCGAACATGCCGAACTCCTCCTCAACGGCCGTCTTCAGTTCACAAATGCATGTTGATGTCCAATCTATGGGAAAGAATGCTTTGCGCCCACCAGGAAAGCCAACTTCGACACGATCCCGGCAGGTGGCCACTCTCGGCGGAGGCTCGGCGTCGCCATCATAGCCTTCCGTGGTCCAGGTGCCTGGTTGCGCACGCAAATGCCGCAAAGGCTCGACTGATTGAAGGCGCACTCTCCTACGATTTCTGGCGCATCGACTCGCTGCTCTTTGTTTTGCTCACCACCAACAACAACCAACAACCAACAGCCAACAACCGACAACCAACAACCAACAACCTACAACTACAACTACTACATTCAACTTCTCCTCAGCAACTTATTGTGTGAAAGCTGCCGTTGGGAGGGGTCTGGAACGAGGCGTCCGGGTGCAAGTAGTACCATCCGCTGGCATCCTGAGCTGACGGCTTTGGTTTGCTGAGTCATTTGCATACAGTAAATACCACTAAGGATGTCTGAATTCGCTTGCCCAAAGGCGTCGCGGAAGTTGATCTTCCAATTCTTGCTGAAGTAGATGATGGATTCTCCGCCCACCTTGCGACACAGGATGCTGGGGCTCGAGCAGGGGCGAAACGGAGCCGATGTGACGAGCAAATTCCACACTGCCGGGTCTTGTTCGGACCTGGTATGGGGCCGTCGACTTGGAACTATCTTAGACATGGCTCCCACCTGGTGGTACTTCGGTCGTCCGTTCAACCAAGCTTTGCACAAGTAGATGCCATCGACACCCACACCACCAGCACCAGACACCTGAAAGGCGGCCTCCTTGGGGCAAAACAACACCGCGTGTAGCGACGCTGGGCCGAAGCTTGTAGTCTTTGGGGCAGTCTCAGGGGGTGTGGACATGTCGTTTCAAACGGTGACCATGGCTATATTTTGTTGAAGGTGAGCAAGGAGAAAAGGAACCGAGTTGCCAGTTGAGAGTGGAAGATGCGGTTTTGGAGCCAGAGAAGCAAAACTTGATTACCCTCATCCAAAGCCCCCCTATGGATGCCTACACGTCCTGACGGTGCCACCGAGCACCTCCCATTTCCAGGAATTCACCCCAGGATTCCCTCGAAAGCTTGATTCTGCGCACACATTTTTGATGCGTTTCCGATGCTGAGCGTAAGCCCAAACTAACTTGGGTTTCGAAGAGCAAGTTTCTTGTACCCCCGTGGAGACCACCTCATCAGCACCTCGCTCACTCGGGGTACACAAAAATCGATCGCAAGGGGGCCCGGTGAGCATCATGAGCATCAGCCCCTCGAGGGGACGTTTCCCCAAATAAGCCGTGCCTTGAATCCTGTATGACGTTCATTGAAGTGCCCTTCCACGGAAACCCTTCTTCTGCTTCCGTTGTAACCCGGAACTTCGGAACGGGCATCGAGGGCTCAAGCTGGAGAGTTGGTGGTGATCCAAAGAACTGGGCTTTAGGCTCAAGCAACAAAACATGAATGGCCTTGTGATATCGACGCATGGCCCTTGCAGTTCGCGCGTCAAACGTCCCGGAGGGTCAACTAAGGCAAGGGCTAGGGGCATAGCTGTGAGTCTCGCAGCGTTCCCCACGCCTTCCGCGACCAGGCACGTCGTGACACTTGGCGGAGGCTCGGCATCACCGTTGTCGTAGCCCTGCACGGTCCATTTGCCTGATGCAAGCTTGCTGGGTACGGCTACAGGCACCGCGACCTGCACGACATTTTTTGCCCAAACCCAAGCCAAAATGGAGTGTTGGAATTCCTTTGGTGCAGCATGGCACTGCAAAACGAGGCTTCAGCTGAGCCAATGAGCCGACTGAAAGCATAAGCAGCGCGCACTCAACAGGTGAGCGGCAGCAAAACTTGACCATAAGAAATATGTTCAGCACAAATGTGTTTTCTTTTTCAAAGCAAGACTCACAAGCGCAGCAGGTCTTACATGATACTCGTCCGCTGCAGACCATAGACTGGCAACCCTACTTCTGAGGGCGGCGCACAGCAAATTACATAAAGCTTAGCCGGCGTCGGGCTCGCTGCCCATTGGCAGGAGGCACGGGAATGTTGCAGCCGGACGGTAGCCCGAGACAAAAGTCAACGAAGGCAGCTCATAGGCGGTGCTCAGACCGACCAAGAGGAGGAATGACTCACTCACCCAAGCGGCGGCGGACCAGAGGAGGTGGCTGGACGTGGAGGCGGATTGAAGCAGTAGAACAGTAGAACCCAGAACCAGTTCTGCTCCAAGGCCAGGTCAGGCATCATGTGGAGCAAGAGAGGCAAGGCGCATGCATCAGGCATCCAATTCAGCACGCCGCCTCAACGCAGCCCGGGCGCGGCAAGAGCGCACCACAACACTTAGCTCCTGCAAAAGTGCATCGTGCACCGGGCCCGGCTCGGATCCAGTGCGAGCGGCGACCGCCCCTGCGATCTGCTTGAGCACGCGGCCAGCAGCGGCCTCCCAATGTCCAGTGGTCTCAACAACCAACGGCACAAAGCGGACACCTTGCGCAGCGCAAGCTGCCGCCGTGTCGAGGTAACTCTCCTTGTGCCTAGCGTAGGCCTCAGCCGCCGCCCCCGCCTGCACGCTGGCCTGCGCAAGGGTCTCCTGTCGCTGGGGAGCCGTAATGGCGAAGTCGAAAGCAACAGGAGATCCAAGCCATGCCGGCAAGTACAGGTCGGCCGGGCGGCGCCTGCCCGCATGCACATCTTCCGGAGACTGTGGCAGCAAGAGTCCAGGGCGTTCCTTTTCGGGATGGAGACCGGCACGCTCCGCCCAAGTGAACACGGCGTCACGCACTGCATTGTGCCTGAGGGTACGTTCGCCCCCCGCTACGCAGACGGCAGCGTGATGACTGAAGCGGTCTAGGACGGCATCGCACTTGGGGCACCAAGTGTCCTCTGTTGCATCCGGTAGGCGGAGGCGGAAGCGGAGCTCAGCTACAAAGCTCGCTTTCTCCATGTGTGTCCGTCCAGAAGGCAAAGCTACCAAGAATGCGCGGGCCCCTAGACCGGCTTCTGACCTCAGGAGTGCCTTGTCAGTGAGGGAGGCCTGAGCCAGCTGAGTTTCCCAAGCTGCAGCGTCCAGCAGCTGCGACAGCTGACGCTGTTTCAGAGACAGAGCGGCAGCTGCTGTGAGCCGCTGGGCCGCAGGCAACTGGGCATTGAGAGCCTCCAACGCTGCAAGCACGTCGGGTGAAGCCATGACCGCTGAAGCATCAAACTGGGGATCGAGCTCACGGCAACCGTCCAAGCTGCTGCCGAGTGAAGCCAGGTAAGCTGCAGGGGCGTGACGCTCGCACGCTCGGAGGCCAATACCGGCGTGCGAAAAGCCACCAGCGGCTTGCGCCCATTGCGATTCAGTCAAATGGAGGCCAGTCAAGCCCCCAAAGCAACCTCTCACGAGGCCATCAAATGCTGTGAGAGCCGCAGCCTGGGCGACAGAGGGGGCGCACCGCATACTGTGCACCATGCGGCAATAGCCGGCACAAGCGCGCAGAAGGCGCAGGCCTATCTGGGGATCCTCGAGCTCAGCCAAGGCTTCCAACAAGGCGTTTGCCTTCTCCGCCCGTGTTTTGGTATGCTTGCTGACAAAAGTCGCAGGGCCAATGGGGGCACCCAGAAATTCAAACTCTCGCAAGACTCTGCTGGAGCCATCGGCACTTCGAAGCAGCGCAGAAGGGAAGTGCATGAGGAGCGAAGCATCACTCAAGGAACCCATAGCTACCACCTCGCACTTCGAGAGGTTGAGAGCCAGACCTACGTCAGCAGCCTCACGCTGTACGAGGGACAGGGCGGCGGCCACCGCACGGACAGAGCCAGCAACGATGCCGTCATCGAGGAACTGCAGGGCCAAATCGCTGTCGCCTGCACGAAGCTGAGTCGCCACCGGCTGCAGCACTGCGGAGAACAGTAATGGCCCCAGTGGGTCCCCCTGCTGCACGCCAGAACTGGAGGATATGACCCGATCTCCAAACTGCAGTCGCGAGGGTTCCCGATAGCACCAAGCCGCCCAACGTGCAAGCGCGGGGAAGTGGGTTCGGGCTTGGGACAAAACAGCTTCCCTGCTTACACAATTAAAGGCATTGCTGAAGTCCAGTTTCAGGAGCACCTTGTCCGCAGCCTCAGAATGGCGGTGCACCCAAGCTCGGACGGAATGGATAGCTTTCTCCGCACCACCTGGCACTGCCACGCCCACCTGAGCTGGCCAGAAGTATGCTCGGGCATCTTCCTTGACCATAGCCATTAAGCACTTGCCTGTCAGCCGACGCAAGACCTCCCCAACCGCAATGGGCCTCACCCCGCCAGTCGGCTTAGGCAACGCAACCAAGCCCGCGCCAGCCAGAACAGGCGCCACAGCAGCAGGGGCCCGTCCCTGGGCAAGAATGTTGACGACCGCCGTGAGTTGCGTCAACATATGTTCAGCGCTCCCCGCCACACACGCTTCCCGCAGGTGCTGGACTCGCAACCCAGTTGGCCCGGGAGCAGTCTCAGTGGGGAACTCCCTGAGTGCACGGGCCACCAATTCAGCAGCCAGTTCAGGCGCCAAAGGCAGCTCATGCATGGCAGGGGTGGATGGCAGTGTCCCAACAGGGTGTAGGGCTTCCAGGGCGCGGGCAGTGTCGGCCGAAGGTGGAAGAAGGCCTTCAGACAGAAGAGCTGTGCAAGCCTTGCGGTCAAACCCTTCGCGGCCCAGAGAGGTAGCCAAGTCGCGTTTCTCAGCGGCTGTTGGCGGGCCAGCACGGCGAGATCGGGGCACGTGGCGAGTATGCCAAAGCTGCAGGCGCTCGCCCTGCTGCCATCGCTGCAAGCGATCCAATGTGAAGGCTGCGGCCGCTTTGATGTGCTTACGTCCGCGTCGAGGCGGCGGACAGAGCACAGCCTGAGGGAGCATGAGGAGCTCCTGCCAAGACCGCTGGTCATTATGATGAGCTACTGCCGCCAGAGCTCGGGTGACCACCTGGCACCAGGAATGACGGGCAGCAGCCGGTACATGGCGTAGCGTGGGTGTCCTGGCCGACTGTACGTCCTCCACAGAAGGCAGAAGCTCCGCCCCACCACCATCGTCGCCACGTGGGGCATCAGGCACACCAGCTGCAGCCCTTGCCTCGGGCCGACAAGTGGGATGGATACCACGTTGCTCCGAGACACACAACCCACACACCAGACAGCGAGTCTTGCCACGATCGCGGAGCCAACTGTCGGGCACCTCCCCCTCCAGAGCGCCACTGAGGTGGGCATTGATGTGATTCTGCAGCATTGTAGCCTCACTGGCCCAGCCGCGCGCCCTGCGCGGGTCAGAGCAGGGGCAGGATGGAATCGGGCAAAACACCCGGGCAGGGCGAGCGGAAGCACCAGCATCAACCTCCATTCCAGGGCTCCGGGGCCGCCGCCGCTCCCGACCAACTGCAGCCAGAGGCGGCCGCTCACCGCCGAGTGGAGTGCCCGGAGCAGGCCCCGGCTTGCTTGCCTCACCGATGCGTTGCCCAAGGTACGGCCACCCAGACCAACGCTGCGAGCTACTCCCCCAGCAAACCCGCTGCTTCGCAAACAAAATTCCCCTCCGCCGCTTCCAGACGATGGTGGGGGCCCGAGCTGCCAAGCCCAGCAAAGGGTTCCAGAAGAGCTGAGGTTTTAGCGCATGAGAGGTGGCCGCCAAGTCTCGGCGTTCTCGCCGATTCAAACTCGGGGGAATTTCAAGTGTTTTCTGAGTCTGTGCTACAGACTTTCAGAGTCTTTCAGACTCGACATGTGAGCATCACCGACCCAACGCAGGAAGAGTCCCTTGGGGCGGAAAGGGAAAACTGCCAGCGCATCTGAGCTGCAGACATCACTGGTATCACCGTCAGGATGTGTCAACTTGAAAGCCCATGGTTTACCGACCCATCACGACAAGATGTGATACGATGCGGGAAAAATCCTGTGGTGGTGGGGTCGGGGGGAAACAAGCATCGCATCTGTGAGCATGAGCATCGAAGGCGTGATGAGACTTGTGTACCGAACAAATCTTGCGCGTGTAAGGTCTTCTCGGAAGGAAGTGCTGGAGGGGCGGATGGTTTCACAGAATCAGAATAATTCATACATCGTGCTCGAAAGCATGTTTTACTGGACTGTGGACTGTCAGGCACTTGCCAAGCGCAGTACGACAGCTAGCTATGTCCACTGTGTAGAGTTGCAATACGAATCTGGCTGTCAAGTGCAGCTCGATTGCTTGCTGGAAAGCTGCCGTCTGGAGGGGTTTGGAACGTGGTGTCCGGGTGCAAGTAGTACCATCCACCGTGATCCTGAGCTGAGGAACTCGAAGCGCAGCTTCGCAGCCCGACCAGTACATCTGCACACATGCAGCAATTCCGCTGTGAATGTCCAAATTCACATGCCTAAAGTCGTTCATGTCGTTGATTTTCCAGTTTGTGTTGAAGTAGATGATGGCTGATCCGCCCACCTCGACACACAGAGTCCGAGGATCAATGGCTCGAAGCTCGGGGCCAAAACGCAAGCAACATGAGGACTCTGCGCATGACCGGCACCCACCTGACGGTACTTGGGTCGTCCATTCAGCCAGCCCATGCATCGGTAGATACCATCAACACGGCTACCCACGCCGCCAGCACCAGACACCTGAATAATGGCCTCCTCAGTCCACCAGCATAGAATGGCACTCGTCAGCTTGTACGTCGTGTGAAACAGAAAGAGGTCACGAGGCTGTTTCTGGGCGACATATGCCACTTATTGTTTACAACCTCGCAAGAAAATTCCCAGCAGCATGACAGCATCACAACAACTCAGGCAAGCGCCTCCACGGGCGCGAGGTCTTTACAATCGTGCACACCTTCCTCCGTCAAAGTCTTCGAGACGTCCAGAAACCGCTGTTCGAACAGGAGCTTCTCGCTGGGCGTGCCGAACTCCTCCTCAACGGCATTCTTCAACTCGCCAATGCGAGTTGATGTCCAGTTTACGGGAAGGAATGCTTTGCGCCCACCGGGAAAGCCAACTTCCACACGATCCTGGCAGGTGGCCAATCTCGGCGGAGGCTCGGCATCTCCATCAACGTGGGCTTCCGTGGTCCATATGCCTGGTTACAATGACACAATCCCACAATTCATCATCATGCTCGCTACAGTATGAACACGACACTCGCTGCTCCACAGGGTCAGCGCGCTTCCTTTCTGAGATGGCGGCAAATTCAAAACCCTTGCCACACAACGCAAAGCCCAAGCATACAAGAGGTGGACTAGCAATTTAACACACGTGAGTCTGCAAGAATACACATCGCCCCGTTATGGCGCTTCTGCTTCTGTAGAAGGTTGCACGTCAGGGGCACGAATCTAGGACGCATGTCGCTCTCAACGCATGAAAGCTCATGCTAGGCGCTGACGATTGAGGTACTTTTCACAGCGACTTTGCATACAGATTAAACGCCAGTTTTTGCTGTTACTTGCAGCCCGAAACCCTGGGCATCACGCATGTACCGATCATCCACGCAACCTAGACTCATGCCCCACACGCCCAGCTCTGAAGCTGCTGAATGTATCTGACCATGCACGGCAGAAAGCACTTGCGACCTTCCGGCAGCCTTGTCCACAACTCCAAGAACAAACATGATACATTTAAGCTTGGGATATCCCGCGGCCTACTAAACGGGAGCACAAGCAGAAGCACCAGCAAAAGCATGAACAAATGGCTAGTGATCACATGTTTTGTATCAAAACTTGTGCTGTTTTTGGTGCTGCTTTTTCTGCTCCTGTTTCTGCTATTTCTGGTGCGACTTTTTGTGCTCTTGTTTGTGCTATTTCTGGTGACTGGTTCGCATTTGGTGCTCTTTTCCGCCTGTGTGATCAGGTGATGCGAGAACAAGTCCACTTAAGTCAACGGTCTTGAAGGAGCAAGCCAAGGCGTGCAGAAAAAAAATGTAAATGTAGCTTTAAAAAAGGGCGCAACAACTGCTTCGGAAGCTGCCGTTGGGAGGTGTCTGGAACGAGGCGTCCGGGTGCAAGTAGTACCATTCGCCGGGATCCTGGGCTGACGAACTCTCCACCCAATCCATTCGAAACCACTGTGCGCATGCGTGCTGCCCAAAGTCATTGCACAGATTGATCTTCCATTTTCTGTCGAAGTAAATGATGCCTGATCCGCCCGCCTCGCAGAACATGTCTTCGTTGATCAATAAAGACAGAACAAGCATGAAGAGTAGATGTGAGTGGTGTGGAACCAACGGTATGGCTGCTGGCATGGCGGGTCCCACCTGGTGGTATATGGGAAGGTCATTCAGCCAGCCACCGCAAAGGTAGATGCCATTTGCGCCTCTGCCGACACCGCCTGCACCTGACACCTGAAAGCTTTCCTTGGCTGCTGCATGAGTTGGGAGCCAACACATGGCTAACCAGTGGAGTGCACCTTGAATGAAATCACTTACATGTGGCTTTCTACGTGAGCCGAGACCTCATGCACATTCCCTCCTTAGGGGATGGAAGGAGGGGTTAGGGTTTAGGGAGAGGGAAGGAGGGTTTAGGGTTTCAGGGTTTAGGATTGGCTTGAGGGTTTGGGAGCCCTGAACCCACCCCCTAATTCGGAATGGGTTTCAAAAAAGGCGGGGTCGGTTTCGGCAGGATTTTCCGGAAAGTGTTTTTACAATTCGGGGGGTATTTAATAAAAGGGGGAAGTGATTAATGAGCACACCCTCCCGCCCCCACAAGTCTTAGAGTACTAGAGATGGCAATAAGCCGAAATAAGCGAACTGCCACAACTGAGGCACACCAACCCCAAGCTTGCATTGAGCTCAGCAGCACGAGGTGGGGGATCCTTGTGCTGAACCTGGGTATACCAGACTGGTGCTCTGGTCCGTTCCACGAAGCAGAAATCTACACAGCTGTGCAACATGCCAATCAGGCTCGAGCCAGGACGATGTCATCAAGCAGAACGGCTGGCTCGTGGAGCTCGTCGGTCTCGGGGTTCATGAGGTAGACTGGTCCATGTGGCTCAAGGTGGTGCACCTTGAGCCGCCTCCCTTTCGAGAAGTTGAATTCCCCGATTCTGATAGGGATCTTGCACTCGACAATGTCTCCGGAGTGGAAGCCTGCTGCTACCTGCATCATCCACGCTGATGGGAGAGAGCATGCAGCAATCCCGTTCATGCGCGCAGGATGGATGTGCTTGAGGTTACAAACCTTCATCCTATCCAAGGCCAACGAAAGCCAGAGGGCACAAGAGACCCCCTATCCCCGCAAGCCGCAGACAGCACCGACTTTTCTGCTCGCCGCCTCTCGTTTGCGGCGAACGCGCCCCAGAAGCGCGAGCGAAACTGGAAAAATCGCACAGCTGTGTGTTCTTTTTTGCTGGTGTCCGACAGTAAGAGACCTGCACAACCAGGATCCAAGGCCTTTCTCAAAACCCGGCAGCCCCTCCTCATGAGAGAGCACATGCTGTAGGTACTGCCGCGGCTGCGAAACAGACTTGCGTGCCACAGACAAGGCATGTTTGCCAACTTCAGCCTTAACAGGGACCGAAACGGCTGTCAGAAACAAAGCCTCGACCCCCCCAGCTCCCACTGCTGCGAGGGGGGTTCAGAGGCAAGATCAGCTGGAGGAGCCCAGAAAGGGCGGCCAAAGCCCACCCCGAATTTCCATTGAATGTGCCACCTTCTTGGACATGGCCCTGAGGTCATTGGACTAGCTTGCTGTTCTGAGCGGGTGCGCAGCACGACGGAGAATTTTGACACGCACCGTATGCACGGTATTGATGCATCAAGCTCGCAAGCATCGAGTATGTACTGCTGAGGCACGACTGAACTGAAGCCTAGCTTGTACTAGCTTGCACTAGCTTGTGATCGATGTACGTGCATCAACCCAAAACATCGAGTTCGATCACCAGCGCAAAACTCGGCCAAGCCGCACAAGAAAGACATGCCTGTCCCTTTGCCGCATCGAGGCGGGGCAAGGACATGTCCTGCTTCTGGAGCTTCTCGAGCTGAAGGGCTAACTCCTCCCGTTTGGCCTTCCTCGCAGCCGATGCGGCCAGAGAAGGCCTGGCACCAGCATCAAGGAGCAGCTCAGCCAGCCCAGTGTGCTCGTTCGAGCAGGCCGTCATGAGGGGCGTCTCGCCAGTGTCCAGGCATGCGTCGACATGCGCCCTAATCTGAATGAGGTACCTGGCGGCATCAAGATGATTGTTCTGTGAAGCCAAGTAGATGGCTGAAACACCTCCTCGTGCTCGCGCTTCCGTGTCGGCCCTAGCTGCCAGAAGGGTCTTAAGAACTTCAATTTGACCGCGCTGAGCTGCGATGTGAATAGGGCAGGCCCCGCTGGCCAGCTTCGCCCGCGGATTCGCCCAGTGGTGCAGCAGGATCTTCACAGCCCCGGTGTGCCCAGCCTGAGAGGCCACGAAGACAGCGGTGGCTCCGGTCCCCTTCATCCCAACGTCCAGCACACTGGCCGAGAACCTGTTAACGAGATCGGGCACAATGAGGCACAGGACATCCACATGCCCGTTGTGAGATGCCATGATCAAGGGCGTCGCGCCATCATTGGCTTCTGCGCAGAGATCGGCCTCGCTTCCTAACAGGACCCTGCAAGCTTCCAGGCGGCCGTTCTGCGCGGCCTTGAACAAAGGAGTGGCCCCATCCAAGCTGCGTGCATCGATGGAGGCACGCCTTTCCAAGAGGACGGCGACGATTGGCGCATGGCCGTTCTGCGCAGCGATGTACAGGGCAGTTGCATCTGTCCGATCCTTTGGGTCGACATTGATGTCCGGACAAGATGCCAGCAGCCGGTGTGCGACCGCTTCGTGCCCATTCTGCGCAGCAATCAGCAGCGGCGTTGCCCCATCCTGTGTTGCGAGGTTCACGCCGGCTCTGGCGTTCAGCAGAAGTGGCACAATCGCTTCGTGGCCATTCTGGCTGGCAACGTACAGCGGACTTGCACCGGTGTTCAAGCATGCATCTGCATTTGCCATGCTTTCAACTAGGAACTCCACCACCTCCTTATGGCCCCTTTCAGCCGAGGCAAATAGGGGCGTGGCACCACTCACATCCTTACTTGAGATGGAGCTTTTGAACAAGAAAAAGTGATGTGGAAGTAGCGTGTGCACGTGACAGTTGAATGCATCTCTCGAATCCGGGTCGGGGCTGCTAATGTCTGTTGCAGATTGACACAGTCATACTTGGAAGCTCGATTGGGGAGCCTGTTTGCACCTATGCTGGGCATCGCTGCAGCACTGTTAAAACTTAGCATAACAGACGTGAGCACTTCCACCGCTCGAAGCAAGTTGTCTTGGCGATCTTCAGGGCGAAGGAAAGATGTGGAAAAAAACGGACCTCAGGAACAATCTTGACTCAAAATTGCAAGCCAAGAATCCGGTCTGTCCCAGTCGGCCGAACCTAAGCCAGCCTTCTGCAAGCAAAGAAGCTTCTCCTTGTCGCCACACCGACTCGCCCTCCATGCGGGCGTTTCACCCCTTTCGCACACACAGTTCGGATCCTGACATTGCTTCAAGATTTCTTCAACTTGCTTCGTGGATTCACTCCCAGGAATTGCCGCCGCCTCCAGCAACTGTCCCGCAAGGACATCAAGAGCAGGAAACACGTGCACGTAGACATGAAAAGGTGAACCCAGCTCCTCCCATGAACCAGGGCCCAGCTCCGACTGGAGCTGGCATTTTTCCCTCAGGAACTTGGTGCGGTAATACGGTTTCCCCCATTCTTTGTGGAATAGATCGCTCAGCCATTCAACAAAGTCTGGCTGATCCCGTGCAGCTCGCACAGCTATTCGCTTCTGCTCTCCAGAAAGGTCCGACTCCAACACGATTTCGGTGTCCGCCGTGCTCTGAATGCTGACACTTGTCGTCGTTGCTCTTTCTGGAGGCAGGGTGAGGTTAGCCTCACCCTGCTTCACCTGGAGTCTGGAGTGCTTCTGACATCCTTAGCTGAATGGCACAGGAGCGTACCGGAAACAAAAGGATAACTGTGACAAGAATCAGCTTGTAGAATCTGCCGGCAGGAATTTGCTCTGTTCCAAATAACGTTCATTCACAGTCGATGACAAGCGTTGATGACAGGCGTTTGCGCTGCCGCCCACACTAGATGACAATTCCTTGCCCTGCTGCAGCTGGCGGGCGTGGTAGGGGCATGACAGTTGCCATGGCAGTAGGGGTAACGGTAGCTGTAGCAGGACTTGTAGAAGGATGGCTAGAAGTGGGAAGACGAGGAGCAGGAGGAACAGGAGTGGGGTCGGGTTCGGAGTGGGGGTGCGAGTGGTGGTGGCGGCGAGTAGCCGCAGCAACAGCCAGTAGTAACAATACTAGCTGCAGTGGAAATAGTAGTGGAGAAGGTAGCAGTCGTTATAGTAGTAGCAGTAGCAGTTGTAGTTACAAATAGCTGTAGTGGCCGCAGTCTACCTACTGTTAAAATTCTGCAGCTGCTGTTGTGAGCTCTTGGCCAGTCCGGTCTAAGCGTGAGCTTGACAGACATGTTTCATGCTTGGAAGCTAAAGGCTAAAGGAACCGAGCGTCTGCGTTAAGCTTATGCTAGGGCGTTTCCCCCGATTCCAGTATGAAGTGTAGCTTGCAATATTGCTATTCGTTAGTGGAGCAGATGTAGTGGTGGCGGACCAGCCTAGCGCCGGCCTGCCTAAAATAGTATGCATACGAAGCGTGATAGTCATTTTAATTCAGAACAAGAATGTATATACACACATATTGTGTACGTAAATTCCGGACTTTGAAAAAACAACACAGGCCCGGATGGGATGGGCATTGGGTGGTTGAAGCGAATTTGGGTTGCGGAGCTGTCGCAGAGATGTCATGGATTTCCACACGATCGAATGTTTTGGGCAATTGGAAGTAGGCCAAGTAGAGCTAGTGACAGCAGTAGACTCTTGTACGGTCTGAGTGCCCGGCGCCTGTCTAGCGACGGACGCCACAATAAGCCTTGGATAAGCCAGAGTTTTGAAACCAACTTAAGCCCATGGTCTTCCAGGACTCATGCAACTTGAAGCAGGTCGGGGGCTTGAACAATTTTTAGTCTGAGGCCCCTGCCATTCTGTCAACACAATTCTGGCCCCGACATCAATGTATGCATATGTGTATATATATATATGTGTGGATACGTATATATATATATGTATATATATATATAGATATATGTACGTATATCTATGTCTGCATGTATTGTGAGCAATCTTCCTGGAGCTTGAGCCAAACTGCTCAGATGAACCGTGATGAGTTGGGTTATGTCTGTGCTGGTGACTGCTGGTGTCCACGCGAGTCTGGCTACATTGATGCTAGTTTGGGAGAGCATATCTTGGTTCGGGGGATTCCGGCTGCATTGTCCGTGCCAAATGGCTGACGTAAGCCAGGTTGTTTGGTCTGGGGGTTGTTGAAGTTGCGGGTAAGTGGTGGCGATGACAGGTTCAACAATGAGTGTACTGCCGGGCAAGATCACGGAGATTTGCCAGGAGATTTTTTGGGGGTGGCGGACTTCACGGGCGTTTGCGGTGAAGTGCTGCTGGCAACTCTTGGTGACGGGTGTTCTTCGGGAGCAAGCGCGCGATAGACCCAAGATTTCCGATGGATGCCAAATTTGGTCGGGTGAGCTAGTCAGCTAGTCCAATCTGTATCGGTCTGCTACCCCCTGTCTTCTTCCGCTGTCGTCCCTAACCTCCAGGTCAAAAAAAACAGCAGGGGGAGTCTCTCTTAAAGGTCAACAAAATTGCACGTGCAGTGTGGAAAGGCCCCCATCTCCAAAGCGCATCTTTTCCATGTTCTTCAGCGACGCTTCCAGCTTGGAATGGCAGCTGCCCCTCTTACGTATTCTCATCAGCCACCCGTTTTTTTTCTCACATGTTGGTCCGTGCACGAACTACTGATGTTCAAGAGGGCATTCATTTGGAGTTTCTTGTCTGGTAGTTGCAGCAGCATCCGTCGTGCACAAAAGCTGCTCAGCGGATTCCGACTGAATCTCCAGGCCTAGATTTAAAAGTTCTGCCGGCGGTGTTGAACCTCCCACTGGTATGTACATAACAGATCTGTAAAGGCCTCTGTAAATGCGGCTTTTTGCACTGCAGCACTCACTCTGGTCATGGCAAATGCCCGCTTGGACCGGTCCAAACAGGACACTGACATCACCAAAGCCTGTGTCGAAGCCTGCGTCGGCTGCGCACGTCTCACTGCGGGCCTGTCTGCTCCGAGTCGCTCTCTGCTGCCTGATTCTGCAGGGCAACGTGGCGACCACACATACCCGGGGGTCCATCACGAGATTCACACTGGCAAGTCCGGCATGACCAAGCGGGGCCAACATGAGGCAGTACAAAAAATCCAGACCATAGAAATAGTTTCGATGCTTCTTTAACCGACTGCACTGCGGAAACGTATTGCCCCACGGCCGACACGGCACAACGAACCACATTTTGCGCTCTAACCACATGCAATTCGAAGCTCCAACTTGACCGGTACATCGTATACCCTGTTTCGCCCAAACCTGTTGTTACATTGCGCTCTCGATCTGCGTGCCTTCGACGCTGTGGAAGGAACTTGACGGGCATCAGCGACGTTGTGCGGCTCCAAGCTGAGGTCGCTGAGCTGGCCGATCGAGTTCTCCTGCAGGGGCCGGAACGCCCAAAGCCCAAAGCCCCGAAGTTCGGTGCGCTTTTTTCAGGCCCCAAGGGATCTCGTGTCTTTTTCCTGGAGTTTGGGGTCGTACTGTCGATCCGAATTATGGGCCTTCCTTGGTCTCCATTCTCGCGTATTGCTTGACTTCAGCCTTTTCTCATCAACTGTCAACCCGAGACTGCACACGCTCCGGCCTGAAGTAAACCCTAAACTCCAAACTAAAGATCAACCCCAAACCTGAAACCGAAAACATACCCAATCCGCAACCGTAACCCCCCGAATGGCGAAGCCCTTAGAGTTTGGAAACCCCACCCAATCCCCCCCACCCACCTCTGACCATTGCAATTCCTCAACCTGCGAAGCAACGCGCAAAGACACCGTGGCAGAAAACGCTGCGAAACTTCGAACCATACTGACGTGGCAGTAACCCTTCGCCGCCCTGTATTTGATTTCCACCTCTTCATCGGAGCTGATGTCGGCCCAGCGCTTTTTTGCAGCTTCCTGCCCGGGGGGGGGGGTTCGAAAGGCCCCACCATGCCCTGTCATCTACAAAACAAGGAGTCCGTGCAAACAAGAAGGGAGGTTTTCTTCTCTGCCCGTGCATCATGTTAGCAGCTTGCGTGAGACTTGTCAGATGCAGCACACTTTGAGTTGAGAGCCCCGTCACGCTAATCCGCCGAGGCCTCGGGCCGGAGGTGTATAGGTTGTGAGAACAGGCCCTCCAAATCCTCCCCAACCCCTTTTTTTGCCTCACCCTTTGTAGGAAACCGGGGTCCGCAAGCGGACGGTTCGCCAGGACCAGAGGCAGTTGAAGCCCCCCAGCAGGGCCCCCGCCCTTTCCCTCCTGAACCCCCGCCCCTGCTACCCCTACCCCCCCCCCCCCCCCTCCTCCCCGCCCCCTCCCCAATATTGGTGAGCGGGTTTTCGAGGCTCAACTGGTGTGAGCACGGCCGGGGATGCATTACACGAGCCAAAGAGTCTAAGCTTGAACCTAAACCCTAAACCTTAAACCCTACGATCAACCCTAAACCCAAAAAAACCCTAAACCCCAAAGCGTGAACCTTGAGCCCTAAGCCCTCAATCCTAAACTAACCCTCAACCCTAAACCCCAAACCATAAACCATAAACCGTCATAAACCCGGAACCCAAAATCCTAAACCCAACCCTTATTGCTTGGGGTCCAGCGACTTGGGCGCTGCGGAATCACCATGCTCACGCGGATGCGCTGGGCCGGGCCGAGGCGGGTCGCGTAGCGTTAAAATTACGAACACCCAAGCCGTGATAAGCGATAAGCAGTTTTGTCACCCCGTAGATCCCTTTGGTGGTGGTGTTTGAACCCTGAGCTGTCCATTGCACTGCCTGATCCCTTGGTTGCAGGCCAGTGACGTCAGTGGAGGGGTTGGCCGTAGCACAAAGTGTCCACCACCCGATGCATAGCTGATGCTTCCACCGTATGCGTGTGCCCCCACACAGTGTAGGGTCACACCCTCCCACTTCGGATCTGTATATCTGTATTGGGGCTTTTCAGCTTTTTCATGTGTGGCATCTGAGTTCTGTCGAGTTTGAGGAGGGGAGGGCAGTTGTGTCATCCCGGAAACGTCATTGAAGGTCCTAACTGAAGTACTGCCGAGGGTCGCAGGTTTGCGTAATACCTCTTTCATGCTGCTTTTGGGGTACCGGCTCCCTCATGTGTTCTTCTCCTGCGTGAACCTATTTAATTTCTTGATGGTCTGGTTGATCGATGTAAAGGCCACGGAAGTTGTGCCATGGATGCCTCGGGTGGAGGCGGTGGTTCGTCGCCATCACTGCTGTTCGCTCTTGTGCTGTGGGATCTGCGTGGAACTCTTCTGTGTGTTCGTCCCCGCTGAGTGGCAGGGCGTTGAGGGCTTGTGTAGCCAGAACGGCTTCCTCTTCTACGAGGAATGGTATGAGCTGGGTCAGAATGCGGGCATGCCTTTTCCAGACCCCCCCTCCCCATTGTTGCGGGGGGGAGTTGCTTTCTTGACCTCGGCGCTGCCACAACTACAACTGGTGTGCGTGCGTCTCTGGCCTCTTGCATGAGGGACAGGATTTCTTGTAGTTGTCTCTGGGTGCTGTGGTCCCTGGCTCTTGCCTGGGTTTTCCCCCACATGCGGGCCTCGGGCTGTCATCTGCTGCCACATAGGCTCCCCCCCATATTTGCCAATCCCGGACCCCAGTGACCTGGTTCATCCTGCGCATTCCGTACTCCACCAGAACTCGTGTGGTTGCTAACGATTTGAATTTGCCGGACTTGTGGTGGGTGTATGTGGTGTAGTTGTTAATGAGGGTCTGCAGTTGTCAATGGCAGCGGTTCTGATTGGCTCGGGTCGTGCTTGTGGTGACGTGGCCGCCCCGTCATCGGTGTGGTGCCCCTTGGTTCAGTTCCTGCGGCCGGCAGGGAGTTTGACTTCTGTTGTGGTTGTGGTGGCGGGGGCCTTCTCGTCGCCATTTGTGGCCCGTTTTTGCAGCAAACGTCGCAGGATCCGGGGGTATATTTATGCCGGAGCCAGTGTGATGTGGTAGTGTAGTTCGCCCAGGGATGTTCCTCCCCCTTGGTCTTGTGTTGGTGGTCTCGTGTGTTGGCGTTTGTTCCCACTTTTGGGGGGGATATTGCTCTGGGGTTCGCTTTGGTGGTCCGTCTGGGTCTGGATGATGCTCCTGGTTCTCTCTCGCTCTCTTGCTGACCTCTCTCTCTCTCTCGCTCGTTCTCTCTTATTCCTCTTCTTCTTCTTCTTCTTCTACGGGGCTCTGTCTCAGTGTCTCTCTCTCTCTCTCTCTCTCTCTCCACACGCTAGGCCCCCCAGAGGGGAGCCGCCCCGAAGGGCGCGAGAGTTCCATGTCTGGCGTTTGTTTCTCTCTCTCTCTCTCTCTCTCTCTCTCTCTCTCTCTACGGCCACACTTGATTCAGGCACTTAGAACGCATAACGACGCTGCAAAACATCCTGCCTCTTGGACACTGGAAAAGCGTGAAAAAACAAAGGAGAGAAAGAGAGAGGGCGAGAAAGGCAAGACAGAGAGAAAGAGAAATAGAAATAGACAGAGAAAGAGAAAGAGAGAGCGCGAAAGAGCGAGCGAGCGAGAGCGAAAGGGAAGCTGAGCACCACCCACCATCGCAATGAAGCTTCATCCAGCCGGAAATAGACTGAACATGTTGGGGGAGAACTTTCTTAACATTCAGGGCATGTAAGCTTCAGTCTTCCCTGCTGCAGATAGGCTTCCAAGGCGATTCCGGAAATAAAGTTTCATCTTCTGGTGGGTGGCAATAAACCCCCGGCATCTGATACCTCTCCTAACAAAATGCAGAGCCTAGGCGAAAATTTGCTGTGAGGATCTGTGATACGAAGCATCAATCTGGCCTGCAATGGTCCAGGTTGGGGAGGTGCTTGTGAGCTTTGGGGCTGGAGCCCCATGGCACCAGCATCCTGAGCATCTCCACAGCAGCACATGGCGAGCGGCGTCATCTTTCCAGCACTGGGTATCTGACTTCTCGCCCGGAACGCAAAGCCTCAGCTTGCGAGAATAGACATGCAGGCCCAGCAGCTCAAGGGCCTTGTTTGTGCTTCTGATCGCAGCACAGCAACCATTGGCTTGTTGTTCACAGCAACCATTGGCTTGTTGTTCATATTCTCCGCTCCATCCTCGAGATCTGCACCAAGAAAACATGGCATGCTGCCCGAACCTCTGCGGGGATCCGACCTCGCTCCAACGCGCAGCCTCAGAACTGATGACAGATAAGTAAATGGAACGAAATGTTTTTTTGCAGGCCCTGGCTTCACTTCGAAGTGTTGCGGCTCAGCAACATCTGGCGTGCTGCTCGAGTTTTGCAGTTCAAGTTCAACGGCCCTCTCGATGAAGATGACGGCATCGTCAGGGGCAAGGCTTCGTGCCTTTCCACTGTCGGAATTGGGCAGGCCACGAGCCGTGCATTGTGTAGCAAGACTTGTTGACAGAGGTATTAGAACTCACATGTCCGGCTGCCTGATCCAGGCTCCTCTGTCTCTGTTTCTCATCAATCTCCTGCTGCTCCTCCTAAGCTGCCGAGGCTGAAGTCGATATGTTATGATCTCTCCTTTTACGTTTGGGAAGTATAGGAAAAAAAGTAGGGCCGGATAGAGGCAGGATAGAGACACATGCCTTGTGCACATGCGTGGAGCCTCGGTGCGGTCACCCTTCTTCTGCCTTGGCCCTGTCGGCCCGGGAGTGCTGGAAGCCTGTTGGACGAGGCAAGGCACTTTTGGGATGGTACTGCAGCGTGCTTCTTCGGATGTCTCTCAAGGCCTGACGAGGTTAAGTGCTTTGCCGGATCTGATCATCTAGGACTCGAAACGGGTGCATGGCATGGCTGCACAAGCCTTCGCCGTCTTGACCGGCTTGGCACAGGTGCTGAAGCCGCAGATGCCAGACTGCCAACAACGTAGTCCCAGGAAAACACAGCCAAGAGATGAACCACCAACATACGCAACTCGGGTGCGCGACATGGGACAGCCGGCTTATCCAGCCTCTTTGCCGCAGACGAGAACGGCGATACCGCCGTCCATCTCGTTTGCGAGGCAGGCCTCTGCATCCAGGAAGACCAGGCCTTCCCCTGTGTCCTTGAGTATGCAAGTGACCTTGAGTCGGGTGCAGTCAGTGCATCTCAAGCTGCGTGTCTCGAATTCAAATTTCAAGCTTTCTTCGCCACTTGGAAGCCGCCTGATGCTGAAATGAAAGATCTTCAAGATCCTCCACTTTCATCTTCACAGCAGTCACCTCTGCAGCTGGGGCTGCCAGACAAAGGGCTCCCTCTACCACTGATCTTATGCGCAGCATGGCCCGACCTCGATCTTTTGCCCGGCATTGCGGGTATCGTCGCACTCGAAAACCTGTGTGAGGGCTGGAGACTCATGTGGCGTCGCTCCCTGCGGGAGACACAACAGAAAACTCAAAGCGGCCAGAGAGAAAAACGCATTTTTGACCTTTCAACACTGCTTTTGGCTCTGGAAGTTCGGCTGATCCGTCAGTTTTGCGTAAAGTTGGAAAAAGAGTCCGGAGAGTCTGGCTTGGAGCATCCGAGCTGCTTTCGACTCACCGAATGCCTGGCGCACCACAAGCCACGAAGACTACAGCATGACAAGCGCTGCATAAGGCGCTTCTCTGAAACTCAGGCCCCGGCGGCATTCTGCATGCTGCTGGCCACCGCCTTGAGGTCTTCAGAGCGGACGTGTCCTCAGTGCAACTCAACATGCTTGGTGGGCCGTGGGCAGAGGTTTTTCTGAAGCACTTCACTTTCAACTGCTGGGCAAAGGCCCCCAGAGCTGCACAGATTCTTGAAAGAGGGACGCAATGCGATGCACTGGGGAAGGCTTTTTCCCGATGACCTCCTTGCTGTTCATGCGTGGAATGCCGGGGGGGGGGGGGGGGGGGGGGAATTGAAATTGATTGTCTAACTGTCTAACTTTTCGCGTAAAGGAATCGTGCTTCCTCGGCTCCTGAAACCAGGAGGCGGCGAAGCTCTCAACCTGAATATTGCCTGACAGCTTGTTAAAGGGCCACCCTGAAAGAATGCAAGAACCAGCCCAGGACCCTGGCGGCCAAATTTGCACCGCAGCGCTGAGTTCTGGCATTTTGTCGGCATCTTCTGCCTGGAGGCCTGGACCTGACATGAAAGGACTGAACACAGGGCCACACTTCACACCGGATTAACTTGATGGCTTGCAATGCGGGGGCTCGTGTTGTACTGTGCTGCCACACGCTGATGCTGCACGCCGGGCACAAGGCGAATTCTCGCTGCGCTCCATGATATTCTTTGAAGGGTGAACGGCAGGACTCTGAGAGCCCCGCAGACTGAGTCAGCACGAGGGCCCTTAGATTGCGCGAGCCTCCAAGAGTGTAAGGAGCCTGGCATCTTGCAGCAAAGCAGCGGCAACGTGAGGCTCTCGAAGTTGTTCCCAGCGCCCAGGCCCCTATGGCTACCTGGCCTGAGTTTGCAACGCGCAGGTCTAGACAAGAGCCACAACGGCTGCAGGCCCTTCGGTCCTGAAATGTATCGAAGCGCACCCATCTGCAACTTGCAGCATCCGCTGCAGATGTCGATGGTAGCAACATGACTGACTGAAACTACCTCGAGCGTCAGGCGTAAATTCGGTGGAGCAAAAAAACCGTCGGCCCTTTGTTGCAGGAATGCATCTTTGCTCATTTAGTAAGAATTCCGTTTTTCCAACAGTCGTGTCTCGGATCCACCTCCAAAGTCTGGACCGGCATCGCTTCTGAAAGGCATGAAGAAGCAGCACAACATGCAGCAGCACGTCCCAAACGCGAAAAGGGAACAAGCTGAATCGCATGAATAAATGAGTGGCCTCCAGTACACAAATACAACAATTCTCTACTTCGATCGTCACAACCGTACAGCTACTCGATGCGGAAGCCATCCGAATTTTGGGAAGATAATGAAGGGCAGGCAGCCACTAAGACAACCGATGTGCCAACAAAGGCAACTGTTGTAACCGGGCGAGATTTTCGTTTTTCATTTATGGCTACTGCAGTTAGATTAGACATTTAGTCATACAAATAACAAGAATGCCGCCGACCCAGAGTCCCTCAGCCTGCGGCCTGCGGCGAAGTATCCGTCATTATTTTCGAAACGGCACCGGCTATTCAAGCAATGTGACGTTAAGCTAACTTGAAACTATAGTTGACCTCCAAGCATCCTAACCAAATCATCCGATGAATTACACAGTAACATGGCAGTTTCGTCCCCATAAAGTTTAACCTACTTCTACTGTCGGCTGGCAACTTAATCTGACATCCGTAAATTGCAAACCCTCCTTTATCGACAGTAGTATAGAATGAAAGCAAACCACGAAAACTCTCGCATTTTAACTTGGGGCACCACATGTTATGGATTTGGTCAGAAGTATATCCTCGAAGATCTACTCATGTAAGAAATGAAGCATTTTCAAAAATAGCACGCCATGATCATTCAATGTATACAATCAAACTCCATCTACATGGCTTTCCACTTTCCAATTCGGATATGACACTGCCGCTACAGGTCAACCCGGAGCTTTAGATCAACTCAATCAGGACGAAAGCACGCTGCAAGCTCACGAATGCACCTTTTGAATATCCGTGGCTCATGTTTGCACAAGATGCTCACCAGCTTGACTTCAGATAACAATACCGCGCGCTTCCAAGGTGGCAACCGAGAATGGAAGAGTTCACATACACATGGCCTACAAATTGTCCGTTGCGGTTGCGCCAAGCTGTCAAGAATTCCAGCACAAGGCGGATGCAAGAGTTGCACTGTGTAGGACTGGAGTGACTAAGAGGTCTTGCTCCGGATTTCCGAGGAGCACTCCCGTCGAAAGGCGAGCAGCTGACAGAAGGGTGCGGAAGCGCCGAGCACTACATATCACTACATTTGGGGCTGGGGGGGCAGCTTGGATTGTCTCGTGGCCTGCCTCGCCTCCCTCACAGTATGACACAAATTACAGTGTCTCACCGACAGCTGCGACAGACCGGTGTCGGTCTGCATGTCACCGTTAACTTTAAATCTGTGAGACGCATTAAATTAGCTTGCAGCAGATTAGCACAACCGCCGCTCAGAAGAGGCTGGCCTGCGAACAGGGGTACAAGACGGCTACCGTAGCGGATGCGGGGTGTTTTTGTCGTGCAGGTGACAGGGTGGTGAGGGCGACAGCGTCGTCATACTATCCTTCGCGAGCTGACCCGAGGATACCCGAGGAATGAAACGGCCAATATACCATAAGGCCATAAGGCCATAAGGCTCACACTGTTATTCTAGGCCTATCAGGATGTCTGAGGTTTTATGGCAGCTTAAGGCCACAGAAGGCCGAGCAATTGATAACTTCGGCGGCCTCGGCCGCGGCTTCTTCGAGTCTGAAAATGTCCTAAGGATGCCCAAATCAAGTCCACAAAACATGAGCATCTCCCAACATAGGAGGGTCTCTCTAATATGCCAGCGCAGACACCAAACAGTGAGAGACCATGGGAACACGAAGAGCAGACACCAAGAGCACATTTGCGCATGTCGCGAAGGCAGACGTCCCAAACGACAGTCTCGCATTCTGCGAACCCAGAAGCCAAGAAGTGACGACTCCAGTTTCGAGGACGACGATCGCGGGGGCACGCCATAGGCGAGAACACGATTTTCGTCCAAAACGTGAGCAAGCTTCGAGAAAAAGCGCATGGTCCCGGGCCGTGGGCGCTGCGGCTTCGACCTGCCCCCACTTACCTTTTCTGGTGGAACCCTTTCATGTTGGCAATGTTCGAAGAGCTGTAATCCTTTCAAAATTTTTTGGAGCCCCAATAAATTCAATAAATCCCCTTAGTCTAGGAAACCCCAAATTTGTGGCTCTTCGAGACGGGCAGCTCCGAGACCTTCTGCCCGGAATCAGGGGCTTGGCGAGCCTGCAGCGCGGCAAACCGAGACATGTCTCGATTTTTCTGTTTGCATTGACAGCCCTCCCCTCGCAACCAGGGCATTCCGAGTGGAAAGTGCGCCAACGACAGGCTCCCCATCTCCCGCCTGCATTGGGCTGCCGCACGCTCCTGGCCAGGCATATTGCCTGTGGCCTGCCGGCGGCGAAGCTGCGGGACGCATCATCACCACTTGGCGTGGCGTCATACATCCTTAGCAGCCGCAGACGGCGAGGCGCTGTCTAAGACGGCAACTTGCTGACTAAAAGCAACGCCTCGGCTGCAGACAAGACACTGGGAGATGCCAAGGACGGCATGGCAGAAATCGATGACTGCGGCTGCGGTCTCCACATGCAAACCTTGGCATCTCACACATGCTCGTATATGCTCGTTACTCTTCCTCGGCGAGCCCGATGTCCTGTGACTCTACCAGGTCATGATGTTCCAGCCTCTCGGTGTTGAGTCCCGGAAGAGGAAGTCATCCTGCCACAGAGGGCCACAAGCTGACAAGTGTTGGCTTCAATCTGCAGAAAAGCTGTGAGAGCCCGTCCTGCACCGAGGCTCTTGAAGCCAAACGTCGGCAACCTATCTCAAGCGACTCAATTCCGGGAGCAGAGTCAACCCAGTTGGCAGGGCAGTTTGCGTAAGCTGGCGTCCTCGCCAACGTTGCTTTTTTTTGGGGGGGGAGGGAGTTGGGGGGGACAAGGATGGCCAATAAGGACTGTGGCAGGTTTTGCTCCCTTCCGCGAGCAGCGCCCACTGCCTCGCAACCTCTGCGCCGCCGACTCGGCCAACTGCCCCAAGAAGGGGCAGGTTGTTTGCAGATCGATTACACCTTCGGGTCTTTCTCCCAACAGCCCTGACATGCATGGAAGGGTCTCTCCCGTCTGTTGCTCTATTCTTCTTTCTTCCGTCAGTTCCTTTTGCGGGTCTTTCGTTCCTTCTTTCTCTCGTTATTCCTTTCTTTCGGCCTGAGCCCCTGCGCTGCGCGCCTCCAGTGTATCCCCAAACAACCCTTCCTGAAAACGTTGAATCAAATTTCTAAGGCACGAAATCAGAAGCTGGGCATTGCCACCGTGAGTTGAATCCTGAGACCAGCGCCTGCTGTGGCACCGCATGCCTGGGTTCCGGGAGCCAGGGGTGAAGAAGCCAGGCCCCTGGGGCCCCTGCGTTTAACAGTTTAATGCAGTTGAGACCGTGACCCTGTCGCATCCAGCCAGACCGTGCTGCGATGATCATAGACTGGAGATCCTGGAAGCAGGGAATCTGCGTGTCGACTCAAAGGCTGCGCGGAAACACATCTCAAGCCTTAAGCCTTATAAGCCTTGAAAGCAAAAACTGCAGGCAAGGGTCGTGTCATGGGAGATGCCGCACGAGTTGCAGGCAGCTTTGGCTCTGCAATGATGCGATGCTCCACGCGTGCTGTTGGCGGAGGTGAGCTTGCATCAAACCCGTGAGAGGTGGACTGATAAATCCGTGGGGACAAGTCCATTCGTGGTGATCTCGATGGAGTCATCGGGCTAGGAGTGCCCACGGCTTGCAGCGCCTGTTGGCACGACTCACGTGCCTTTGCAGCCAGCTCGGCCCAGGACTGACTTGCCGCCATTGGCTGGCAAACCACCGTCGCCGCATTGGAAGCTCCGCCAGGAGAGTCGAGTGTGCTAAGTGAGCTGTGCCTGCCAAACACACAAGACATGTTCAAACGCTCTGATTCCATATGGCAAAAAACGTGGATCCCTCCGTATCCCTCCATATCCCTCCTGAGCCTGCCTTGGGCTGGCAAGTTGCTGAGTACTGTGTGCTCCAGGCAACTTGTAGCTGTAGCTTGCATACCGCGGAATTGTGGGAGCAGGACTTTGGCTCCCTGGCTTCCACGTGTCGCTTGCATGTGGGACCATCGGCACCACCGGCACCACCCGGTCTGGCCTCCAACGCCTGGGCACGTAAAAAGTGAGCAGTTTCAACTTATCGGACCTATCGACATTCCACACCTGTAGCATCAGGCCAAGATGCTGGACGGCCTTGACTTTTGCAACAGCTGCCACTGCAGCCACGACCGCAGTGCTTGGAGTGGATGCTGACCTTCCAAAAAATTTTTATGGGGTTGGCTTCACGCTTTGCCACCCAAGGCCCGACACACACATAGTCTAAATTGGAGTCTACATATGTCTACATCTCCTCATCGCACAACCCCCATCCCTGGAAGAGAGGCGCTGCCTCAGGACCTGCCGAGCGCTCGTCGGCCACGCTTGTCTTGGAGTCTCCTTCACTGAGCGAATCGCAAGCGCGAGTGTCCCGGTACTGGTGCGAATATCGCTTGTGATCTGCTCTTCAACATGCAAAAACTTTGTCTGGTGACGAGATGCTGCCATATTCAGGGCAGAAGCGGTGGGCCGCAGGTGCTGAATCCTGCATCTGCGCACAACAAGCACGTTGCACAACCGCTCGCGCCTCCCAACGCAACAGCCCATTGTAGGCTCCAGACGACGGTGTTGGACCTAGCAGGGCTGGGCCAGCTACGCCATCTCCAGGATTCCTCACCTCCTGCCAAGGAAGTACCCCAGGCATGGGCCACTGCCACAAAAGCAGTCGCTACCTCCAGATATTTCATCGTACCTGCGCTCTCTAAGTCACAAACAGCACGAATTGCTCGTCAAAAAACAACTTCCTCACACGTCCCCCGTGGACGTCCAGAACCTGCGCCCGCTAAGCCACAGAAAGAACGAGTTGCGGGTCAACAAAAACAACTTCCTGACACCTCCCGCGGTCCTTCTGCACTTGCCGCAGGGATTGGCCCGCCGATTGTGTTGGGGCTGGGCTGGTGTCCTTGGCCTGCAGGACATCGCCAACTAATTGTGGGCCTTCTTCACTTCACTGTCAGTGTGGATCACTTCACAGCGGGAGCCGACACACGACAATAGTGTTGCGATGTATGATATATATATATATATATCTCTGATGTTGGGCTCTGTCATGTTTGGCAGGGACCCTCTATACGTGTGTCCCACCTACTGTTTTGAGGAAATACTGTGGTTGGGGTCAATGCGGTGATACGAGCCCTCCTGAAACGCAACATGACAAAATTGAATGGATCCACAAGCAATGTGCTTCCGTTTCGCCAAGTGCCCAAATTCCCCGCAACTACTGCCCAAACAAGCTTCAGACTCGAACCCCGTGCGTTGAATATCAGGGTTTTTCGGACGAATTCCCTGAGTCACACGGAGCAGGACGTGGCATCACATCACTATCGCAGTCCCCGTGGAATCTTTGCTGCAATGGTAGACAGATGCAAATGTATTGGCCCGCCCTCAGACTTCGTGGTCGTTCTTGTGTTTTGGTCCCCGGAGTTTTTGGTGGCCCGGAAGATACACAGTTACATTGAAACGTGGAAGCCATCACAAGAGCGGTTACACCCCAGCCGCCCGTTACGCCTTCAAAGCAAATACCCAAGAAAGTCCCGACATTCCCGTTGAACCACAAGAAGGTATGCTTCTGAAGCTGGCCGTGCCCATCGAAAATTCCCTGCCCTTGGAACCACTGCTCCAAGCACATGCGCGGTGAAGGAAACCCTGTGTTTATGGAAGGTCATTGTGATGAGGTCGAGTTTTTGGGCCTGCGAGGGCATCGCGCGAGGTCAGGTGAAGCGTTTGCCTACATTTTGGCCTCGCGCCGCTAGTGTGGCTTAGGAACACAAGCGACTTCCCCGTTCTGACCGCTGCGTTTAACGTTTAATGAATTACGACTACACTTTTTGTTCGTGGGCAGCGATCGACAAGAAATCGCTACGACTTCAACTTCGGTGGTGTACAGAGTCGAGGTTTACAAGTCTCACTCTGTGCTTCCCAACCTGCAGTCGGTCGGCGGCGGACACCCTTGCCGTCATTGAGACCGAGCTTGGCCGATGCTTCAGCGTAGATAACTCTTCGAAGCCCTGTGTCGGGGAAGGCACCTAGGAGAAAGTCCCGAAAGCTATTCACTCATACTTTGATTGGACACGGCTCATCACCTTGAAAACAGTAAATCTTGGCTCTGAGGTCTCCACTTGCCGATCAAGTGGAATCTCTGATGAGCCTCCTATTGCTTCAATCGTGAAGCGATGTTGCTTGGGATCACCAGGCCTTGCCAGGTATGCCGCCAGACTCTTCCAACATTTCCTCGCCTATGCTGCCAGCTTATTAGGCTCCGGGCACCGGTGTTTGACCGAGCGGAGCTACGCCAGCTACGCCATCTCCAGGATTCTGCACATCCTGCCAAGGAAGTACGGCGTGCAGCCCAAGCATGGGCACCATACCAAGTGGAAAGGCTCTCGTAAAGTGGCGCGCTCAAACACATGTGTTTTGGTCCCCTTTGTTTCTGGGGCCAGGGGCATGTTGAACCCCTAACTGCGACGATTGCAAGTCTCACCCTGTGCTGCACTCACGCGGAACCTGCAATCGGTCAGCGGCCACGGGCACCCTTGCCATTGAAGACGAGCTTGGCTGATGCTTTAGCGTCGATAACTCGTGGGAGCCCTGTGTCGGCGAAGGCACCTGAGCAAAAGAGACCACTCTTGGAAACGACCACGCTTACACTTTCTTGCACACGGCTCAACACCTAGAACCAAGAAAACCTTGGCTCCGAGGTCTGCACTTGCCGACCAAGTGGAATCTCTGCAGAGCCTCCTGTTGCTTCAATCGTGAATCGGTGCTGCTTGGGATCACCAGACCTTGCCAGGCTGCCAGACTCTTCCACATCTGCTTCCCAACGATCCCCGGACGAAGCGGCTGGCCAAAGACAAACATCCTCCCTGCCCACGCCCAGAGCTAAGATGAGCTCAGTTCGTGCTGTGCTGGCCACTCGCGCCGTGCTGCGGCTCCGCTGGTCGCTTGTGGGCGTCGGGGTTTTTGGGAACGCACTTGGAGTTATCACAAAGCATTGAGTCAAGTCAATTAGCTCCATGATCTTGGAACTTCCTCTAAGTCTCTAAGTCTGCGGTCTCAGTGCCCAGCGTTTCCTCCACGAGCGCAGTCGGGGCTGTAGGAGGCGGGGCAGCCGCGGCGGCGAGCTCCTCCAGGGTCTTTTGTTGAGGCTCCCATGCCAGGGGCATTGAGATTCACCACTGATTCACCAAAGGTCAGCATGTCAGGTTCAAGCCATTGAGCATGCTGCGATGGGAGTTGCTTGACGAAAGCTCCCTGTTAGCAGAAGAACAAGTGCACATGCTGACATGCCGATGGGCTGCGGATCTATCTTGCAGGTGCTGGCTTTCGCTTACGTGCTGCTTACGTTGGGAGCGTCAACGCAACAAAATGCTTTAAAACCTGCGGAGCATCAAGACGCTGGATGTCTCCCTCCGAATAGCAAATCACATCCGTCACAGCCTACTGAGCATGTCGCCGATGCAAGCCCACACCTCGTCCGCAGAACGCAAGGAGGTTGCTGAAGGCACGCCCGTCGGTGCAGGAATGTCCTGTTGCAAAAAATGAAATAGCTTTAAGAAAACGGATGTCTTGGGACAAGCCGACAAGTCATTTTATAAGGAACAGTGAACTGGTCGTCCCACTGCATCCTTACAAAGCATGGGCCAGCAGACCCCAAAGGTGAAGACCCTTCCAAGTGCGTGGCCCGTGGGGGCGCTGGCAGCTCGGCAACTTCCGCTTCGGCCTCCATGCCGGCTTCAAATTGGAAGCGTGTTCGGTTTGTTCAAGATCCGAGCGCTGCCGCTTTACGAGCCTTCTCCAGAGCCGCTTCGTCCTGCTGAGCGCCACGGTGTAGGACATTTATCCGCTACTGCTGCAAAACAAGCTATTCGACAATAATCACCAAAAAGGATGAACAAAGCAGCAACAGCAACAACAACGTGCAGGCTTGGCTTCACCCACTTACTGATGGCGGCTGCCATACCCGACAGGCACCCAGTCTGTGGCACCTCGTGTCTTTGCGGCGGCTCTTCCTTCCCCAGTCGCGCACTCTCCTGCGTTCTTCTCCAGCCCGTGGTGTTTCACATGTTGCTAATTATGCAAGTGCAGGCAGCTTGCTGTTTCCAGCTGGCTTATAACGAGCGTAGAGACATTCGCATGGAACGCAAGATTGCCTCTGCTTCTACACGTGCCGCCTGGAGCGCCTCCTCTTCCTGCCGAGAGCTGCGCGGACAGATAATGCCGCATATGTCCGCATTGTCGAGCAACAAGTCTGGGCTATAGCAGGCGCGACAACAAAATTAAGACGCAACCGCGTGCCACAAACCGCGTGCCACATACCTCGAGATAATTTACATAACTTTAGTTGACGCTGTTGAAGCTACACGAGGGTTGTTCTTCTTCCTTCTTCCTTGTTCCATGCCTGACAATTCGGAACACCTACGCTTCGCCCTTGCGCGTGCTTGGGCATGCGAGCTTTTCTCACTAAGAAAGATTCAAGATACCCCTTAGGCATTCCCGCAAAAGAAATTGAGGGGTGTGGCGCCGAAGGTCAGAGGGGTGTTGAATATACTGCCACAAAAAGAACAACCCTCTCATGCATTTGAAAGACGGCGACGCCGTGAAGCCGTTGATGCCGTTGACGCCCTGGACTCCCTTGACGACGTTAGACGATGTTGACGCCGTGCTTGAGTTGGGCGGCTCCGATTAAGCTGTTGATCCCGTGGAGTTTGCTTATGCTGTTGGCGCAGTTGAGGCCGTTAACGGGACGCCCGTTGAATGCCACGTTGACACCGTACGAATTCGGACATCACTTGCGCCGGTCCTCTATTTCTGAAGTCCCGGCCCCAGTCAACAGAGGATCATGCTAAGACATGTTGTTTTTACGGCTAAACGAAAGCCCGTTGTGACCCGTGTTGAAGCGTGCCGCTCCATTGCTGTTCTGGCTGCACATGCAAACCCCCGCCTCCTGCTCGGGGGCCTTGACTTCCTCCGGCGCAGCTTCTTCCTGTGCTGGGGCTGCTGAGAAGCACGCCCTTAAGCATCAACAAAAGGAAAATATGCACTTGCAGCAGACCCAGTCGCGCCTCCTGTCTGTGGATGTCCTCTGCCGCCTCTTGTGCTGCCTCGCCAAAGTACGACACACCCAGGCACGGGCTCGTCAAACTCGTCAAACTGGAAACGTTTGCTGCCGAGCTCCAACCTCCGCCTCTGCGCCAGCCTTCTCTTGTGCCGCTTCTTCCTGCTGAACACACAGCACCGAAATTTGGCACCGCAGAGCCATTGGCAAGGATCACCCCAAGGCATGAGTAGAGCAACCGTTTGAAAACCAAAACACAACACGTCGCAGTGCTTCCGCACCTTGCGGCCCCTCTCCTCCTCGAGTCCTGCCTTTTCCTGCCAGATAGCAAAATTAGCAAAGGAGTCATGTTCAGGCTAAAGTAGCGGCTGAAGACTTGTACTTTGTACAGTACTGAACCCTGCTTAATGGCGGTTCGAGCGCTCGCTACAAAACCACCTCCTCCTCCTCCTCCTGCTCCTCCTCCTGCTCCTCCTCCTTCTTCTCGGCCTGGGCTTTCTCCATGGCAGCTTTTTCCTGGCCCGGGCTGCACTGCTGCACACTGTGGGGCAACACACCTATGCCAGAGTTTCGATTGCAAATCTCCGAGCAAGGCCCTGCGTTGCTCCGAGGCAGCTCTTACGGCAGTCACGCCTCCTGTCTGCGCATCTCCTGCGCGGCTTCCTCCAACTGGAAACGTGATCTTCACCAAGCTCCAACCCCCGCCTCTGCGCGAGCCTTTTCCAGAGCCGCTTCTTCCTGCTGGACAGCTGTGGAATCAGAAGCCAGCACTGCAGAACTACGTCTTGACAAGGATTACCCATAACAGGGTGAGCACAGCAACATGTGCAAGCTTATCAAGTTTGGCTTCAACCACGTGTTGATCTTGCATGATCTTGCTGCACGCTGCTGCTGCCAAACGGTCTACACCCGACAGGCACGTCTGTGGCACCTCTTGTCTTTGCCTCTCTTCCTCCTCCTGTCGAGCGCTCTCCTGCGTCTAACACGCACAAACCAGCAACCAGCATGGTTTTCACGCAGGCACGAGGCAGTCTTGTTCAACTGCCTGATGAGGGGGTTGGGGCTATGGATAGCTCTAGCACTGTAGCTCGTCTCGCATGGGAGCACGGCATGTGAAACATCGCTTGTGCGACAAACTCTTGCTATATACAACATCTGAAACTCCGAAAATGCCCAACAACATCCCAGAACTGCTGCTGCCTGCAGCGCCTCATTGTCTTCGTGTTCCTGCTGAAAGCCGTGTGGACAGACATGGGCGAACACGCGAGCAGCAGGGGGCGACAACAAAACCAAAACACAAGAAAGTGCCACGTCGCAGCGTTTTCGCACCTTGGGGCTCCTCTCCTCCACCTCCTCCTCAGCCTCGGCTTCCTCGACGGCAGCTTTTTCCTGACCCGATCCGCAGGTGCTGCACACAGTGGGGATCAGTGGGGCAACACACGTTCCGACATGTTCCGGCACGCGCTCTTACAGCAGTCACGCCTCCTGTCTGTGCATCTCCTCTGCTGCCTCCTGTGGTGAGATTCAAAGTACGACATGCGCAGCTTCCTCCAACTGCCAAGCTCCAACCCCCGCCTCTGCGCGAGCCTTTTCCAGAGCCGCATCTTCCTGCTGGACCGCTGTGGAATCAAAAGCCAGCACTGCAGAACTACGTCTGACAAGGATTACCCATAACAGGGTGAGCACAGCAACATGTGCAAGCTTATCAAGTTTGGCTTCAACCACGTGTTGATCTTGCATGATCTTGCTGCACGCTGCTGCTGCCAAACGGTCTACACCCGACAGGCACACCGTCTGTGGCACCTCTTGTCTTTGCCTCTCTTCCTCCTCCTGTCGAGCGCTCTCCTGCGTCTAACACGCACAAACCAGCAACCAGCATGGTTTTCACGCAGGCAGGAGGCAGTCTTGTTCAACTGCCTGATGAGGGGGTTGGGGCTATGGATAGCTGTAGCACTGTAGCTCGCCTCGCATGGGAGCACGGCATGTGCAACATCGCTTGTGCGACAAACTCTTGCTATATGCGTTGCTGCTGAAACATCTGAAACTCCGAAAATGCCCAACAACATCCCAGAACTGCTGCCGCCTGTAGCGCCTCATTGTCTTCGTGTTCCTGCTGAAAGCCGTGTGGACAGACATGGGCGAACACGCGAGCAGCAGGGGGCGACAACAAAACCAAAACACAAGAAAGTGCCACGTCGCAGCGTTTTCGCACCTTGGGGCTCCTCTCCTCCACCTCCTCCTCAGCCTCGGCTTCCTCGACGGCAGCTTTTTCCTGACCCGATCCGCAGGTGCTGCACACAGTGGGGATCAGTAGGGCAACACACCCATCCCAGAGTTGCTCCGAGGCTGTTCCGACATGTTCCGGCACGCGCTCTTACAGCAGTCACGCCTCCTGTCTGCGCATCTCCTCTGCTGCCTCCTGTGCTGAGATTCAAGGTACGACATGCGCGGCTTCCTCCAACTGGAAACGTGATCTTCACCAAGCTCCAACCCCCGCCTCTGCGCGAGCCTTTTCCAGAGCCGCTTCTTCCTGCTGGACCGCTGTGGAATGAGAAGCCAGCACTGCAGAACTACGTCTTGACAAGGATTACCCATAACAGGGTGAGCACAGCAACATGTGCAAGCTTATCAAGTTTGGCTTCAACCACGTGTTGATCTTGCATGATCTTGCTGCACGCTGCTGCTGCCAAACGGTCTACACCCGACAGGCACACCGTCTGTGGCACCTCTTGTCTTTGCCTCTCTTCCTCCTCCTGTCGAGCGCTCTCCTGCGTTTGTTCTAATTTATCAGGAGGAAGAAAACACAGCTTCGTAGATTACAGCCTCGTTCGAAGCCGTTAAACCAACACTCTGCCGGAGGGGAATCGAGATGGGGGAATTTCACTTCACTTCGAACTCTTTTCAAGAACCAATTCTGGAAACTCGTACCGGAGCTCAAACACGAAACCGGAGGACTGGAGGAATTGAGGCAGGGATCTTGGGCTTCACTACATGAGAACCCATGGCTAAGGGTGGCGTGGGGGGTGCTTTGAAGGACTTGTCGATGGAAGTGAATCTCCAGCATGGGCTGTGAGTGCACCTGCTTCATCGGCATTCGAGGTGCCGAGTCTGACCTCAAGAGTTGGGTCTAATCGGCTCTAGGATCGTCCAGCATTTAGGCTTTTGTCGGCCGGGCTTGGGATTCTCAAGCTTGACCTCGCAAACGTTGCACGTTGGGGGTTGCGATCTGGTGGCTCGGTCTACTGCAAACGTTTGCAGCGCTAATGCCTGAATCGTCGCCATAAAGGCAGAAGGGTTGGGGGTCAACAAAGTGACGGGCATGCAATTCCAGCGGTGCAAACTGAAAGGGGGTGGCGGGGACATTTGCAAACAGAATGGTCCGATGACGCTGTGTTGCGCAACGCGGTGCACAAATGTATCATAACATAATGTATGGTTGAGTTGGAATTGTAGCATGCCGATGCTTCCAGAATCAAGAGTGAACAGCTTGAACAGTGTTGGCTGGGGGCATTCGAGGATGAGTTGTTCAAGTTGTTCATCCTTTCGTCCTACGCTCACACTTGCAGTTCGCAGAGTTCAAGTTCAGGTGTGGTAAAACAAGGAGAGGGGAGCCAGGGGGCGCCATGCAAACAGAATGATCCGTTTTGGTACGAATTCTCAGTGGTCATACGAGTGGGAGTTGCAAGCGCGGGATTCTTGAATGCCGACATGCTCGGCGGGGTGCGTCTCAGCCTGCGCCCCTCCAAGATGTGCAGTATCGGGGAATGGGATTTGCAAGGCCGGCCGATGCTTCTGGAACCCAGCATGCACGGCAGGAAAAGTCCCCCCCCGCCCCCCCCGCCCCCCCCACCCCTCCCGCAATTTGCAAGCAGACTGATCCGAGGATGAGAGGGACGACGCCACCTCTCTCGCCATGCTAATTTGCTCACAGATTTGGAAGGGGAGGTATTGCAATGCCTAGTATAGTGAGCTATGGCCTGTCACATCTCTGAAGCGAACATACGCTGCCCAAAACATTGCGGACGTCATTATGGGAGGATGCCGCCACAATGTGCCCAACACCATGAAAGAGGCGGGGGAGCCATCACCTCCATGTGTCAACACAGCGATCGGAGGATGCTTCTTCGAAGCTGTATGCTGGCAAGATCCTCCCCTGTGACCTGGCAACTCAAGGCGCCGGGCTGCGCCGTGTCCGGCATGCTCAGGCAGGGCATGGCCAGCGTGGCAACGTCACCTCTGTGCTGGGAACCGCAAGAAAGCTTGTGAGATCTTTGCCCACGGGCTCCCGGGCTCCCGGCGTTTGCGAACCATGTCTAGCGAAACGCTTGAAACAGAAGGCTCATCACCTTCCCACAAGACCTGGGCCGGGATTCGGCACACTCTAGATTCGCCAACACCGTCGCAGATTGTTGAGGCTGCTCTAAGACTTTAGGACGCAGACCCCAACGTCAGACCCGAAGATACCCCAATTCTGAATTGCCGAAGTTTTCAATTTCTGTGTTCTCCCGTGAACCGATGAGCCAGGCCGTCTCCTGTCTTTCGCAAACGGCACTTTCCGAAACTTGCCCTGTAGTTCTCGAATGATTTCGACGTTTTCTGAAGATATCTGCAGACAGGAACCAGCCATGGTCATGGTGCGAATGTAAATCCAGGCCTGAACCTCGTTGTTGGGCAGCAACTCCCGGACCTGGAAAAAAGCAGACTATAGAGGAATGGGGCCGCTTTCAAACTTTCAAGTGTCTCTGTGGGCCTTTGCCGGAAACCAGTCCTCCCCCCAACCAGGGCATTGCGCCTTAGATGTCGATGTGTGTAACTGTGTGTAACAATCGACAGCAACGTGAAACGTGATTGCCGGTCTGCGGCCTCCACCAAGTCTTCCACCTGAGCATGGAGGAAGCACGCGCGAGCAACGCAACGCAACGCACGCGCCACCGCAAGCTGCAGCAGTCCCTGACAGCCCATGCCTGGAAAGCCACTGGCGAGGCAGAGGACAGCAAGGGCGCCGTTTGTGCCAGGACTGGCAGCTGTGACAGCGGCACTGGCTGTGGTGGTTGTTGCTGCGACCTGCAGCACGAGAAATCTCGACAACCGTGCAGTGGGCCGCTGCCATGCACAAAGTCTCCAGAACACTGAAGCTCGAAGAAGAACAGCTGCGCTGCCGTGACTTATCCGGTGACCCGGCGCGCGGGCAAGCAAAGAAAGAAAATCAACAGAAACGGGCAGACTGAGCAGAACAAAAACCGAGGTCCACATGGAGCCATCCAGCTCCCGCTTTCCTTCTCTTGAAGGCCAAAGGCCACATACACATCCTGCGACCTATTGCGACCTACACCCACAACCCCATAGGCCCATGGGTTTCGGGACTCGGCTGAGCCACGAAGCCGAAGAACTTCAACAAAGATACAATAACAGCGAAAAACAGCGTCATAGACGATTTAGGACTGAGCGACCTGCCATTACACTATGCATCGCTGGACGCCCAAAGCAACAAGGACATGATAGTGGTTTAGGGTTTAGGGTTTAGGATTTAGGGCGCTTACAAGTTCTGAAAGCGCAGAACCCCGAGGCCCTGTTTCCTGTAGGACTTGATTCCGCGACACCCAAAAACTCAGGCATCCACGAGTCCATGTCTGCCGGCGTGGACTCCTGCGGAGCTGGCACCTGTACTCTGGATTGCCGCTACCTTGAAAAAGTGTCTGCAAAGAAGCGCTCCGTAAACTATAATAACAGTCATGATAACGGCATGCGTCCGCAGTTAAGACTCACGCTTTTCGTGTTCTCTCTGTGGGTTCTGTTGGTGCTGTTGAAGATACCCTTCTTGCCATCCTCACCTTAACGTAACAGAGGGCACACGTTGGCTCTTTTTGAGAGCAGTGGTGTATCGTTTTGATCCCTTCATGGCACCCCAAGGCACAAAGTGACGACGCCTGCATTGTTTTGCATGGTTGGGTGTTTCCGGCTTCGAGGAAATCGAGAGAATCTTTGGCTTCAGGCTCGAAGGCAGGTAGACGCCAAACACGAGCGGTCCGAGCGGAGGCCAGGAGAGGTCTCCGCTCTGCTACATAGACCTAAGCCGGCCGTCGGCACCTCGTCCGGCGCCTCGTCCGGCGCCTTGCCGTCCCCTTCTTCTAAGGGTACCGGCGTCTCCTGGGCTCAGCCCGAAATCCCGATGTCAAGATGGATGCAGCTGCCCGACAAGTCCCTCTCTCCCTCTAGTGTCTGCTTGGCAAAGATCGCCGAACCACACGCCCTTGAAGCCCGAGGATCCTTAAAAGAGAGCCGGCCCCTGCCGGCACTTACCGCATGTCACCCGGAGTCCCAGACAGGGGAACAAAAGGGTACAACAGGTATACCGCTCCAACAGCGCTGGCATTCTAAAGCTGGACATCTCGCATGCTGCAGAGCCTCTGCGGAAGGTTCCGACCTCTGAGGCAGGGCAATGTTTTCGAGGGCCAGATCTAAGTGACCAAGCTTCAAGTCTTCTGTAGCTGAAAGCTGCGCCAACCCCCCAAACGCTACGACACATCCCCAGTTGAGTCAAGAATGCGTGCAGTTTTGTGAGATGCTGTTCTTGAGACATTTTCGCGGATCAAAGACATCACCACACCCTCCGACACCTCTTTCTCCTCGTAAGCTTCCGGCGACGGCATCGCAGACTCCGGCATCGGAGGACGATCCGCAGCTGGGGGCCTCGGCGGGCTGAAGTTTTGAATGCAACAGCTTCGACTGTAGAACACTGTAGAACGTTCAAAAGAAACATTCAGCTGCAATTTCGGGCCCGAGGGCTTATTGCCTTCTTTGGTATTGTTTGGGGCCTTTTTCGGGTCAGCTAGGGTCTCTTGGCTCCACACTTGCTTGCGCCCTCAATGGGTTGATGTATGATTGCTCTGGCTCTCTCTTCAGAGAGCACTCACACCCAAGCATTGCCTCCTAGTCTTGGGATGTCTTGGGTCTCAGTCCCTAGCGCTTCCTCCACAGGTGCCGCGGGCACCGCAGGAGGCGGGGCCGCCGTGGCGAGCTCCTGTTAAACGGAGCAAGAGAAAGACGCGTTGCTCTTAGTTGATCGGTTCGCGCACACACACACACACACACATCAGGCTGCAGAAAGCACTGCTGGGCTCGGTGTCGAAGCCCTGAGAACCCTAGTCCACCTCCTCTTCCCCCTCATTCGTGGCGGTCGGAGAGGCGGTCGGAGACGGCCTGTGGAAAGCTCGGCATCATAGCGACCATGCGACTCCGAAACCGCGAGCAGCTTGCTACAACCATCTTTCAGAAGCACAAGCTTTCGATGATGACACTGGACTCTCCAGCTTCTTCTGCCCCAAGCGAACTCATGGCGCTGGAAATCTCCTTTCACAGGCATCGGTCTGCCCGCTCTCCTGGAGGTCGGCACGGGCACGTCCGCCGGTGAAGGCCTCGTGCAGCGGAAGCTCGGGGCTGTTTTGTGTGCAAGCGCAAGTGAAACAGATGCAAGTGTGTGAGTGCAAGCGTAAGTGTGTGTTTTCACGGTTTGTGGGCCTCTCTACCAGAAGAGGAGCCGCGGCAAGGCGTGAGGATCGGAGGCTGGGTTCGCATCGCAAGGCCAAGCATTCGCAAATCTTCGCAACCTCCAACAAAGCCGCTATAGCGCCCCAAAACTTGATTCCTACTTGTCCTGCTGGTCCTACTGGCGTCCTCTTCCGCGTTCTCATGTTCAGGTTCGGGGGTTACTACTGCTGGCACATGGGAGCATGTTACACCTGGGCCCCATGCTGGGCTGTGGCGGGCCCGGAGTGCTTCAGGGTTTCGACGCTGCTCGCTTTCGCCTGGCGAGTCTCGAGGTGATCATCAGGTGCCCACACTGCTGGGCTCGGTGTCGAAGCCCTGAGAACCCTAGTCCACGCCTCCTCTTCCCCCTCATTCGTGGCGGTCGGAGACTGCCTGTGGAAAGCTCGGCATCATAGCGACCATGCGACTCCGAAACCGCGAGCAGCTTGCCACAACCATCTTTCAGAAGCACAAGCTTGCGATGATGACACTGGACTCTCCAGCTTCTTCTGCCCCAAGCGAACTCATGGCGCTGGAAATCTCCTTTCACAGGCATCGGTCTGCCCGCTCTCCTGGAGGTCGGCACGGGCACGTCCGCCGGTGAAGGCCTCGTGCAGCGGAAGCTCGGGGCTGTTATTTATGCGCAAGCGCAAATGAAACATGTGCAAGTGCGTGAGTGCAAGCGTAAGTGTGTGTTTTCACGGTTTGTGGGCCTCTCTACCAGAAGAGGAGCCGCGGCAAGGCTTGAGGATCGGAGGCTGGGTTCGCATCGCAAGGCCAAGCATCGCAAATCTTCGCAACCTCCAACAAAGCCGCTATAGCGCCCCAAAACTTGACTCCTACTTGTCCTGCTGGTCCTACTGGCGTCCTCTTCCGCGTTCTCATGTTCAGGTTCGGGGGTTACTACTGCTGGCACATGGGAGCATGTTACACCTGGGCCCCATGCTGGGCTGTGGCGGGCCCGGAGTGCGTCAGGGTTTCGACGCTGCTCGCTTTCGCCTGGCGAGTCTCGAGGTGATCATCAGGTGCCCATGCGCATGAGGCTTGGTTCGGGCATCGAGGCTTTTTTGCATTCAGCCTGAGAATTGTGCAGCTTCACGCCAAACACGAGCGGAGGCCAGGAGAGGTCTCCGCTCTGCTACATAGACCTAAGCCGGCCGTCGGCACCTCGTCCGGCGCCTCGTCCGGCGCCTTGCCGTCCCCTTCTTCTAAGGGTACCGGCGTCTCCTGGGCTCAGCCCGAAATCCCGATGTCAAGATGGATGCAGCTGCCCGACAAGTCCCTCTTGGCAAAGATCGCCGAACCACACGCCCTTGAAGCCCGAGGATCCGTAAAAGAGAGCCGGCCCCTGCCGGCACTTGCCGCATATCACCCGGAGTCCCAGACAGGGGAACAAAAGGGTACAACAGGTATACCGCTCCAACAGCGCTGGCATTCTAAAGCTGGACATCTCGCATGCTGCAGAGCCTCTGCGGAAGGTTCCGACCTTTGAGGCAGGGCAATGTTTTCGAGGGCCAGATCTAAGTGACCAAGCTTCAAGTCTTCTGTAGCTGAAAGCTGCGCCAACCCCCCAAACGCTACGACACATCCCCAGTTGAGTCAAGAATGCGTGCAGTTTTGTGAGATGCTGTTCTTGAGACATTTTCGCGGATCAAAGACATCACCACACCCTCCGACACCTCTTTCTCCTCGTAAGCTTCCGGCGACGGCATCGCAGACTCCGGCATCACAGGACGATCCGCAGCTGGGGGTCTCGGCGGGCTGAAGTTTTGAATGCAACAGCTTCGACTGTAGAACACTGCAGAACGTTCAAAAGAAACATTCAGCTGCAATTTCGGGCCCGAGGGCTTATTGCCTTCTTTGGTATTGTTTGGGGCCTTTTTTGCGTGAGTGTCAGGGTCTCTTGGCTCCACACCTGCTTGCGCCCTCAATGGTTGATGTATGATTGCTCTGGCTCTCTCTTCAGAGAGCACTCACACCCCGGCGTTGCCTCCAAGTCTTGGGTCTCAGTCCCTAGCGCTTCCTCCACAGGTGCCGCGGGCACCGCAGGAGGCGGGGCCGCCGTGGCGAGCTCCTGTTAAACGGAGCAAGAGGAAGACGACGTCCTCTTAATTGATCGATTCGCGCACACACACACACACACATCAGGCTGCAGAAAGCACTGCTGGGCTCGGTGTCGAGTTCCAAACCTCCGAACACAAACCAGCCAGAAGCCCTGAGAACCCTGGTCCACGCCTCCTCTTCCCCCTCATTCGTGGCGGTCGGAGACGGCCTGTGAAAAGCTCGGCATCATAGCGACCATGCGACTCCGAAACCGCGAGCAGCTTGCCACAACCATCTTTCAGAAGCACAAGCTTTCGATGATGACACTGGACTCTCCAGCTTCTTCTGCCCCAAGCGAACTCATGGCGCTGGAAATCTCCTTTCACAGGCATCGGTCTGCCCGCTCTCCTGGAGGTCGGCACGGGCACGTCCGCCGGTGAAGGCCTCGTGCAGCGGAAGCTCGGGGCTGTTTTGTGTGCAAGCGCAAGTGAAACAGATGCAAGTGTGTGAGTGCAAGCGTAAGTGTGTGTTTTCACGGTTTGTGGGCCTCTCTACCAGAAGAGGAGCCGCGGCAAGGCTTGAGGATCGGAGGCTGGGTTCGCATCGCAAGGCCAAGCATTCGCAAATCTTCGCAACCTCCAACAAAGCCGCTATAGCGCCCCAAAACTTGACTCCTACTTGTCCTGCTGGTCCTACTGGCGTCCTCTTCCGCGTTCTCATGTTCAGGTTCTTGGGTCTGGGGGGGGGGGTTACTGCTGGCACATGGCAGCATGTTACACCTGGGCCCCATGCTGGGCTGTGGCGGGCCCGGAGTGCGTCAGGGTTTCGACGCTGCTCGCTTTCGCCTGGCGAGTCTCGAGGTGATCATCAGGTGCCCATGCGCATGAGGCTTGGTTCGGGCATCGAGGCTTTTTTGCATTCAGGCTCGAAGGCTCGAAGGCAGGTACACGAGAATTGTGCAGCTTCACGCCAAACACGAGCGGAGGCCAGGAGAGGTCTCCGCTCTGCTACATAGACCTAAGCCGGCCGTCGGCACCTCGTCCGGCGCCTCGTCCGGCGCCTTGCCGTCCCCTTCTTCGAAGGGTACCGGCGTCTCCTGGGCTCAGCCCGAAATCCCGATGTCAAGATGGATGCAGCTGCCCGACAAGTCCCTCTTGGCAAAGATCGCCGAACCACACGCCCTTGAAGCCCGAGGATCCGTAAAAGAGAGCCGGCCCCTGCCGGCACTTACGGCATATCACCCGGAGTCCCAGACAGGGGAACAAAAGGGTACAACAGGTATACCGCTCCAACAGCGCTGGAATTCTAAAGCTGGACATCTCGCATGCTGCAGAGCCTCTGCGGAAGGTTCCGACCTCTGAGGCAGGGCAATGTTTTCGAGGGCCAGATCTAAGTGACCAAGCTTCAAGTCTTCTGTAGCTGAAAGCTGCGCCAACCCCCCAAACGCTACGACACATCCCCAGTTGAGTCAAGAATGCGTGCAGTTTTGTGAGATGCTGTTCTTGAGACATTTTCGCGGATCAAAGATCACCACGCCCTCCGACACCTCTTTCTCCTCGTAAGCTTCCGGCGACGGCATCGCAGACTCCGGCATCACAGGACGATCCGCAGCTGGGGGCCTCGGCGGCCTGAAGTTTGAATGCAACAGCTTCGACTGTAGAACACTGTAGAACGTTCAAAAGAAACATTCAGCTGCAATTTCGGGCCCGAGGGCTTATTGCCTTCTTTGGTATTGTTTGGGGCCTTTTTTGCGTGAGTGTTAGGGTCTCTTGGCTCCACACCTGCTTGCGCCCTCAATGGTTGATGTATGATTGCTCTGGCTCTCTCTTCAGAGAGCACTCACACCCAAGCGTTGCCTCCAAGTCTTGGGTCTCAGTCCCTAGCGCTTCCTCCACAGGTGCCGCGGGCACCGCAGGAGGCGGGGCCGCCGTGGCGAGCTCCTGTTAAACGGAGCAAGAGGAAGACGACGTCCTCTTAATTGATCGGTTCGCGCACACACACACACATCAGGCTGCAGAAAGCACTGCTGGGCTCGGTGTCGAGTTCCAAACCTCCGAACACAAACCAGCCAGAAGCCCTGAGAACCCTGGTCCACGCCTCCTCTTCCCCCTCATTCGTGGCGGTCGGAGACGGCCTGTGAAAAGCTCGGCATCATAGCGACCATGCGACTCCGAAACCGCGAGCAGCTTGCCACAACCATCTTTCAGAAGCACAAGCTTTCGATGATGACACTGGACTCTCCAGCTTCTTCTGCCCCAAGCGAACTCATGGCGCTGGAAATCTCCCTTCACAGGCATCGGTCTGCCCGCTCTCCTGGAGGTCGGCACGGGCACGTCCGCCGGTGAAGGCCTCGTGCAGCGGAAGCTCGGGGCTGTTTTGTGTGCAAGGGCAAGTGAAACAGATGCAAGTGTGTGAGTGCAAGCGTAAGTGTGTGTTTTCACGGTTTGTGGGCCTCTCTACCAGAAGAGGAGCCGCGGCAAGGCTTGAGGATCGGAGGCTGGGTTCGCATCGCAAGGCCAAGCATTCGCAAATCTTCGCAACCTCCAACAAAGCCGCTATAGCGCCCCAAAACTTGACTCCTACTGGTCCTACTGGTCCCACTGGCGTCCTCTTCCGCGTTCTCATGTTCAGGTTCGGGGGTTACTACTGCTGGCACATGGCAGCATGTTACACCTGGGCCCCATGCTGGGCTGTGGCGGGCCCGGAGTGCTTCAGGGTTTCGACGCTGCTCGCTTTCGCCTGGCGAGTCTCGAGGTGATCATCAGGTGCCCATGCGCATGAGGCTTGGTTCGGGCATCGAGGTTTTTTTGCATTCAGGCTCGAAGGCTCGAAGGCAGGTACACGAGAATTGTGCAGCTTCACGCCAAACACGAGCGGAGGCCAGGAGAGGTCTCCGCTCTGCTACATAGACCTAAGCCGGCCGTCGGCACCTCGTCCGGCGCCTCGTCCGGCGCCTTGCCGTCCCCTTCTTCTAAGGGTACCGGCGTCTCCTGGGCTCAGCCCGAAATCCCGATGTCAAGATGGATGCAGCTGCCCGACAAGTCCCTCTCCCTCTAGTGTCTGCTTGGCAAAGATCGCCGAACCACACGCCCTTGAAGCCCGAGGATCCGCAAAAGAGAGCCGGGTTTGCCGGCACTTACGGCATATCACCCGGAGTCCCAGACAGGGGAACAAAAGGGTACAACTGGTATACCGCTCCAACAGCGCTGGCATTCTAAAGCTGGACATCTCGCATGCTGCAGAGCCTCTGCGGAAGGTTCCGACCTCTGAGGCAGGGCAATGTTTTCGAGGGCCAGATCTAAACCAAGCTTCAAGTCTTCTGTAGCTGAAAGCTGCGCCAACCCCCCAAACGCTACGACACATCCCCAGTTGAGTCAAGAATGCGTGCAGTTTTGTGAGATGCTGTTCTTGAGACATTTTCGCGGATCAAAGACATCACCACACCCTCCGACACCTCTTTCTCCTCGTAAGCTTCCGGCGACGGCATCGCAGACTCCGGCATCACAGGACGATCCGCAGCTGGGGGTCTCGGCGGGCTGAAGTTTTGACTGCAACAGCTTAGACTGTAGAACACTGCAGAACGTTCAAAAGAAACATTCAGCTGCAATTTCGGGCCCGAGGGCTTATTGCCTTCTTTGGTATTGTTTGGGGCCTTTTTTGCGTGAGTGTTAGGGTCTCTTGGCTCCACACTTGCTTGCGCCCTCAATGGGTTGATGTATGATTGCTCTGGCTCTCTCTTCAGAGAGCACTCACACCCAAGCGTTGCCTCCAAGTCTTGGGTCTCAGTCCCTAGCGCTTCCTCCACAGGTGCCGCGGGCACCGCAGGAGGCGGGGCCGCCGTGACGAGCTCCTGTTAAACGGAGCAAGAGGAAGACGACGTCCTCTTAATTGATCGGTTCGCGCACACACACACACACATCAGGCTGCAGAAAGCACTGCTGGGCTCGGTGTCGAGTTCCAAACCTCCGAACACAAACCAGCCAGAAGCCCTGAGAACCCTGGTCCACGCCTCCTCTTCCCCCTCATTCGTGGCGGTCGGAGACGGCCTGTGAAAAGCTCGGCATCATAGCGACCATGCGACTCCGAAACCGCGAGCAGCTTGCCACAACCATCTTTCAGAAGCACAAGCTTTCGATGATGACACTGGACTCTCCAGCTTCTTCTGCCCCAAGCGAACTCATGGCGCTGGAAATCTCCCTTCACAGGCATCGGTCTGCCCGCTCTCCTGGAGGTCGGCACGGGCACGTCCGCCGGTGAAGGCCTCGTGCAGCGGAAGCTCGGGGCTGTTATTTATGTGCAAGCGCAAGTGAAACAGATGCAAGTGTGTGAGTGCAAGCGTAAGTGTGTGTTTTCACGGTTTGTGGGCCTCTCTACCAGAAGAGGAGCCGCGGCAAGGCTTGAGGATCGGAGGCTGGGTTCGCATCGCAAGGCCAAGCATTCGCAAATCTTCGCAACCTCCAACAAAGCCGCTATAGCGCCCCAAAACTTGATTCCTACTTGTCCTGCTGGTCCTACTGGCGTCCTCTTCCGCGTTCTCATGTTCAGGTTCGGGGGTTACTACTGCTGGCACATGGCAGCATGTTACACCTGGGCCCCATGCTGGGCTGTGGCGGGCCCGGAGTGCTTCAGGGTTTCGACGCTGCTCGCGTTCGCCTGGCGAGTCTCGAGGTGATCATCAGGTGCCCATGCGCATGAGGCTTGGTTCGGGCATCGAGGTTTTTTTGCATTCAGGCTCGAAGGCTCGAAGGCAGGTACACGAGAATTGTGCAGCTTCACGCCAAACACGAGCGGAGGCCAGGAGAGGTCTCCGCTCTGCTACATAGACCTAAGCCGGCCGTCGGCACCTCGTCCGGCGCCTCGTCCGGCGCCTTGCCGTCCCCTTCTTCTAAGGGTACCGGCGTCTCCTGGGCTCAGCCCGAAATCCCGATGTCAAGATGGATGCAGCTGCCCGACAAGTCCCTCTCTCCCTCTAGTGTCTGCTTGGCAAAGATCGCCGAACCACACGCCCTTGAAGCCCGAGGATCCGCAAAAGAGAGCCGGCCCCTGCCGGCACTTACGGCATATCACCCGGAGTCCCAGACAGGGGAACAAAAGGGTACAACAGGTATACCGCTCCAACAGCGCTGGCATTCTAAAGCTGGACATCTCGCATGCTGCAGAGCCTCTGCGGAAGGTTCCGACCTCTGAGGCAGGGCAATGTTTTCGAGGGCCCGATCTAAGTGACCAAGCTTCAAGTCTTCTGTAGCTGAAAGCTGCGCCAACCCCCCAAACGCTACGACACATCCCCAGTTGAGTCAAGAATGCGTGCAGTTTTGTGAGATGCTGTTCTTGAGACATTTTCGCGGATCAAAGACATCACCACACCCTCCGACACCTCTTTCTCCTCGTAAGCTTCCGGCGACGGCATCGCAGACTCCGGCATCGGAGGACGATCCGCAGCTGGGGGCCTCGGTGGGCTGAAGTTTTGAATGCAACAGCTTCGACTGTAGAACACTGCAGAACGTTCAAAAGAAACATTCAGCTGCAATTTCGGGCCCGAGGGCTTATTGCCTTCTTTGGTATTGTTTGGGGCCTTTTTTGCGTGAGTGTTAGGGTCTCTTGGCTCCACACTTGCTTGCGCCCTCAATGGGTTGATGTATGATTGCTCTGGCTCTCTCTTCAGAGAGCACTCACACCCAAGCGTTGCCTCCAAGTCTTGGGTCTCAGTCCCTAGCGCTTCCTCCACAGGTGCCGCGGGCACCGCAGGAGGCGGGGCCGCCGTGGCGAGCTCCTGTCATACTCTTAATTGACCGGTTCGCGCACACACACACACACACATCAGGCTGCAGAAAGCACTGCCGGGCTCGGTGTCGAAGCCCTGAGAACCCTAGTCCACGCCTCCTCTTCCCCCTCATTCGTGGCGGTCGGAGACGGCCTGTGAAAAGCTCGGCATCATAGCGACCATGCGACTCCGAAACCGCGAGCAGCTTGCCACAACCATCTTTCAGAAGCACAAGCTTTCGATGATGACACTGGACTCTCCAGCTTCTTCTGCCCCAAGCGAACTCATGGCGCTGGAAATCTCCCTTCACAGGCATCGGTCTGCCCGCTCTCCTGGAGGTCGGCACGGGCACGTCCGCCGGTGAAGGCCTCGTGCAGCGGAAGCTCGGGGCTGTTATTTATGTGCAAGCGCAAGTGAAACAGATGCAAGTGTGTGAGTGCAAGCGTAAGTGTGTGTTTTCACGGTTTGTGGGCCTCTCTACCAGAAGAGGAGCCGCGGCAAGGCTTGAGGATCGGAGGCTGGGTTCACATCGCAAGGCCAAGCATCGCAAATCTTCGCAACCTCCAACAAAGCCGCTATAGCGCCCCAAAACTTGACTCCTACTGGTCCTACTGGTCCCACTGGCGTCCTCTTCCGCGTTCTCATGTTCAGGTTCTTGGGTCTGGGGGGGGGGGTTACTGCTGGCACATGGCAGCATGTTACACCTGGGCCCCATGCTGGGCTGTGGCGGGCCCGGAGTGCGTCAGGGTTTCGACGCTGCTCGCTTTCGCCTGGCGAGTCTCGAGGTGATCATCAGGTGCCCATGCGCATGAGGCTTGGTTCGGGCATCGAGGTTTTTTTGCATTCAGGCTCGAAGGCTCGAAGGCAGGTATCACGAGAATTGTGCAGCTTCACGCCAAACACGAGCGGAGGCCAGGAGAGGTCTCCGCTCTGCTACATAGACCTAAGCCGGCCGTCGGCACCTCGTCCGGCGCCTCGTCCGGCGCCTTGCCGTCCCCTTCTTGTAAGGGTACCGGCGTCTCCTGGGCTCAGCCCGAAATCCCGATGTCAAGATGGATGCAGCTGCCCGACAAGTCCCTCTCTCCCTCTAGTGTCTGCTTGGCAAAGATCGCCGAACCACACGCCCTTGAAGCCCGAGGATCCGCAAAAGAGAGCCGGCCCCTGCCGGCACTTACGGCATATCACCCGGAGTCCCAGACAGGGGAACAAAAGGGTACAACAGGTATACCGCTCCAACAGCGCTGGCATTCTAAAGCTGGACATCTCGCATGCTGCAGAGCCTCTGCGGAAGGTTCCGACCTCTGAGGCAGGGCAATGTTTTCGAGGGCCCGATCTAAGTGACCAAGCTTCAAGTCTTCTGTAGCTGAAAGCTGCGCCAACCCCCCAAACGCTATGACACATCCCCAGTTGAGTCAAGAATGCGTGCAGTTTTGTGAGATGCTGTTCTTGAGACATTTTCGCGGATCAAAGACATCACCACACCCTCCGACACCTCTTTCTCCTCGTAAGCTTCCGGCGACGGCATCGCAGACTCCGGCATCGGAGGACGATCCGCAGCTGGGGGCCTCGGTGGGCTGAAGTTTTGAATGCAACAGCTTCGACTGTAGAACACTGCAGAACGTTCAAAAGAAACATTCAGCTGCAATTTCGGGCCCGAGGGCTTATTGCCTTCTTTGGTATTGTTTGGGGCCTTTTTTGCGTGAGTGTTAGGGTCTCTTGGCTCCACACTTGCTTGCGCCCTCAATGGGTTGATGTATGATTGCTCTGGCTCTCTCTTCAGAGAGCACTCACACCCAAGCGTTGCCTCCAAGTCTTGGGTCTCAGTCCCTAGCGCTTCCTCCACAGGTGCCGCGGGCACCGCAGGAGGCGGGGCCGCCGTGGCGAGCTCCTGTCATACTCTTAATTGACCGGTTCGCGCACACACACACATCAGGCTGCAGAAAGCACTGCCGGGCTCGGTGTCGAAGCCCTGAGAACCCTAGTCCACGCCTCCTCTTCCCCCTCATTCGTGGCGGTCGGAGACGGCCTGTGGAAAGCTCGGCATCATAGCGACCATGCGACTCCGAAACCGCGAGCAGCTTGCCACAACCATCTATCAGAAGCACAAGCTTTCGATGATGACACTGGACTCTCCAGCTTCTTCTGCCCCAAGCGAACTCATGGCGCTGGAAATCTCCCTTCACAGGCATCGGTCTGCCCGCTCTCCTGGAGGTCGGCACGGGCACGTCCGCCGGTGAAGGCCTCGTGCAGCGGAAGCTCGGGGCTGTTATTTATGTGCAAGCGCAAGTGAAACAGATGCAAGTGTGTGAGTGCAAGCGTAAGTGTGTGTTTTCACGGTTTGTGGGCCTCTCTACCAGAAGAGGAGCCGCGGCAAGGCTTGAGGATCGGAGGCTGGGTTCACATCGCAAGGCCAAGCATCGCAAATCTTCGCAACCTCCAACAAAGCCGCTATAGCGCCCCAAAACTTGACTCCTACTGGTCCTACTGGTCCCACTGGCGTCCTCTTCCGCGTTCTCATGTTCAGGTTCTTGGGTCTGGGGGGGGGGGTTACTGCTGGCACATGGCAGCATGTTACACCTGGGCCCCATGCTGGGCTGTGGCGGGCCCGGAGTGCGTCAGGGTTTCGACGCTGCTCGCTTTCGCCTGGCGAGTCTCGAGGTGATCATCAGGTGCCCATGCGCATGAGGCTTGGTTCGGGCATCGAGGTTTTTTTGCATTCAGGCTCGAAGGCTCGAAGGCAGGTTCACGAGAATTGTGCAGCTTCACGCCAAACACGAGCGGAGGCCAGGAGAGGTCCACCTCGTCCGGCGCCTCGTCCGGCGCCTTGCCGTCCCCTTCTTCTAAGGGTACCGGCGTCTCCTGGGCTCAGCCCGAAATCCCGATGTCAAGATGGATGCAGCTGCCCGACAAGTCCCTCTCTCCCTCTAGTGTCTGCTTGGCAAAGATCGCCGAACCACACGCCCTTGAAGCCCGAGGATCCGCAAAAGAGAGCCGGCCCCTGCCGGCACTTACGGCATATCACCCGGAGTCCCAGACAGGGGAACAAAAGGGTACAACAGGTATACCGCTCCAACAGCGCTGGCATTCTAAAGCTGGACATCTCGCATGCTGCAGAGCCTCTGCGGAAGGTTCCGACCTCTGAGGCAGGGCAATGTTTTCGAGGGCCCGATCTAAGTGACCAAGCTTCAAGTCTTCTGTAGCTGAAAGCTGCGCCAACCCCCCAAACGCTACGACACATCCCCAGTTGAGTCAAGAATGCGTGCAGTTTTGTGAGATGCTGTTCTTCAGACATTTTCGCGGATCAAAGACATCACCACACCCTCCGACACCTCTTTCTCCTCGTAAGCTTCCGGCGACGGCATCGCAGACTCCGGCATCGGAGGACGATCCGCAGCTGGGGGCCTCGGCGGGCTGAAGTTTTGAATGCAACAGCTTCGACTGTAGAACACTGCAGAACGTTCAAAAGAAACATTCAGCTGCAATTTCGGGCCCGAGGGCTTATTGCCTTCTTTGGTATTGTTTGGGGCCTTTTTTGCGTGAGTGTTAGGGTCTCTTGGCTCCACACTTGCTTGCGCCCTCAATGGGTTGATGTATGATTGCTCTGGCTCTCTCTTCAGAGAGCACTCACACCCAAGCGTTGCCTCCAAGTCTTGGGTCTCAGTCCCTAGCGCTTCCTCCACAGGTGCCGCGGGCACCGCAGGAGGCGGGGCCGCCGTGGCGAGCTCCTGTCATACTCTTAATTGACCGGTTCGCACACACACACACACAGACATCAGGCTGCAGAAAGCACTGCCGGGCTCGGTGTCGAAGCCCTGAGAACCCTAGTCCACGCCTCCTCTTCCCCCTCATTCGTGGTGGTCGGAGACGGCCTGTGAAAAGCTCGGCATCATAGCGACCATGCGACTCCGAAACCGCGAGCAGCTTGCCACAACCATCTATCAGAAGCACAAGCTTTCGATGATGACACTGGACTCTCCAGCTTCTTCTGCCCCAAGCGAACTCATGGCGCTGGAAATCTCCTTTCACAGGCATCGGTCTGCCCGCTCTCCTGGAGGTCGGCACGGGCACGTCCGCCGGTGAAGGCCTCGTGCAGCGGAAGCTCGGGGCTGTTTTGTGTGCAAGGGCAAGTGAAACAGATGCAAGTGTGTGAGTGCAAGCGTAAGTGTGTGTTTTCACGGTTTGTGGGCCTCTCTACCAGAAGAGGAGCCGCGGCAAGGCTTGAGGATCGGAGGCTGGGTTCGCATCGCAAGGCCAAGCATTCGCAAATCTTCGCAACCTCCAACAAAGCCGCTATAGCGCCCCAAAACTTGATTCCTACTTGTCCTGCTGGTCCTACTGGCGTCCTCTTCCGCGTTCTCATGTTCAGGTTCTTGGGTCTGGGGGGGGGGGTTACTGCTGGCACATGGCAGCATGTTACACCTGGGCCCCATGCTGGGCTGTGGCGGGCCCGGAGTGCGTCAGGGTTTCGACGCTGCTCGCTTTCGCCTGGCGAGTCTCGAGGTGATCATCAGGTGCCCATGCGCATGAGGCTTGGTTCGGGTTCCGGTCCGGTGTTCTCATGGTCGAGGCACCACACTATCGGAACTTCACGGGCCTCAATACTGAGGTCTGTGGCTTCAGGCTCGGAAGCAAGCAGACTGGGAGACTAGAATTACACAGCTTGCCTAGTGCCAGAACACTCAGAGAGGGGAGAAGAACTAAAAAGTATACAACTGGCAGAAACCGCGGACAGTCCATGCAGGCGCATCATGGGTTTCTGAGTACACGCACCTCTTCTGATGGGCGGTGCAGCAGCACTTGCGGCTTCGATTGTGTGACTACAGCCAGTCTACAGACCAGGCTTTGCCTGGCTGAGACAACAGGAAAGGCCTCCAGATAAGGGAGAACGTGAATTCCCAGCAACATAGATTCAACATAAATATGCACAGATGCTCCTAACAAGTCGACGCTCATTTCCTGATCCATACATCGCCGTCGCTCCATTCTATGGTTGCTTGTGCTTCTAGGCAAACTTGGCCAATGAAATGCATGCCATTGATTTGCAATGACAGTGTCTCTGTGTCATCTTCGTAAAGGCTTGCGTAGGCCTCATCAAAGCCCCATTTCCTGTTCCAGATCAAGCGCCCTTCCAGGATCTCTCCGACAGGCTTGCCATCTTTTTTCCGGAACCATCCGCCTTCCACGTTGTCCAGGAGATCTCTCTGCTTCCGAGCTTTGGCTTTGTCATTTTCGCATCTTTCGCATGCCAGAGAGCAAGGAGGAAGCTTGCAAGAGAGGGTGGCCAGATGCGCCTCCCTTTCCATCTCCTTTTTGGAGAAGGCACAGGTCTCAAGCTTACCACAGAACCGGGCCTGTTTGTCGAGCTGGCCAGGGTGGCCATGGCATGCGCCCATAGCATCAGTTGGGCTACAAAACCCTGGCTGCTGAGCGCATGGAACCTAGTACATCTATGCATCAGGCGCATTACCATACTAAAGCATCAAGTAGAAGACCCGCCAGCACGTGAAACAGATGGCCGTCACCAAATGAACAAAGATGACACAGGCACTTTCACATAGGGCATGCCATCAATTGCCATTACATGTGAGCCGTAAATGCCGAACGCACCGCCGCACTCAGCTTTCTGGAAACAACCTCCACTACTTCGCTTTCTTATTTTTTGGGAGACATGCATGTGCGATGCCAGCAGCAACGTATCATTCGCCTCGGGCCCGGCCACGTGCATTAGAGAGGTTCCTAAAGAGGCCGCTGTAGAAGGCGACCCCGCCACCGACCTGTGAGGCAGAGCACTCAATCAACTGTAAGCCCCCCTCAGAAAGTTGTTTTCGACTGCCGGAGAGAGGGATGGAGGGGTCCTGCACGGAGGATCTTACTGCAGCTGCCAATACTTCCTATGACCTCTAAGTGAACCTGGTTCAAGTCTCCTGCAGCTGAATGCTGCCCCAAAATCCCCAAACGCTACACACACCCCCAGTTAAGTCATGAGTCATGAGTCAAGAATGCTTGTAGTTTTGTGAGATGCTGCTCTTGAGGTATTGTTGCGGATCAAGAACATCACCACACCCTCCGACACCTCTTTCTCCTCATAAGCTTCCGGCGACGGTATCGCAGACTCCGGCATCGCAGGATGATCCGCATCTGGGGGCCTTGGCGGGCGGAAATGTTGCAATATGTTGCAACGCAATAGAACTGCAGAGCTTAACCATTCAGCTGCAGTTTCGGGCCCGAGGGCTTCTTGTCTGCTTTGGTATTATTGTTTGGGGCAAGCGGGCTGGTCTAGAGGGCTACGAGACCCTCATTCACCCAAAAGCAAGATGATCCAAAGCACTCCTACAACCCAAGCCGAAAACCTAATTAGTCCTGAACCAGAACTCTTGCAACACTCACAACCAGACTGTCTTGCGTCTCAGTCCCTAGCGCTTCCTCCACAGGTGCCGCGGGGACGGCAGGGGCAGCCGTTGCGAGCTCCTTTTGCGGAGCAAAGGGAAGACTCCTCGCTCTGAAGTAATCGGTTTGCGCACACACACACACACCAGGCTGCAGAAAGCACTACCGTGTCAGTCTCGAGCGGGGGGGCGGCGGGGAGGGCTCGGTTTTGAGGCTCCAGTTCCACACCGAACAGCACCAAGACTGAGAACCCTCGTCCGGACCTCCACCTCTTCCGCCTCATTCGTGGCGGCCGGAGACGGCCTTCGAAGCCAAACATTGGCATCTTGACTTTCATGGGCAACATCTACGCAATCCGACGTGTGCTACCACGCTTACGAGCCTACAGGTCCTTCGACCCCCTGCCACGATCATCTAGAGAAGCACAATCTTTCGATCACCAGGCTGGACTCTCCAGGTTCTGTTTTCAAGCGAACTCTTGGTTTAGGATTGCTTTGAGGGTGAGAGCTTTGTTGGGGTGGGGCCGTTGGGCTGTAAGCCGTGTTGCCAGCAAACGCCCCCAAATTCCCCCAACTCCCCTTCCCTAGACATCGCTCCGCCCGCTCTCCTGGAAGTCGGCACGGGCAAGTCCGACGGTGAAGCCCTCGTGCAGAGGAAGCTCGGGCATTTTGCGTGCGTACAAGCATAAGCGAATAAACTGTAAGTGTAAAGTGTGTGTATGTGTGCGCGTGTCTATCTTTGTTTTGGTAGGGAGGAGTGTATGGTTTCGGCTTCCACATTGACGGCATCTAGTTTGCGGTCTTCCTCACAAACAAAGAGTTTGCTTTGGGCTCTGGCAGGGTTTACAGTGTACGCACGCACAAGTTTGTGCTTCCGGCTTTCTGCTTCTTTGCGGTTTTCGGCTTCAGGGTTTGGGGATGTCTAACCTTGCCGGCAGTGGGGAGTTGGAGCATTCTAAGGCTTAAGTTGCCATTGGAAGTCCAGGCGTGGTGTGGCCAGGTGAACCCTTCTTCGCTAGCAAGCCACAACATACGATATCCCTACAGCCTGAAGAGCCTGAACCCCCACTGCTGATGCAGGGGGGTGGGAGCAAGATCTCATAAACGAAAAGGAATCTGATAGCGGCTTCAGGATTCAGATGGAATGATGTTAAAGTGGCCGCTAGGGCACAACCTATACACTTGATTCCTTGGGCATTACGGAGTTCTGGCCTGGACAAGCTAGCATTCGAGACCTTCCACAGATGAGGCCTACACCCAAAAAGCACCTCAAGCCAGAACTCGTACTCCCGCAGCCTCCGGCGCGGCCCCCAGCGACGTGGGGGAGAGTACTCCGCAAGGAACGGGCCTGGCCTTAGGAGCGGCGTGGGGTCGAGAATTGGACGTCCCAAGCCTTGAGATGCACACATCGCCAAACCCAAGCCACGGCCTAGACGAAGATCCCTATCAAGCCCAGAGAGTTGACTCTGACGTTGACTCTGACGTTGACTCTGACGTGCGGACGTAGCGGGCCCCGAGTGCGCCGAGGTCGTCTCGATGCTCGCTGCCGCCTCTGGAGCAGACTCTCAGGTAGAGTCTCTCGAGACGAACAGACCAAACCCATATGCACAGCTGGGTTTTGTATCACAGCTGAGAGCAAGCAACTGAAGGTGAAGATTTTCAACACTTGTCGAAAGCAAGCAGCGATGCCCATGAGTAGCACGACCTTTCTCGACCCTACTAAGCCATTAAGCGTCCTGAGGCTGCTGCTGCTGTTGGCAGCTCACTCGGTGCGGGCTGAGGGGCAGATTGCGACCTCGATGCCGACTCTTTGGTGCTTGCAGGGCTTCGGTGCACCTCCAGGCCCTAATCGATCTGAAAACGACGACGGACGAGAACGCCACTCAGAACACCTGATCTGAGATCCCGGCAACGCGCTGGCGTCTGCCGAGCTGCACGGCACCGGCTCCTTTCTTGGAATCAACGACACAAGAAGCAGCCCTGGCCAAGCGGCTTCGGGCACTCAAGCACACGACAGTCGGATCAATTCCCGATGGTAAGATTCGCATTTCTAACAATGCCCCGGTCGATGGAATTTGGAATGAGTCTATGCCAACTGAAGGCTGGTGCGGCTGGCATGTTGGCATGTTTCTACTGAAATTAAGGCCCCGGAACCTCACCATCCGGCACTTGCTCCGTCTCCTGGCGCTTGGCATAATGGGGTTTTGCTGGGTGTTTGCCCGGAACTGAGGCCACCCTGAATGAAGGCCTTTTTGAACATTGATGGAGGCAAGCGTTCCTTGACAGAACGCTGCAGCCCGTGCAAAATGCCAATGTGCCACAACTCCGACAACTCCGATGAATCTTCGCAGGGATTTTTTGAGCTCATGTCGAGCTGTGGAGCCCTGAACCTAAGCCAGGAAAGCAAAAGCCAACCAAGGTGGGCGAAGCGAGGCAGGCCAGCCAGCTGAGAGGTGACGACGAAGGGTTCTGACAGGGTGGTGAGGACTTGCTGACAGGTTGAGTGGAAAAAGTGCGTTGAAGTTTGGGGCTTGGGGCGGGCTGCTGCTCGCTGACTCGCTTCCCGAGTTGGCGTTCGCTGATCCCTTGGTTTGCAGATAGAACAGACATTCTCTTTTAGCTTCAGGGCGCTGGAGATCAACCGCAAGTACAGCACGCAAAAACCCCAGACCCTGAGCCCGAACCATGACACTCCAAACCCTAAGTCGAAACCCTCACTGTACCTGGATCTTGTGTTCGCACAGGATCGGGCAGCAGACCCGCGACAGCCTGGTGTTGTGGGAGCCTAATGTGCCGTGAGGCTGATCTTGGCTCAGGGCTTCAGGATGTTGACCGCGCCAATTTCACGGAATTGTGAAGGGGGAGGGGGGGGGGGCTGGAACTGCCGCTTGCATCTCATACATGGCTACGGGCTCCCCTGTGCCATTGCTCAGTGTAGGGCGTCTGAATGGGCCCGAAGCTCACAATTTCAACCCCTGGATCAAAAAGGCTGGGATTGCGGGCTCAGGGTCAACTCAGGATTGAGAATTGATAGGCTTACAGCAGTGCTGCCCCGGAAAAAGCACGACGCAAACAATGTGTGTTCCCTACAACAGAAATTCGACGCAAACTATACTATGCTGCAACGTGCCTTTTCAAGTTCTTCCTCGCCCTTGGGACAACTTGCTTCTTCTGCCACCTCAGATATCGCCTGATCGTGCTTGGTTGCCTCTTCCCCCTCTGTTTGCTGAGCTGGCTTCGGTACATCCGTTTGCTCTTCCGCGCTTGCTGCTGGTGTTGCTGGTGTTGCTGCCACTTGTGGCTCGTCTGTGGGTTCTGCTAAGTGCCCCTGGGCGTCGCCTGCATCCTGCGCTCCATTGGCAGCTGCTGGGGGGACCTGCTGTACTTCGACGTCTGTTCTTGTCTTGATGGTCTCTGCGCTGGCCATCTCTTCTTGCCCTTCTAAGGCGTCTGCAGAGCTGGTCTTTGGTGCTGCAGATGCCAGCTCGTCCACCGCATGCACATCGTCAACAGCCTGCGTTGGAGGTGAACCGGCATCTCTTTGGCTGGCTTCAGGCACCTGCGGGCTTGCATCGCTCTTCGAAACCTTGCAGGGCTTGCAAGATCATTGCCCTAACCCCTGACACGTTTGTATTTGCCCGTGTGGTTTTCTTGAAATTTCCGGTCCGGAGAGAATGTTCTTTTGTTGGGGGGAGTGCCAATTGCGAACATGCCCAAAACCCTGCTATTTGCCACATGTACAACATGTTGCTGGAGGATGTTTGATGTTCAGCTACACAAGGTGCTGTCACAAGTGTTCATGCCATTTTGCGAACATGCCCAAAACCCTGCTATTTGCGGCGCGTTTGCCTCTTTCGTCTGGCGCTCGCACTTGATCCCCAAGCGGACGTCGTGGATCACTTGGGGAAAGTGTGCTATTGAGTGCCCTAAGTTTGAGTCTCTAGATTTCCTGAAGCACGAACCCCTCCATTTCCACCACACCCACACGAACGAAGTCCTGTAATTTACAGCACTTGCCGTGTATGCCCTAAAACATAGAGGCCCGCCGCCACACGGCCAGATATCAACCTGTGACCCCCTACCCCCATCGGACTGCCCTCAGAAATCCCGATCTCGGTATCAACGCTGCATTTGCGACGAACTGGCAGGATCCTCGTATATGTGGTAGACTCACTGAGCGCGACTACTACCTTTTCCATGTCATTGTGCTTATGCTATCGCGAGATTCCGTTAGAGTCAGACCACGTCTTCCATCTCACCGCTGCGGCCTCGACCGGGTCTTCTTCCTTCTCGGCTTCCTGTGCTTTCTTGGGCGCATCCCCTGTGCTGACTCTTTCGCTGCTCGGGCTCGGTTCTTGGGCAGGTGCCTTTGGGGCGCCCTCTGCTGTACGTTCTGCTTCGGGCAAAGGCTCGGACCGTTGGGAAGCTGCCTGCGCCTTGGCTCGAGCTGCCTTGGCCGCCTTCACCTTCTCCAGCAGCTTCCCGGCGGCTGCCCGCAAGGCTTCGGAGCTTGGGACTGCATCCTTCGGCTGCGGCTCCTGGCTTCCTGCTGCTGGCCGCACCTCCTTTGTGAGCTCGGCTTCGTCAACGGTCTTCAGCTCCTTTGCGACGAGGCAGCACAGGGCGTTGTAAACTGAACCACGCTTGAAATTCGACACTCGAAGGGGGGAAGTACAAGTCGAAGTGCCGCTCATATCTTGTGGTCATGAAAAGTAGAGACTCTCCGCACCCCAAGCACACGTTGCCAAGCTTGCAGGTGTGTGTAATCTGGGGTGCAGTGGACGGTATATGCACAAAACTGAAAACCACTGGTTGCAACGAGGCATCGGCCTCATCTGCTTCTTTGACCTCTTGCTCGCTGGCTTGTTCCTCATTTTTTCTTGCAACGACACTACACTCAGGGCAACACCTTGTAAAAGTGACTGACAACACACATCCATTTGGCGTAGCTGCGGCGTAGCTTTAACCCGTCAGAACCCGAAACTCTTGAACACAAACACAACACCCACAAGCGAAAGTTGGGGCGGGCAACTGACGGAGATTCATCTTTTCAATTCGGGGGCACATGAGACGCATTTTTTGCGCGCTCTGAGCACTTCTGAGGTGCATCACAGAGGCCGCTGGTGGCATCTCGGTTGGTGATGGCCGTGGCACGCAGAGCTCGCTAGGTGACCGTGCCACAGCCTCGCGAAGATGCGGAAGATCACTGGTCTTCGTGTTTGCTTCAAATCGCGCCTTTGCACACCAAATCCGGAACCTGTGGTTGAGATGTTGCAACTCAGGGTTCGTGGTTTTCCGTCCAAGAGAGGAGAGAGATCTACAGAAATATGGAAAGAGACAGAGACACAGACAGAGTGTAGGCTCGGTCGGAGTTGCACCATGACATGTGACTTATTCAACATGGCAAGTTATCCCTCAATCATACGGATGCAGTCTTCTTTAAGGGAAGACTGCACATGACGGAGAACTTGCAATTCCCACCATGAACTTGCTGTGTTCGGTGTTGATCTGGAATGGCAAAAAAAGTCTAGTTCTCCCAGATTTCGGCTGGAACAGCCATTAAGACGGCATCGAACACATGGGATCCAGCACAAATCAGTGTTCAGGTCCACTCATAGCACTCATGCCTCAATGTCCCGCCTGCACTCCAACACCCTACACTCCTAAACCGAAGAGAGAAGGACCCAATGAAAGCATGTCCAAGAAACCCACTTCAGATCCAAACGTGCAAAACACACAACACCTCCCGACCCCCCGCCGACCTCCAAGGGAACAGGCGTCGCGAGGTCACGCAGCGGAGGAACAGCTCCCGGAAGATTCGGGCTCGGGCCAGGCCTGGGGGCTGGGGCCAGGCTTTCTTGTGGACAGATGCTGGCAGAATCCCTCAGAGTCTTCAAGCACACTGCGCTGCAGAATTCTCTCCGAGAGACGGTGGCGCCGCCGTGGCGTCGTTGAGTGAGGTGCTCCTGCGGTTCTGTTCGCTCACTGCAGAACGTATATTTGGGAACTTGGCCTACAGAAACTCCCCTGGCGAAATGAAGGAACCAAGATTGGCCCTGGTCTCTCTGTCAGCTACACCCACTGCCAGACTGGTGAAACAACGCGATCAGAAAGGGTGCTTGCACAGGTCACAGGTCACGGAACGTGTGCAGAAGCCCTCCTGGCTGTTTCGCATGCTCCGAACTCTGGCCTCGATGGCGCCTGCATCCTGGATCTCGTCTTCGATGCACAGACAGCCTGATTCGCACGAGTATTACACAGACTTGAAGAGTTGCCGTTCGCCAACCCACAAAATTGCTCTACAACGTGCCTTTTCAAGTTCTTCCTCGCCCTTGGGACAACTTGCGTCTTCTGCCACCTCAGATATGGCCTGATCGTGCTTGGTTGTATCGTCCCTCTCTGCTTGCTGAGCTGGCTTCGGTGCATCCGTTTGCTCTTCCGTGCTTGCTGCTGGTGTTGCTGGTGTTTCTGCCACTTGTGGCTCGTCTGTGGCTTCCACCAAGTGCCCCTGGGCGTCGCCTGGAACAGGATCTGCGTGAGGTGTCTCAGCCTGGTCGCCATTTAACGCATCGGCAGTTGATGGGGGCATCGGCTGTGCGTCGACGCCTGTAGTTTCTGTCTTCATGGGCTCTGCGCTAATAGTCTCTTCCTGCGGTTCTAAGACGTCTGCAGAGCTGGCTTTTGGCGCTGCATCAGATGCCACCAGCTCCTGCTCGAAGTTCGGCGCGTCGGCAACAACTGTCTCTGCAGCCTGTGCTGGCGTGAATAAACCAACATCTCTTTGGCTGGGTTCATCAACTCTGGGGATTGCCGCATCGTTCTCTGCAGGCGCCAGATCCGCCTTGCAGGGTTTGCCACATCATGCATTGACACACCTATGTACCTTAACCAATGGAGACTTTGTTGTGCGCCCGTGGAAAACGGGAAGGGCATCTTGCAGCACGAAATTGGTGGTTTTTTCCCTGACCGACACAGAAAAGCTGAGCACGGCCCCAGACAGTGCTAGTCAGCTGCTAGTCCTTTTCAGCTTGCTGTCTTGTAGAATCTTGTACCAAACAGCTTCGCACGTGCTGAAGGTCAGTCGGAGACCTGTTCTCTTGGTCGTTCAACACCAGCGTACTGCACCGCTGTTTTCGCATTTTGGCCACTTAGGTAGTGGGTCATCGCAGGAGGGGAATGCAGAGAAGTTGCCCAACGAGTAGCAGCAAAAAGATGCTGCAGAGACTAAAGCAGCGAAGCAGAAGAAGCAAGATAAGTTGGCCAAGGATACAGCTGGAAGCAACACAGAAGGAGTATAAAACCGTCAAGGGCGCACAGTTAGCTGCTAGAAAGGCAAAAGGAGAAAGGGGAGAAGTTCGCCAAGGAGGCAGAGTAGGTAGCAGCAGAACAGCCCGCCAAAGCGATAGCCAAAGCTGCGCAAAAGATGGAGGAGGAGCGGCTGGCCAATGTAGCAGCCGAAGCGCTGCAAAAGGCAGAGGAGGAGAAGGAAACAGTAAACAGCCGAAGCAGTGTACAAGGCGGAGCCAGGCCAGATCAGTTGGCCACGAGGAGCCGAAGTATCTGCTATAGGCAGGCTCCAAGATATGCTTGCTTGCGCTTCACTACAGAACATCTGCGAAGGGAGATATAAAAAAAAAAAAAGCTCCACAGGCAAGCACGTGCCTGATAGTTTAACCACTGTTCTTTTCTGGCAGGACGTCTTTGCTGTTCATGTTAGCCAGCGGCCAGCACTTAACTGTGTTGCAACAATGGCCCAGGAAGCGACTTTAACTTTGCCTGGCCATTGCAAGTTAGCAGTCGAGACAGCCAGCCGGACAAGGCAGCTCAGAAGGCGTGGGGGAGGCTGGCCAAGCGACTAGCCGAGGAAGCAGGAAGAGCGTTTGGCCAAGGAAGCAGCAAAGAAAGGCGATTGCTGAAGGAAGAGGTTGAAGCAGCTCAGAAAACAGAAGAGCCTGCCCAGAAGGAAGCAGGCGAATCCTCCGCCTTCCGCACTTCTTCACTGGCCTCCTCACGGACGGGCTGTTCCTCCCCCTCTTGGCATCGTCCTCCATTTGCTGAGCTTCCTGCCCCTTCCGCATGGGACACCCTGCAAACTTCCAACCACCCATGCGCCCTCCTTACGCCAAGATTCCCTGCGCTATCTGACGCTAAAGATGCAGCTGGACTGCGAGCTTCGTGAACTCTAAGCTAGGCAGCAAGGCCTCGACTCGGCTAACTCAGTGCTGCAACAGCATGCGCATTGCCCGATAGCACGTCCTTGTCTAGCGGAGTCTAGCGGAGTCTAGCGGAGTCGAGCGTGTCTCTATGATGTGTTATGTCTTCTCGGCGCAATTCAAACAATCAAGAGTGAGAGAGAGCAAAGGCCACGTCTTCCATCTCACCGCTGCGGCCTCGACCGCCGGGTCTTCTTCCTTCTCGGCTTCCTGTGCTTTCTTGGGCGCATCCCCTGTGCTGACTCTTTCGCTGCTCGGGCTCGATTCTTGGGCAGGTGCCTTTGGGGCGCCCTCTGCTGTACGTTCTGCTTCGGGCAAAGGCTCGGAACGTTGGGAAGCTGCCTGCGCCTTGGCTCGAGCTGCCTTGGCCGCCTTCACCTTCTCCAGCAGCTTCCCAGCGGCTGCCCGCAAGGCTTCGGAGCTTGGGACTGCATCCTTCGGCTGCTGCTCCTGGCTTCCTGCTGCTGGCCGCACTTCCTTAGGACTCAGAAAGAAACACGTCAAACTCAGGCTCAAGCAGAAAACTCAGTGAGCACCCCCAAACGACAGGTGGGTGGGGCGACAGCTGACACAGGTTCTTTCACGATATGGATATCGGACGGAATCAGGCCTCAAAGCCCTGAGCACTCTGCAAGCCCTAGCCCTCACTTCAACACGACATCCCAAAAGACCGACGGGACTTGAAAGCACAAAACCACAAGACGAAACGCCGCAGAAACCCAAATCTGTTCGGCTGTCTGCGCTCTTCTTGGACTCCTCGTGTCTCCCAAGCTCTTTAGAATCAGCTGCGAGCTCTCTCCCCCGTCGAAGCTGTTGAGCTTCGAAGTCATTTTGCAATCTTCGGGGCTCACACACTTTCACGTCTTCATCCCAGAAGGTCTTCTTCACACAACTTATGCCTTGTTGAGTATGTGCAAAGGCCTTTTGCCAACAAAAGTTGCAAGGCAAGGCCTCCCCGACTGCTGCTGCAAACCGAACCAGATACTGTCCTTGTGCCCCGCAGGGTTCGTAACATGAGCATGAACAAGACTTGTCGGGAACATCTCGGCAAAAGCACAAGCCGCAAGAGCCTATGTTTTGGATGGCATCGAATTGCTGGTCTTAGGGTCCAAAATTTTGTGTGTCTGATATCACATGTGCCGTTCATGCCTCTCTAACCACATGGACTTCTGTCGTCAACAATTTCATAATAGTCTATCACATTCATTCCCATACCCCTTGTTGCCCTTGACCTTGGGCCTTGGCTTGCACTCCAAAACCTCAAGACAAATCTGAACCCCGACTATATTCGAAGGCGAACTTTCTAAAGCCACCTGGCTCTTCCCCTTTGATTTGTGACTGGTCAGCTACAACCTTCCCGAAAGATAGGAAGACCCCCCCAACTAGGGACACGTCATGTCACTATCACTACGGAAACTCCATGAAAGGGCCCTTCCAAGCGGGCGGCTCTTGAGGTGGGCGCTGGCAACTCTGCCGTTTCCGCTTCGGCCTCCATGCCAGAGCGAGGGGACCAGCCAGTCTGAACAGTCACGGCAAATCTGCCTCATCCTCCTCCTTCTCGGCCTTGGCTTTCGCCAGGGCGTCCTTTTCCTGTGCCAGGGCTTCAGAGATGCGCAATGCGGGCCTCTGCACGAATTGGTCCGCCTTGCAGCGCATGCTGAGACTGTGCAAGCGACAACAGAAACCTCGCGAAATGCCTCGCAACTCTAATTCGGTAATTCCACAAAATTAAGCACACATGCCTTGCGAGTCTAACACTTATCTTGCAGATGCAAAACCAAAGTCATTGCAGAACCAGCCAAATCAACCAGCCACACCGACTAGCCCAGCCCAGGGCTACCAAATTTAAGGGTTTTGAGGGGATCTTGATTAACCCTCAACTGTTCATGCAGACACACAGGACAGCAGGTGTTTTGGGCAGCTTGCAGGGCCACCCTGGCCCGAGAGCTATGAACCCTCCAGGGTAACGTCGATACCGATGGGCGCACACCACACCCCTTGGGCAAACAGAGATGCAAGTCCGACATGATCGATGAGGGTTACGTGTGCGCCTTGGGCTAACCCAGCAAACCTCACAGCAACACCTCAGAGGATTCTGGACTGGAATCTCCGGAAAACCCGTGGAGGTGGGCCATGGGAAAGGCCCACAGAGAGGTTCTGCGAGGCCTCAGGAGGGAAAAGTCACTTTTTGAAATTTCAGGTCGCCAAAGAAGCCTATTAGGGGCATTTAAAGGGTTTCTCGAGGCCTTCCCGGGCCTGCCACGAGCCTTGCTGAAATGACGACTGTTCAAGTCACCTGCTTCCTGAATTCACATGTCGAATCCTGAAAAAGTGGGGAAATATAGGTTTGAAGAACTTACACCCCGCCCGCGCCGGGCTTCCTCAGACTGTTCAAGTGCTGATTCGCCAAGCTCCAACCTCCTCCTCTGCGCGAGCCTTCTCCACAGCCGCTTCTTCCTGCTCAGCCAGGCACACCCGCAATGTAGCACAGCAGAACAGGCTATGGACAAGGATCACCCAATTTCACCTACTTGCTCGTCTTTGCTGGGAGACATGCGCCCTGTCTGAGGCACCTCTTGTCGTTGCCGCTCTGTCTCTTCTAGTCGCGCGCTCTCCTGCACGCTCTGCTCTGCAATAATCATCTAACACGTGGAAGAAAGCCCAAGGCGCATGGTTCTCACGTCGCTAAACCCTCGTACGAGGATTTAGCGAATAGGAATTAGGCCCCCGTGGGCCTTACCCCAGGATTTGGCAAAAAGTGGCCGATTCCAGTGTAATTTTGAATAAAAATTTATATAGCAGAAATTACCCCCTCATTTTCCAGATTTTTTGGGCTCGAAACCCTCGTCGCAAAACACAACTGATTAGGCCCGTTTAGACCCAGTACATAAACACGGGGGCAAGCTTTGTCCAGCTGGTGAGGCGAGCGTACTTAACACACAACATGCCAGAATATCCCCACAACCGCCTCTGCTTCTGCACGCGCCGCCTGGAGCGCCTCTTCCTGCCCAAAGCTGTGCAGATGGAAGATGGCTGCATTGCCAGAGCAACAAGTCTACGCTAGAATGCAACTGCGTGACGCGTTGAATTACTTTCGCACCTCGCGTCTCTTCTCCTCCTCTAGTCGTACCCTCTCCTGCCAGACAGCAGAGGAGTCATGTTAAGGCTACGAGGCTAGCAGGGGCTTTGTACCTCTGTATACTGATACAAGTTTTGAAGTCTGCCGTCCCAAAGTCCCAAAGCGTGGCGACTCTGGCGCATGCTGCACATGCCACAAATTGCAAGCACGTCTCCTGCTCGGCCTGGGCTTTCTCGAGCGCAGCTTTCTCCTGTGATAAGGAATCAGAGATGCACGAAGTGGGCCACACACGTATCCGAACATGAAAACACCGATCTCCATGAACGACTCTGCATTGCTCCAAAGCAATTCCAACACGTGCTCTTGCAGCATATCCAGTCACGCCTCCTGTCTGCGCACCTCATCTGCTGCCTGTTGTGCGGCATCTTCAGCTATACACACACAGGGATTCCTCAAACTGTTCAAGTGCTGATCGCCAAGCTCCAACCTCCTCCTCTGCGCGAGCCTTCTCCACAGCCGCTTCTTCCTGCTCAGCCAGGCAAACCCGCAATGTAGCACAGCAGAACAGGCCATGGACAAGGATCACCCATTTCACCTACTTGTTCGTCTTTGCTGGGAGACATGCGCCCTGTCTGAGGCACCTCTCGTCGTTGCCGCTCTGTCTCTTCTAGTCGCGCGCTCTCCTGCACGCTCTGCTCTGCCATAATCATCTAACACGTGGAAGAAAGCCCAAGGCGCATGGTTCTCACAACTGATTAGGCCTGTTTAGACCCAGTACATAAACACGGGGGCAAGCTTTGTCCAGCTGGTGAGGCGAGCGTACTTAACACACAACATGCCAGAATATCCCCACAACCGCCTCTGCTTCTGCACGCGCCGCCTGGAGCGCCTCTTCCTGCCCAAAGCTGTGCAGATGGAAGATGACTGCATTGCCAGAGCAACAAGTCTACGCTAGAATGCAACTGCGTGCCGCGTTGAATTACTTTCGCACCTCGCGTCTCTTCTCCTCCTCTAGTCGTACCCTCTCCTGCCAGACAGCAGAGGAGTCATGTTAAGGCTACGAGGCTAGCAGGGGCTTTGTACCTCTGTATACTGATGCAAGTTTTGAAGTCTGCCCTCCCAAAGTCCCAAAGCGTAGCGACTCTGGCGCGTGCTGCACATGCCACAAATTGCAAGCACGTCTCCTGCTCGGCCTGGGCTTTCTCGAGCGCAGCTTTCTCCTGTGATAAGGAATCAGAGATGCACGAAGTGGGCCACACACGTATCTCCAAACATGAAAACACCGATCTCCATGAACGACTCTGCATTGCTCCAAAGCAATTCCAACACGTGCTCTTGCAGCATATCCAGTCACGCCTCCTGTCTGCGCACCTCATCTGCTGCCTGTTGTGCGGCATCTTCAGCTACACACACACAGGGATTCCTCAAACTGTTCAAGTGCTGATTCGCCAAGCTCCCACCTCCTCCTCTGCGCGAGCCTTCTCCACAGCCGCTTCTTCCTGCTCAGCCAGGCAAACTCGCAATGTAGCACAGCAGAACAGGCCATGGACAAGGATCACCCAAATTGGATGAGAAGAACATAGCAATAAGCACAAGTTTGGCTTCACCCACTTGCTCGTCTTTGCTGGTAGACATGCGCCCTGTCTGAGGCACCTCTTGTCGTTGCCGCTCTGTCTCTTCTAGCCGCGCGCTCTCGTGCACGCTCTGCTCTGCAATAATCATCTAACACGTGGAAGAAAGCCCAAGGCGCATGTTTCTCACAACTGATTAGGCCCGCTTAGACCCAGTACAGAAACACGGGGGCAAGCTTTGTCCAGCTGGTGAGGCGAGCGTACTTAACACACAACATGCCAGAATATCCCCACAACCACCTCTGCTTCTGCACGCGCCGCCTGGAGCGCCTCTTCCTGCCCAAAGCTGTGCAGATGGAAGATGGCTGCATTGCCAGAGCAACAAGTCTACGCTAGAATGCAACTGCGTGCCGCGTTGAATTACTTTCGCACCTCGCGTCTCTTCTCCTGCTCTAGTCGTACCCTCTCCTGCCAGACAGCAGAGGAGTCATGTTAAGGCTACGAGGCGAATAGGGGCTTTGTACCTTTGTATACTGATGCAAGTCTTGAAGTCTGCCGTTCCAAAGTCCCAAAGCGTAGCGACTCTGGCGCATGCTGCACATGCCACAAATTGCAAGCACGTCTCCTGCTCGGCCTGTGCTTTCTCGAGCGCAGCTTTCTCCTGTGATAAGGAATCAGAGATGCACGAAGTGGGCCACACACGTATCCGAACATGAAAACACCGATCTTCATGAACGACTCTGCATTGCTCCAAAGCAATTCCAACACGTGCTCTTGCAGCATATCCAGTCACGCCTCCTGTCTGCGCACCTCATCTGCTGCCTGTTGTGCGGCATCTTCAGCTATACACACACAGGGATTCCTCAAACTGTTCAAGTGCTGATTCGCCAAGCTCCCACCTCCTCCTCTGCGCGAGCCTTCTCCACAGCCGCTTCTTCCTGCTCAGCCAGGCAAACTCGCAATGTAGCACAGCAGAACAGGCCATGGACAAGGATCACCCAAATTGGATGAGAAGAACATAGCAATAAGCACAAGTTTGGCTTCACCCACTTGCTCGTCTTTGCTGGTAGACATGCGCCCTGTCTGAGGCACCTCTTGTCGTTGCCGCTCTGTCTCTTCTAGCCGCGCGCTCTCGTGCACGCTCTGCTCTGCAATAATCATCTAACACGTGGAAGAAAGCCCAAGGCGCATGGTTCTCACAACTGATTAGGCCCGCTTAGACCCAGTACAGAAACACGGGGGCAAGCTTTGTCCAGCTGGTGAGGCGAGCGTACTTAACACACAACATGCCAGAATATCCCCACAACCACCTCTGCTTCTGCACGCGCCGCCTGGAGCGCCTCTTCCTGCCCAAAGCTGTGCAGATGGAAGATGGCTGCATTGCCAGAGCAACAAGTCTACGCTAGAATGCAACTGCGTGCCGCGTTGAATTACTTTCGCACCTCGCGTCTCTTCTCCTGCTCTAGTCGTACCCTCTCCTGCCAGACAGCAGAGGAGTCATGTTAAGGCTACGAGGCTAATAGGGGCTTTGTACCTTTGTATACTGATGCAAGTCTTGAAGTCTGCCGTCCCAAAGTCCCAAAGCGTAGCGACTCTGGCGCATGCTGCACATGCCACAAATTGCAAGCACGTCTCCTGCTCGGCCTGTGCTTTCTCGAGCGCAGCTTTCTCCTGTGATAAGGAATCAGAGATGCACGAAGTGGGCCACACACGTATCCGAACATGAAAACACCGATCTTCATGAACGACTCTGCATTGCTCCAAAGCAACTCCAACACGTGCTCTTGCAGCATATCCAGTCACGCCTCCTGTCTGCGCACCTCATCTGCTGCCTGTTGTGCGGCATCTTCAGCTATACACACACAGGGATTCCTCAAACTGTTCAAGTGCTGATCGCCAAGCTCCAACCTCCTCCTCTGCGCGAGCCTTCTCCACAGCCGCTTCTTCCTGCTCAGCCAGGCAAACTCGCAATGTAGCACAGCAGAACAGGCCATGGACAAGGATCACCCAAATTGGATGAGAAGAACATAGCAATAAGCACAAGTTTGGCTTCACCCACTTGCTCGTCTTTGCTGGTAGACATGCGCCCTGTCTGAGGCACCTCTTGTCGTTGCCGCTCTGTCTCTTCTAGCCGCGCGCTCTCGTGCACGCTCTGCTCGACAATAATCATCTAACACGTGGAAGAAAGCCCAAGGCGCATAGTTCTCACAACTGATTAGGCCCGCTTAGACCCAGAACATAAACACGGGGGCAAGCTTTGTCCAGCTGGTGAGGCGAGGGTACTTAACACACATTCCTGCCCAAAGCTGTGCAGATGGAAGATGGCTGCATTGCCAGAGCAACAAGTCTACGCTAGAATGCAACTGCGTGCCGCGTTGAATTACTTTCGCACCTCGCGTCTCTTCTCCTCCTCTAGTCGTACCCTCTCCTGCCAGACAGCAGAGGAGTCATGTTAAGGCTACGAGGCTAGTAGGGGCTTTGTACCTTTGTATACTGATGCAAGTCTTGAAGTCTGCCGTCCCAAAGTCCCAAAGCGTAGCGACTCTGGCGCATGCTGCACATGCCACAAATTGCAAGCACGTCTCCTGCTCGGCCTGGGCTTTCTCGAGCGCAGCTTTCTCCTGTGAGACTCTGCATTGCTCCAAAGCAATTCCAACACGTGCTCTTGCAGCATATCCAGTCACGCCTCCTGTCTGCGCACCTCATCTGCTGCCTGTTGTGCGGCATCTTCAGCTATACACACACACAGGGATTCCTCAAACTGTTCAAGTGCTGATCGCCAAGCTCCAACCTCCTCCTCTGCGCGAGCCTTCTCCACAGCCGCTTCTTCCTGCTCAGCCAGGCAAACTCGCAATGTAGCACAGCAGAACAGGCCATGGACAAGGATCACCCAAATTGGATGAGAAGAACATAGCAATAAGCACAAGTTTGGCTTCACCCACTTGCTCGTCTTTGCTGGTAGACATGCGCCCTGTCTGAGGCACCTCTTGTCGTTGCCGCTCTGTCTCTTCTAGCCGCGCGCTCTCGTGCACGCTCTGCTCGACAATAATCATCTAACACGTGGAAGAAAGCCCAAGGCGCATGGTTCTCACAACTGATTAGGCCCGCTTAGACCCAGAACATAAACACGCCTCTTCCTGCCCAAGGCTGTGCAGATGGAACAAGTCTACGCTAGAATGCAACTGCGTGCCGCGTTGAATTACTTTCGCACCTCGCGTCTCTTCTCCTCCTCCAGTCGTACCCTCTCCTGCCAGACAGCAGAGGAGTCATGTTAAGGCTACGAGGCAAGCAGGGGCTTTGTACCTTTGTATACTGATGCAAGTCTTGGAAGTCTGCCGTCCCAAAGTCCCAAAGCGTAGCGACTCTGGCGCATGCTGCACATGCCACAAATTGCAAGCACGTCTCCTGCTCCTGGGCTTTCTCGAGCGCAGCTTTCTCCTGTGATAAGGAATCAGAGATGCACGAAGTGGGCCACACACGTATCTCCAGACATGAAAACACCGATCTCCATGAACGACTCTGCATTGCTCCGAAGCAGTAGCCCGGCTGCCGAGCCGAGGGGCGCGCACTTGAAGCGGAAGAAGTATAGGAACACATGAATAAGTGTGCGGGCCATCAGTTTATTTTGTGATGCCACAAGGCCCGCTACAATAGGATAGAAAGTTGAATGAGGAAATCTCTCATAAACTCCATGCGAAGCTTGTTGGGCGCTCTCTTCGTGCCTTTATTACGAGAGCCATTATATGTACAAACTGATTGAAGGGCCCACTGTAATGGAATACATTTGGGTCCTCGATCTCTTCACCTCTTTCCTAATGACTTGAGTGCTATATGGTAAGCCCGTGCACGTACGTTTCATCTATGTTGAGTCGCCAAGCTCCAACCTCCTCCTCTGCGCGAGCCTTCTCCACAGCCGCTTCTTCCTGCTCAGCCAGGCAAAGTCGAAATGTAGCACTGCAGAACAGGCCACGGACAAGGATCACCCTAACGGACGAATAAAACAACCTGTGCAGCAAGTTTGCCTACAACCACTTGCTGCTGTTGCTGCACACTGCCGCTAACGGTCTACCCGACAGCTGCCCCGTCTGTGAAACCTCTTCTCTTTGCCGCTCTTCCTCTTCAAGTGGCGCACTCTCCTGCGCTCTGCTCCAGCACACGCAAAAAGCACAACGCGCATGGGTCTCACGTGTATAGGCCCTGCATAGACACAGGGCACTGTTGTCGGAGGCTACTTTTTCTAGCACATGTTTTTTCTCTGGACTTGGTTCGGGGTGTGACAAGACACTCTTGCTGATGGCTTCCCAGAGTATCCCCACAACTGCCTCTGCTTCTGCACGCTCTGCTTGGAGCGCCTCCTCCTGCCCAAAGCTGTGCAGACAATGGCTGCATTGCGGAGCAACAAGTGTGCGCTATCTCAGACGGGACAACAAAGCTAAAACACACAACCATGTGCGCCATTGCAGTGTTTTCGCACCGTCGCACCTCGCGTCTCTTCTCCTCTGGCCGCCCCTCCTGCCAGACCGCAAGGCTAATGGCTTTGTCTCGCACATTCTCCATCACACATTCTCTCGGCGCCCCCTGCATTGTTACAGTAGTTTAATGCCATGTAGCGGACGGCGCGACATGGACGCACACACGGCTGATGTGTTGATTCACCAAGCTCCAGCCTCCCCCTCCGCGCGCGCCTTCTCCAGAGCCGCTGCTTCCTGCTCAGCCAAGCGAATTCGAGATGTAGTGATGTAGTGCAGAGCAACATGTGCAAGTTTAACTTCAACCACTTGCTGCTTTTGCTGCTTCCATCTGTCGGTGGCACCTCATGTCTTTGCGGCTCTTCCTCTTCTAGTCGCACTCTCTCCGGCGCTCTGCTCGGGCACATGGGAATGTGCAACGAGCATGACTCTCGCGCCCTCAAGGCTATAAGGCGAAGGGCTGTGCTCTGAAGCCCGCGTTGGGTGCCATACTATATCGGTTCTAGCATGTTCTAGCGCTTACAGCACATATTGCAAACCCACCTCCACCTCCTCGGTGTTGACTTCCTCCGGCGCAGCCTTTTCCTGTGCCCGGGCTGCAGAGAAGACACAATATGCGCCGCACACCCCCCGCACTTGCTCTTGCAGCAGATCCAATGACGCCTCCTGTCTGCTCATCTCCCCGGCTGCCTGCTGTGCTGCAACTTTCATTTCCCCTAAGGCTTTAAATAGCCCAAAGTAGGCATCATTTGCAGACTTTAGACTTTAGACCCCAATGTAGGACTATTTTGTATACTTGGAGCCCTAGGGTTCCGACGCACCCACACACACAGAGACAGATGAACCAGTATTCTGGGGAGTGAGAGCACATCAATTTTTCTGGAAACTTTCCAGCAATAGGGACTGACATTGGAAACTTCTGACATCAGCTGGGTTCAACTAACTAGTCTTTGCTGCACATCTGCCTAGCTCACGATGTCTGGCTTTAGAAATTTTGAAAAAACAAGAAAGAAAGTGGGTGTCTTCTTTGGCAGTGGCCCCACAATGTCAATGGCCCCTTCTGAAACAATTCGCAACGCCATCAAATCGGTGTCAAACGCCATCTGATTTGCCCCAGCCCTCGCAAGGTGGCCACACGCACGGATCCTCAAACTGGGAACGTGTTCTTCGCTCGCTCCAGCCTCCGCCTCTGGGCCAGCCGTCTCCGGAGCCGCTTCTTCCTGCTGAGCGCTGCAGTTTTCGGCATCTAGCACTGCAGAACAGTCTCTTTCTTCATGCGGGTGCCCAGTAGAGCATGTGCAAGGCTGGATAAAGCTGGCTTCACCCACTGGCTGCAGGCACTGCTTCCAAACGGTCTGCCCAACCGGCCAGTCTGTGGCACCTCGCCTCGTGTCTTCCCCTCTCTTCCTCCTCCAGTCGCGCGCTCTCCTGCACTCTGTCTGCTCTAACCCGCGGAAGAAAACGTAACGCTGGGCTTGAGTCGGGCTTGAGGCACTACGAACGTGTCGTTGAATACTCGTGCCAGAAGCTATAGCATTGGATATCCGAGCTGCTGCTGAGAACGAGAACTGCTGCAGTTGCAGCGCAGAATCACAGCCAGAGCACAGATCTGCGCACGAAAAGTGGCTGGGTTCATCTCGGTTCGCTGGTCTGAATTTGCATAATTCGTACGAAGTCAGAATACCAACTTGAACTCCGAACCTCGGCTCACAACACGCGAATGTTTGCCTTTCCCGAGTCAACTTCAACAGAACGTTAAACCCAAGCCCCAAACACGAAACGGCGCGGCAGGGGGAGTCGATCTGGGGACCTTTCACTTCACTTCAGGAAACAAGTCTGCAAACTAGTACTGGAGGCCCAAACTGGAGACGGCGCGAGGGGAGGAATCGGGAATTCCGGGCAGCACTTCCTGATGTTCCCTGCCAGTTGCCAGATTCGGGAACATGTCCCAGCTTCTTGCGGAACTGTTGGGGCTGTTAGTGGGGCCGGACCTGTTTGGGTACTCTATAGCTCTCGAAAGTCTTTGCGAAGGAATCGTGCTAGCCTCATCCGCAAACTCCACCGCGTCCACCAGAGAAGTCACTGGAGCTCTCGGTGGGTTCTCCTCGAGGGAAATCATGACCTTGCTCGTGAGGAGGGTTGGTGTGCTGAGGCTCTCCTAGTTTTGGAACATGTACAGCACCGGGATTCAGCAATATGATTTCAAGATGTACGTAATGTTGTTGGACTGGCTTTAGTATCAGCAGGGTCTATAATCACAAGTTTCGAAAATTTATTCTGCGAACCGAGTCTGTTCAGGGTACCCGCTATTCTCACAAGTTTTTTCCGGACGTTTTTTTTCAGGGTTTGTGAGCCCTGAGGACTTGGGCTCCAGGAATCTTAAAGAGCCAAAGCGCGGAGAATCCAGAAATCCAAGCCCGGCCAGTTCCATGTAAAGCCTTATGGAAATTCATTACGAAACGAGGCCCAAAACAAATTTTGTGATAGGTAGCACACGGGCCGGTCAGACTGTTTTTCGTAAGTTTGTCAGGCCACCCTCTATAATACCAATTTTTTTTCGGATGATGTTTTTTAAGGGTTTGTGTTTTGGGTTAAAGGCTTACGCAGTAAGGCTTGAGGCCCTGAGGGCCTTGGGCTCCAGGAATCTTGAAGTCTGGAAAGCTTCAGGCCTTGAGGTCCTAAAGGCTTGGGGGGTTCGCCGCGCCGTGCGTTTATGGAGGGTCCAAATTTGTTTGGGGGGGGAGGGGGGGGGGCCATACTACAGACAGTAAAACATTAAATGGACTGCTGGGGAAAATCGACTCGTTGGAAACAATGAGTGCTGCAAGTCGATGGACGGCCTCAAAGAACACTAAAATGCAAAGCCAAACATGAAAGCGATGAGAATGCCCACATAAGCTCTTATGATGCCAAACCCTTTGCACTGCAAACCTCACCTCCTCCTGCACTCCGATCCCATGAGACCCCCGAGTTTGAGCGCGGCACTTCTGGGATGGCCGATGCAGGCTCGGTGCCTTCGCGACGCGGAAGATTGCCACACAGGAGCCAAGTCTTTGCTAGCGGCTGCTAGCGTCTGAGGCATCTGGGAATCGATGTGCGCAGGTCGGCGCAAGATGTCGTTGAAACAAGTTGAAGGATCTGGTAGCTTGAGGTCTACAGTTCCCAGGTTTGGTTTACAAGTTTCCAAATTTACGAAGTTGGAGCACATCATGATTACCGACATCTTCGTCATCATCGGACGTTTTACGTTGAACGGTCGCTTGCTCTGGGCTCTGTAGTCACAATCAGGGCAGCTAAGCCATTCCCTCAACCTGCACCTTAGCGACTCACAGCCTGGAGCTCAATTCGAGGCCCTGGCTGTCCGGGAGGGCATCTTGAGATGAAATCGGCCTTCAGCAGGATCTAATGAACGTATGAGGGTTTGGCCTGAAGTTATGTAAGCCTAAATCTGTCTTCTGTTGTTGTGCGAGCCATTGCGAGCCCATAGCCGTAGCAGCTACGACAAACCCTCCGCACGCGCAAAGGAACCCCCGCCACGCACCAAGTCATGGTATTTTCGACACTGGCCACGGGGTGTGCAAACCCAACCCTGGCGCATCCCCCTGCTAGGTGGTCATCTAGGGCCGAGCTGAACGCTCACCCCACCTTTGCTTCCAGAGCAACGCTTTTTGCCTCGAGAAACTCGACGAGTTTGCACCTCCCAAACCCCCAGCTGCCTGTGTTTCCAGGAAGAACTGAAGAGTTTTTTTGGAGTGGTGGAGGTTGGGTTGTGCTTGTGTTTGTCGTCGTTGTTGTTGGTGTGAAAAAGACGAATAGGAGGACGGGACGAAGAGGAAGAGGAAGAAGAGGAAGAGGAAGAGGAAGAGGACGAGGACGAGGACGAGGAAGAGGACGAGGACGAGGACGAGGGCGAGGGCGAGGGCGAGGGCGAGGGCGGGGGCGGGGGCGGGCGGGGGGGGGGGGGGGGCGGCGGGCGAGGGCGAGGGCGAGGGCGAGGGCGAGGGCGAGGGCGAGGGCGAGGGCGAGGGCGAGGGCGAGGGCGAGGGAGAGGACGATGATGTTGTCAAGATGGGGATTTGGGGAGGAGGCGGGCGGCGATGACGGTGACGACCGCAATGAGTGGTGATGATGAGTGGTGGTAAAAATGATGGTGATGACGACCATGGCGACGACAATGATGTTGACGACCACAGGGATTGTGGCGATGATCTCCAGCATCCCCACGTATCCCCACAGAGAATCCCTGGAGTGCCCTCCTCCAGAAGATAGTTTGGCCCCACAAGCACATGGTCGTGGCGGAGATTCTCCCCTGTGACATGGCAACTCAAGGCGCCGGGCTGCACAGGCTGCGCGGGCTGCTCGGCCGTGTCCGGCATGCTCACACAAGGCCCGGCCGGTTCGACAACGTCGCCTGTGCTCGGAAACCGCAGGAGAAAGCTTGTGGGAGCAGGACCACGGGCTCCCGGGCTCCCGGCGTTTGCGAACCATATCTAGCGAAACGCTTGAAATGGAAGGCTCATCACCTTCCCACAAGACCTGGGCCGCGATCTGGAATCTAGAATCTAGGGTCTTGAGTAGAACTCGCACATGGCATGATGCGCTATTTCGCGCAAATTCTCTATGCGCTTGTTCGCCAACACCTTCGCAGATTTTGAGGCCGGCCTGCTTTAAGTTCTCAATTTCCATGTTCTCCCACGAACCGATGACGTTCCCGCGGCACTTTCGAGTTTTCCGATAAGCTTGCACATGCCTGCTGAACGCAGACTTCTGAAGTTGGTGCCCCTTTTGGATGCGGTCGTGTGGCATTCCTAGTGGTTCCAAGCAGGTCACGGCGTGAGTGAGATGTGAAGATCCAGGCCTGAACCTCGTTGTTGGGCAGCAGCTCCCGGACCTACCAGTACTTCCGGAGAGAGAACAATATCGTGCGATCACTTTCGAAACTTTCGAGCGTTCGAGTGACGTTCAAGTGTCTCCGGCCTTTGCTGGGAACCAGTCCTCCCCCCAACCATCGCACTGTGCCTGACAGAGCGCGGCCAATGAGGACAGCACAGCTGGACAGCAACGTGTGCTTGATTATTGGTCTGGCCTCCACCTCGTCGTCCACCTGTGCAAGCGGCTGCATGCGCGACAGCACGTGAGAGCACATGCTGCAGCACTCCCAAATTATCGAAGATCCCAGGCCTGGAAAGCCACGGCCGGCTCCGGCAGCTCTGCCTGTGCCGGCAGCTCCGCCTGTGCCGGCAGCTCCGCCTGTGCCGGCAGCTCTGCCTGTGCCGGCAGCTCCGCCTGTGCCGGCAGCTCCGCCTGTGCCGGCAGCTCTGCCTGTGCCGGCAGCAGCTCCGCCTGTGCCGGCAGCAGCTCCGCCTGTGCCGGCAGCTCCGCCTGTGCCGGCAGCAGCTCCGCCTGTGCCGGCAGTTCCGCCTGTGCTGGCAGCTCCGCCTGTGCCTGCGCCGGCAGCTCCTGCAGCTCTGCCTGTGCCGGCAGCTCCGGCAGCTCTGCCTGTGCCAGCAGCTCCGCCTGCGCCGGCGGCTCCGCCAGCTCTGGCTGTGTTGGCAGCTCCGCCTGTGCCGGCTGCGGCTCTGACCTCAGCCACGCAAAGATCGAGAAGCACTTGGAGCGCGGGCGTGCAGCGGCGGTCTTTCGCCCCGTGCGCGGAGGGCCGAGCAAAAAGGAAAACACTCTGTACAGCGGGCCGAGCGACAAAAAAAAAACATATATATATATATATATATATATGGTTCAGCGTCGAGCGTCCTGGCCCCCCCCCCCCCCCCCCCCCCCCCCCCCCCCCCCCCTCCAAGCCTACTCTACGGTCCCTAAACCCTAGACCCTAAACCCTAAACCCTAAACCCCTAAACCCTAAACCCTAAACCCTAAAACCTAAACCCTAACCCTAAACCCTAAACCTTAAGTCTTAAACCTTAAACCCTAAACCCTAAAACCCTGAACCCTAAACCCTAACCCTAAAACCAACCCCCAACCACACCACAGGGGGGGGGGGGATCATCTTAGTACCCCATCCGCGGGGAAAACCCTAAACCCTAAACCCTAAACCCTAAACCCTAAAACCCTAAACCGTAAACCCTAAACCCTAAACCCTAAAACCCTAAAACCCTAAAACCCTAAACCCTAAACCCTAAACCCTAAACCCTAAAACCCTAAAACCAACCCCCAACCACACCACAGGGGGGGGGGGGGTACCATTGGGGGGGGGGGGGGGGGGGGGGGGGGGGGGGCCCGCCGGGGCTGAATCATATATATATATATATACATATCCAACCTGAAAGCATCAGTACGACCGTTGGAGACGGTTTACAATCCGAATGCGGACATGTGAAGCGTGTAGGAGTTGTTTCGACAGGCTTCATTCAGCCCTTCGGCCGGGCAGGTCTGGCAGACGTCTGGCAGGAACCACTTCGAACTGGAACCATCTGTTTACTAGGCAGGAAGCTTAGACAGCGCAGCTTCCACTTCCAGGGATGTTGTGAGGAAGACCACTGTAAAGGGAGCAGTTGCAGACATGGCCAAGCACAAGCATGCGAGCCCACATGAGCCAAGGAGAATTTTGCCCGGCCCATAAGATTCATGCACACACGTAAGATCCAGTACCGTCCTTTGGTCTTTGGAACCTTGGGGTTGCACATGTACTCGGCATGAACCGACTTTACATAAATCCTACGGGGATAACTTAATTACCTGCCTCAGGTGAAGTTTGCGCACATCGGCTACAGTACCCATTGAGAGGCAAACAGTGGATTCATCGAGCCGGTAAGCACGCGTGTTTGCGGGCCTGAAAACGGAAACACGGGGCACGTTTTTTCTGTTCTAAAGGCAGGCAAAACCAGAACAAAAACGTGCCTCTTTTTGGGTGTACATCCTCCATGCGTCCCGTCCCTTTGTTCATAGCAAACTACATATGTACTCTCACAACTTCCATAGCTTTCAGAGAATGCCCCTATTTCCTCTCTAGTTTGCAGGGAGAACCTCCGCCCGGAATACTTGCGATCTATGATGATCTATGCATTTCTCCTTTGTCAAGTCCTGTTCGTCGGTATACTCACCAGGCAGAGGGAAAGACGCATGCACACGAAACACTTTTCTAATTGTGCGCTTTCGATACTTCCGTGAGAAGACATCTCCTCTGTCTCATTAGTGAAAACTCCTCTAACACTTACTCTGAATAGTTCACTTTGAATCCCGTACTATTCGCGTGCTTTGGTTGAGTCATGCTCTTGGGTGTTTTGCGCAAGAACAGGGCATGTCTAAAGCTGTTGCTTTGTATGCCTCTCCATTTTCATAGGAAAGCCTTGTTGTTTTGTGCCTCGATATCGTGGAGGAGGAGGCCCTCCATTCATGCGTTCGGGCCTCTACTCATGTGTCTGGCCCTTTGCTTAGCTTGCTCGTTATTCTTAGGTTTGTTGTGACGTTGGTGGCGTGTATTTTCAAAACTTTGTAAGTGCACAACTACACTAGGTCTCTATAGACTCTAAACCCTCAATACACTAAAGACTCTACTAACGACCCTACGCCTTCAACCAAAACAACCTCGAACCAAAGCCGGGGAAAAGACTCGCCCCGAGCCCTTTCACAAACCAATCCTGGGAGGTTTATCGACTTGTCTGCACCCCAGTGATTCCCGTTGCTGGCTGCAGGGCTCCTCACAGCTTCGGCCGTTTTCTCTCTTACTTTCATATCTCCTCCATAATAGCGGTGTCTCAGAAGAGCCATTCTGGGCAAGGGAGTGCCAAAAGTACATGTCGGCCTCTCCTCCCTGTGACATGGCAACTCAAGGCGCCGGGCTGCACAGGCTGCGCGGGCTGCTCGGCCGTGTCCGGCATGCTCACGCAAGGCCCGGCCGGTTCGGCAACGTCGCCTGTGCTCGGAAACCGCAGGAGAAAGCTTGTGGGAGCAGGACCACGGGCTCCCGGGCTCCCGGCGTTTGCGAACCATATCTAGCGAAACGCTTGAAACGGAAGGCTCATCACCTGCCCACAAGACCTGGGCCGCGATCTAGAATCTAGCCTCTTGAGTAGAACTCGCACATGACATGATGCGCTATTTCGCGCACATTCTCTCTGCGCTTGTTCGCCAACACCTTCGCAGATTTTGAGGCCGGCCTACTTTCAGATTGCAGGACGCAGACCCCAACATCCCCGAACATACCCGAATTCTCAAGGGCAGAAGTTCTCAAATATTCTCAATTTTTATGTTCCCCCACGAACCGATGGTCTAGCAGGCCAGGCCCTTTCCCTGACGTTCCCACGGCACTTTCGAGTTTTCCTACAAGCTTGCACATGCCTATTTGCTGAACGCAGACTTCTGAAGTTGGTGCCCCTTTTGGATGCGGTCGTATGGCATTCCTAGTGGTTCCAAGCAGGTCATGGCGTGAGTGAGATGTGAAGAGATCCAGGCCTGAACCTCGTTGTTGGGCAGCAGCTCCCGGACCTACCAGTACTTCCGGAGAGAGAACAATATCGTGCGATCACTTTCGAAACTTTCGAGCGTTCGAGTGACGTTCAAGTGTCTCCGGCCTTTGCTGGGAACCAGTCCTCCCCCCAACCATCGCACTGTGCCTCACAGAGCGCGGCCAATGAGGACAGCACAGCTGGACAGCAACGTGTGCTTGATTATTGGTCTGGCCTCCACCTCGTCGTCCACCTGTGCAAGCGGCTGCATGCGCGACAGCACGTGAGAGCACATGCTGCAGCACTCCCAAAAAACAATCGAAGATCCCAGGCCTGGAAAGCCACGGCCGGCTCCGGCAGCTCTGCCTGTGCCGGCAGCTCCGCCTGTGCCGGCAGCTCCGCCTGTGCCGGCAGCTCCACCTGTGCCGGCAGCTCCGCCTGTGCCGGCAGCTCTGCCTGTGCCGGCAGCTCCGCCTGTGCCGGCAGCTCCGCCTGTGCCGGCAGCTCCGCCTGTGCCGGCAGCTCTGCCTGTGCCGGCAGCTCCGCCTGTGCCGGCAGCTCCGCCTGTGCCGGCAGCTCTGCATGTGCAGGCAGTTCCACCTGCGCCGGCAGCTCCGCCTGTGCTGGCAGCTCCGCCTGTGCCTGTGCCGGCAGCTCCTGCAGCTCTGCCTGTGCCGGCAGCTCCGGCAGCTCTGCCTGTGCCAGCAGCTCCGCCTGCGCCGGCGGCTCCGCCAGCTCTGGCTGTGTTGTCAGCTCCGCCTGTGCCGGCTGCGGCTCTGACCTCAGCCACGCAAAGATCGATAAGCACTTGGAGCGCGGGCGTGCAGCGGCGACGCAGCCGACACCGGCTGGAAAGCGGCTGTCTTTCGCCCCGTGCGCGGAGGGCCGAGCAAAAAGGAAAACACTCTATACAGCGGGCCGAGAAAAAAAACAAAAGCACACACAGTTCAGCCTACGACAAGGACACACGCATCCCCTTCGGAGGAATTCGGCGTCGTGTTGAAAGCTCCCCTAGCCTGCCCGGTAAAAGCTGGCAACTCCTAGGGGGACCCAAGAGGAATCTTTACTATCTTGAGATGAATTGGTCTGAAGGACGGTTCAAGCCGCAGAAATTCGCATGGACACAAAATTCTCTCCAAGAGACGGAGGCACTGTCGTTGCGTCGTTGGGTAAGGCGGCGTCCCTGCGGTTCAACATGCCATTTCGGGGCATTCAGAATATTTAGAACAGAGTCCTCGTCGCTGTAGGGCGGTTGGATATTATGGAACGGGTTTTGGAAGTCGCTTCTGGGGCTACAGTATTAGCCTCCCCCTGCATGCATGGCATTCCATGAGATGGACCTGGTCTCGGCTCTCCTATCTTGTGAAACGAGGGGATCCGAGCGGGTAAGGGCACAAGTGACCTTGGCATGAGTTTCCAAACTCCGTATTTGGCTGGCCGAACAGTTTCCATCATAGTCGTTGTTTATGGATTCATTGGGTTTCACGATGTTTTGAGTGCATGGCCTCACGAAACATCCGCTTTAGCGATGATTTCTGGGAGCGGCCTTCTAAAAAACCTTTAGTTTCACCGATATTTCTTGGCGGCTTTCTTGCAAAAACTCTTACCGATGTTTCCTGCGAGGGTACCAACGCAACAATCTGGCCTCGGTGGTGCCTGCATTCTGGACCCCGTCTTCGACGCGTAAGCGGCCTGATTCGTGGAGTCGTAGACTCATTCGTGGGGGAAAGACTCAAAAAGCTGCCATCTGCCGGTCATTTCTTTCTGTGCGAGCCTCAAGTTCTTCCTCGTCGTTGGGACAACCTGCTTCAGATATCGTCTGGTCGTGCTGGGGTGTCTCTTCCTCCACTGCTTCCTGAGCTGGCTTAGCTGCATCCGCTTGCTTTTCGGTGTCTGTTGCTGGTGCTGCTGCTTGCATTTCGCCTGTGGGTTCTGCCATCTCCCTCTCCGTGCCCGCATCCCCCGGGTGGGGTGTAGGCTGGTCGCCATTTACTGCATTGGCAGCTGAGGGAATCGGCTGAGCTTCGACCTTTGCTACGGCCTTCCGTTGCTCTGCGCCGGCACTCTCTTCTTGCCGTTCTGAAGCGTCTGCAAAGCTGGTCGTGGGCACTGCTTCAGATGCCAGCAGTTCGTCCTGGATCTTCCGCACATGGAACGGATGCAAAAGACACGGAAGCTGGAATGCCAGATGTGGGGATTAGAATGATTAGAAGCTAAGCAGCTACAGCCCTGTGGCCCAGTCGCACTGCTTGTATCTCTTTGTCTACCGTCACGTCCCAGAAGCGCTAGTCAAGTCAACGTGTCATGGCTTCCATCTCCCCGCTGTGGCCTTGACCGCTGGGTCTTCCTCGGCCTTCTCGGATTCCTGTGCTTCCTTTGGCACATCCTCTCGACTCGCTTTGTCGCTGCTCGAGCTCGCTTCTTGGACAGGTACCTGCCCTGCCTCCTCTGCGCATTCTGCTTCGAGCAAAGGCTCGGACGGTTCGGCAACCGCTGCCTGCACTTTGGCTCTGGCTGCTTTGGCTGCGTTCACCTTCTCCAGCAACTTCCCAGCGGCTTCGCAGAGTGCCTCGGAGCTTGGAACTGCGTCCTTCGGGTCCTTCGGGTCCTTCGGTTCCTCCAAGCTTCGCTCCCTTGCGAGTTCTGCTTCGTCAACGGTCTTGAGCTCCTTACGACGAGGAGCTCAGCCCTCACGAGGCTACAACAATCTACACAGACTGCAAAGATCGGCGTAGACTGAAACACAGGCTGGCAGCAAGACACAAGAAAACATCAGCCTCAGCTGCTTCTTTGACCTCTTGCTCACTGGCTTGTTCCTCAAGTTTTTCGCCACTACACTTTGGAACACCTTGTGCAAACGAACTCCGTATTTGGGGCCGCACCTGCAGGGCCGTCTCTGACATCGCTGCGGAACCGCACATAGCCTACCCACTTCACACAAGGAGCTGCTTGAGCGACTGCCCTCCTGGGCTCTTGCGGTGCCTCTGCCGTGGCCGGCGATTGGCTTGGAACTGACGCTGGTCCCTCGCCATCAAGCTCCTTTGGAGGCTCCTTCCATCGGCGAGTGATACTGGCTGCATGACATCATTGAAGATTTGGACTTGTCGGGAAGCCCGCTCAGTTGCCCACATGGGTTGAGTCAGCTTCTCTGTGTGGCTCCGTCTCAGTACTGGACCTTTGCAACACGCTCAGCGAGCATCTGCGCAGAGGCACGCAACAAATTCATGAAAGCCACGACTCTCTTGTCAGCCTCCATTCTTGCAGTCTCCTTGCCGCAGCAGTCCTCGTCTCCGTCTCATTCTCTCTCGCGCTCTGTCTCTCTCTCTCTCTCTCTCTGTCTCTCTCTCTCTCTCTCTCTCTCTACATGCTGCTTGTGCAGGTGCAAAGCCAGCAAGCTACAATTTACGTCAGTTTACAACTCATCTCTGGTCATCTGAGTCACACTTTCGGCGGCAGTGCGTCTGATGGTTCTGCTTGCTCCGGAAGTAACCTGTCGGCACGCCCAAACAACACAACAACATGCTTTCATCTTCTTTTTTTCTACCACACCACGCACATATTGGGTTGCTGACAGTTTAGTAGGTTTGCGAGGCTATTGGTTACGAAGACCGCTCGCAGCCGAGCTTTAAGGGAATGGTCTCGGGAATGTTGAAAAACGGCCACCACTCAGGTGCATCAGTTGTCCGCACGGTGCCAGCCCAAACCTTCCGTGCTTGCCAACTCAAAGTACTCTCAGCTGTTGAGCCGTGACTTACCTTAACCTGACTCTACCCAACACGGGTCTCAGGAGCTAGGGGTAGGTTCTCCGACCCTAAGGGTAACAATGCTGTGGACCTTTCCCAGATCATGCACCGCAACGAATCTCAACTTCGCTTCTACGCAGAAGCACAGTGGCACCTCGTGGTTGTGGCCTCTGCTTCCGCATCCACAGCCGACAACCACGTTCCGATTCTGGACTGCGCGTCTAAAAGCAACCTCCCACGAAGTCAACTCAATGCATCCAACATCATTCAACCATTACAGCTGCTAACAAGCAACTTTTCGAAGGAATCTCCCGCTGGAAATTGGGAGCTGCCTTAGTCAGCCACAATGCAGCTAACAGTTGCTCAGATGGCCAGTCTTCACCCGAAATCTGCAGAAACCGTGCATTAAGCTGGAAGTGACCCTCCGCAGCTCGGGTCGACCCCCGTGGCGGGAATTCAGACTCCGGCTGACTCAAATGTTTCATAGAGTCCGAAAGTCCTATAGACATGTAAACAACAACGAGCGCATCGCGGCTGCGGCACCGGCAGCCATGCTCGAGGTGTGGCTTGTCAAGGGTGAGTTCGAAAATTCTTCGACCGCCAGCCCCTGTCACGCACGTCAAGCAACCGCGCGCCATGCATCTCTGCATTAAAACAAAAAGCTACACGCACCTCGTCTGCAGCACACTTGGAGATGAAGCTCTGGAGACGCGAAGGGGAATCGTCCATGACATGTGGGGGGGAAGGATGGGGTCTGAGGAGTTACCCACTCATTTTGATAAAAACATTACCCACTCAAAATGATAAAACATGACGAAACGAATGCTCAGTCAGTTCCGTGGGCAGGCTTGAAGCCGTAAGCTTTACTTCGCACTGCTCGTAGCTTTGGCGGTGCCTTTATGTAGGGTAATTTGTGTTATCTTTGGGCTGCGATCTCTGCTTTGCTTTGCTTTGTGCTGCTTTGCTTTGCTTTGCTTTGCTTTGCTTTGCTTTGCTTGTCACTCCACTCTCCTGCAAGCCTGCGGCTTGCCAATCCACGCGATGGCCAGGCATGATGTGCCAGTAACACCGGGTTGCGCAACTGCAACACGCATTTCAATTTCACAGGCGCCTTGCAATCCTAGTAACACCACGTAAGTCTCCGGGGCTCTAGTCGGCAATGCCCGCACATGATGCCACAGCTCATGTTGAGGCGCTCTTTTAGACCTCGGTTTCCGAGTCAGGCACAAGTGCGCCCCATCTCACCACCGACTTGGACCGCACCTCAGCGCTACCCATCAGAATCAGTGCATTCGTCAGACCCCACAACTTGCAAAGGAGAGGGGAAACATGTAAGCAATGTAAGCAATGCTGGGAGCCCTCTCCCATGGCTTCCTCTGCAGCGGAATTGGGCTTGCGGTGGACAGCATCGGCACCTCTCGCAGCAGTCTCCAAAGGTCAGCCCAATGGTCCGCACTGTGAACTGTCAGAACATGGAATGACATGGAGATAACATGAGAACAGGGCGACCTTGTAGGATATCATAACAATACTTCAATAATCTAAATTCAAGTCAAGTATGCTAAAAATAGCCATACAATAGTCTGCACTGCAAGGCTCCTGAGCAAGAGACTACTCGGGGCCAGGTCTCGAAGCGGGCACAGCCCCACATGACGAGAAGTGTCAAGGCCTTGCGGATGGCAGAAACATGTAACAAGGGGGCTGACACCGCCCTATGACCCTTTGAGGAAGCCACCCAGTGCAGGAGGAAGTTGTAGAGTCCAGGCCTGTGGAAGTCTAGAGTCTCTGAAGTCATGCCAGCCGCCGAGCTGTGAGCAATGTGCACCAAGCCCCGGGCATTCGTGAGATGTCCTGGAGCTGAGAGCGGCGCTTTCCGGGTGCCTGCAGAAAGCCCATCATTTAAAGATGTAAGCGAGGCTGGCATACCAGCCCCCGTTGCTTCACTTCCATACCGATATTTATGCCTCATGGCTGACCGAGTCGAGGATGCTGTCTTCGGCGGCAGATCCGAACTGCACATCGGCAATGTCCCCTGAGTTGCAGTTGAGCGTAGTTACTCTTGGGAGGACTTACAAAGCCGAGGTTGAGAGTCACGTAACTGTGTGCCAGGCCTATGGTGCCTGAGAAGGCGGACAAGGCCCCGCAGAAGCTGCTGACGAACTTGGACCGCAGGAAGTCACTAGCAAGAGAGCTGGGGTAAACACTGGGGTGCATCATCGAGACCCTTCGACCACAACAGTGGGGTCAAACGATGAGCAGAGCAGCCTTGTGCTACTAATCGCCGACTTGCCCTCGGCGCAGTCCACCGCGGCATCTATTGCCCCTCAGCGCTCCAAAGCAACATCGGAACAGAGACCTCCCTCACACTTGGGATTCGGCGTGCTGTGTATGCGAGGAGAGACCTTAGGCCACACGGAGCTGGAAATCAGTGAAGGAATAGCCTGCAATTGCTGGGTCCTTCGCGCGGCTACATTGGCGAACAGCCGGGCAGCCTGCAAAGAGCCATGGTGTCATCGAGGCGGGAAAAACGTAGTTTGGGGGAATTCTTCAGAATCTTCTGGACTAAGGCGACTAAGGGATCTCTGTCAACGTGCACGCTGCGGCGAGCCCTCCCTGCTCCATTCCTTCCTTCCTTTGCAGAGTCTCTTCTACAAGTAAATCATGCAGAATCTCTCCAGCCTTCGTTTCCTTTCCAAGGGTCTGGGGGGGTAAACCCTCTCTCTCAGCTGTGTGGTGCCGCTTCGGGATGGATGTTGCAATTGTCGATGTTGCTTTCCATCCCATGGTGCGCCTCCCACCTTGAACCGCGAGCCAGTGCGTTAACTCTGCACACCCTCCCCCATGTACAATCGCCAGCGTGTAGCTTCCAGAAAATTTCCGATTTCAGCGCAACAAAATCCCCTCTGTTCGGCTGTGAGCTTTGCACATTGGCATTTGATTTAATTGAAAGCCTTCAAGACATCCTCACACGACAGGCTCGGCCGCCGGCGGGTCTTTCACCGCCCGAGAAGAATTCGCCGCAGAAGAACGTGGCAAGCGCCGCCCTTTTTGCAGACAAAGCCCTTGGCTTAAGACCGCGATGACTCAACAGAGGCGAACCCTGCCACGCTCATCAGGATGCCGCACAGCAAGCCAAACCTGACAAAATGCGTTAAATGCGGATTGCGAAGGCTGTGCTTTAATAAGAAATATGGTCTTGCACTGGGCCAATCGTTCTCAAGACCATGCCAACATGGAGCCAGCACAAGGCTGTGGCGCGAATGGGGGGCATTCCCAGATGATCCAGCCGTTGTACCTGCAAGCGGTACCAGTGTGCAGATCTTGTCAACTGTTGCGCTCGTACCTCACAAAACATTCGACCTCGATCTTTATCCCAAACCTAGAGCAAGAAGCCTTACACCACAGGACGGCCACCACAGCTGCCCAAGCCACCGAAACCCCCCACAAGCAAACTCTGTCATTGAACCCCAACCAACCGTAAGCCATAAGCCCCAAGAGCCCACACAGGCCCAGCAACAGGCCTACACCTCATCAACATCCATCAACCTCCTGTTCTTTGAAAGCCCCCCAAAGTCCGAGGAGCTGCAGTCGCGGCAAGGTGAGTGTGGGCCGGAGCTCGGGCTCGGCCATGTCCAACCTTACTGATTTCGGGAGGCCAAGTAGGGGACGAAAGTAATAAAGACTTGTTGGAAGGGGATCTGATGATGAGAGGGATCTCTATTTTGTGTCCGCAGTAAAAGATGCTGTGCAAGCCTACGAGGCCTGCACGGGAGAGGGGGAAGCCACGAAGAGGCTTTGCCGTGCGGACCTCGAGGGCTTGCACTTTCACGTGAGTTCAAACACACCAGTTCTCCGAGGTTGGCTCCTTCACCCGAAAGGCTTCTCCCACTATCGGGGACTTGTGACTTGTCGGCTTCCGGAGTGGCTCCCGACGTCTGAGCTTACCACCTGCAAAGGCCGGCCTGAAGATCACATGTGTCAGCAGCGTGGACACTGCGCGCACTGGCTTACTAGCAAGTTTCAGAGGACAAGCTTTCATCACTATGGCCCGTGCGCAGCCAACATGGGCAGGAACACGGCTGCAAGCACCACGAAGCAAGCAACCTGGTGGCATTGCATGGCTGGTGCACAACTGCAAGACCTTCATGACTCTGGGAGTTTAAGTTAAGTCAAGCTTGGAGTCTTGTGACGGTGTGTGCAGGCCATGGGCAGATGAGTTGTTAGACCGGGATTCGCTCTTTTATCTATATTCTTCATGTTTTGGCACAATCTTTGGCATCGCACGATGAAGCTGGCATGAGCGATGATATCTTTGATCTACTCATGCCACTGCAGTGCAGCCATTTTGGCCACAGAGTGAAACAGATGGCTCATCATGCTAGGCCCTCCTGGCCAGCTCATCCTCGGAGGCTTGCTCGTCATCCGAGCCTCAAAAGAGGGGAGAAAGAGCTCTATCACTTCCTACACGAGATCCTCTTCATCCTCTTCAACCCTACAGGGGAGAGACAACAAGCATGAGTGCGACATGCCAAAAAAAACATGTCCCAGCGAGCAAGCAAAGAGCCGCGGCTCGCTTCGGCTCAGGCTGCCACGCCGACAGGAACGGGACCGGTGCCGCCGCTCCTTGCCAGGAGACTTTAGGAGACTCTAGGAGACTTTGGGCACAAATTCTATTTTGGAAGTGCTGCCTGTCGTCCAACGATTAAATCCTCTCAGGTTTGCCTACTTCCTGGAGTCCTGGCCTTTTGAGGCGGCCAGCGCAACGAGTCCTGAGCATTTCAACACGGCGGGTAACCTGAGGTGCTTCTGGCGATGTACTCGGGCATTCTCCCCTTAAGTGCAGCACTGCATGGGCAGGACCATGCCTGAAGCTTTACGAAGCTGTACCCACGAATCTCTTGCGCCGGATTGCACTGGCAATGGATTTTACAAAATGTGCGAGGGCCGAGGCAATCGCAGCACCTTGAGATCGGTTTCTCCCGCGAGCTTGGCTAACCTTAGCGCGTCTGGTGCGAAACAGCGTGCACGGTGAGCAAGGCAGCTCCGTTCGAGAAGCATCGCATTCAGAACAGGCGGAGGTCCACTGAAGAGTTGCTCGTCATGGTCGTCCGTCACCGACTGAAGCAGGAAACGGCGTGTTCGGGTCTCATTCGTCTCCGACTGCTGTGGTTTGGTGGCTTGTTCCCGTGGAAGCTGCCTGCCTTCGCAGCCTGGGTCACCGCGGCTCGGACTGCCATAGTCCCGGTGTGGATATTGATTGCCTCTTGCCTCGGGGGAGCTGGATGCTTCCAACTGCTACCATTCCATTGGGCCAAGGTTTGAGCTCAGGACGGCCAGCCAAACTGCTCCGCCCCGCCCGGAATGTGGTCAGCCTGGGCTTTCCAAATGATGCTCTCACAAGGCTCTTTTGCAAATCTTGTCTCAACTTGAGAACATCTGGGCATTCAGCTGTGACGAAGGAGCCGATGTCTCGGTAGAGCTTGGCATGAAAGACCATCCTTGGCCCACCCTTTGCAGATTCATATTCATATACACTTGAAAAGCTTAGGTGTTGTACATATACCATGTCACACTTCACTCGCAACCAAGCCATGCACAGGGCTTGATCGTCCTTGTTACAGGGTTGCAAGGGTGAAGGCATGCTGCGGCATGCTCTGAAAAACCGTGGCACAGCTTCCGTCCTTGTCAATATCATCGGTGCGGTCCTCGTCCTGTTTGAATCATGTTCTAAGTATGGAGCTGAACCCACTCACTCACTCACCCACTCATGTCCCATCCTTCTCCAGCTTCTTTCTGTAGGCTTGCCAAACCAGGGCATAGGCCTCGGGACCGCATTTTTCGCATCCTTCTCGATGCAACATCCATCAGCACATCCCTGAAAGTCTGATAAGTAATCAAGCGGTCACAACAAACAAAGCTCCTCTCCGGGTTCACAGCTCTGCCCAACGTTTTGGCTTTGCCGTGCACCTTCTTGTGGATGCCCTGTGCAGAATGGGTCATAGTCATCGTCATCAACTGACAAGTGGAAAGCAGGCACCGCTCTCTTTGCCTTGCCGTACTTCTCACAGGCGGACAACATCCATTCGTTGAAAGCTTCCTGCCAGCATGAGCTATCTTGCCTGTGAGTTCCATGTTGCTTCCGCTGGCTCGGACAGTCCTCCGCATCGAGTAAGGACTCAAACCCATGTGCCTAGGCAATCTGCAGAAGCTGACGACTTCGCGAGCCTGGAAGTCTGCATCGGAGGCCATCCGAGCCTCGCGCCACAACAACCTCAGCCACCACGTGAGGCGGACGACAGAGCATATTCCTGCATGGCACCAGGCCTCCTCCTCTTCGACCACTTCTTCTTCCTACCGTTCTCGAGTAGATGAATACATGAGCGTATACAGGCGCCTACGCTGGCAGCCGTCCTCCTCAACCACCTCTTCCTCATGCTCCTGCAAGCACTGTCTCTCACGACTCACGTTTTCTCATGATGTGGCCTGGGCAAGCATCGCTCCACAAGTGAGCTCTGAAACCGGAGAAACACCAAGTCAGCATCAAAAGGTGCCGCTTTTGGTCGCGCGAACGTGAGCTGTACCGGTCGCACACGTCGGAAGAGCTCAAGGAACTCCTCCTTCTGCATAAGATCCAAGCACCTAAAACTAGCCGCAGGAAGCGCAATCCGAGGTGCCGCATACTCCGTCGCAAAAGCAAGTTGAATGAACAGACTGCCAAGGATCAGGTGTGCCACCGCAACTAGACGGTCACCCACCGTGATTTGATTTACTTCCGCCCAGCCTGCCAAGCAGAGCAATCGAGCACGCGGGCGCAGCCTGTGAGAATGCAGAATCTTGCCTGCAGCCGCCACATGCTCCACGAGCAAGCAGGGCGCAGGCGGCATGCTTGAGAGGCGCAAGCCAAGGCGGGGATCTTCCTCGCCTCAACGAGCGAGAGGACTGGAGGACTCTCAACTGACACACTGCCCGTGTTGGAACTGAATCACTGAGGTTGTGGCCCGCCATGACTGTGAATCGCTCGAACTGGGTAACCGAATTCGCTCCATGATTCCGATCGATGGTAAGGGAAAGGGGCCGTTCTTCCTTCATCTGCCTGATGAACTCCCTCCTTGACATACTGTCCAAACATATCCTGTTCACGGCCACCAGCGCATCTCCAACAAAAATCTCCGCTTGATGAGCCCATGTTCCCGGCTCCACCTTGCCAATCTGCACAAATGCCGCCGGCGGGATCGAGCTTGTCTTCAAACCTGTCTGCTCCCTTTCGGTGAGGGTGGCGGTAAAACGCTTGAGGCGACTGAAGGTCAAGCGAAGAGGCCGAGGGCCTGTGAAGAAGCTGGCCAGCTGCTCAGAGGAGACCTCTGCCACCTCTCGGCGGTGCACGGTCAGCAGGTAGTCTCCTGTTTGCACCCCGACACGGGAAGCCCAGGAACTGTCCTCCACGTGCTCCACGACTCGGTACGGAGCCAATGGCAAAGTTAAAGCCGACGGGCGAAAGACTCGAAATCCCAATTCTCCGTCCTTCGCTCCGGCCACCACCGTGAATCGCGTCGTGTCATGGCCGACCCCATCCAAGCAGTCGAAAGTCAGCCGAATCGGCCGCTCCAGCAGCAGCTGGTCTAACTCCCCTTCCTTGGGTCCAGATGGCGCAAAACGGCGTATGAAAAGACGCTCTAAGACAGCCTCTAGACTCTAAACTGTCAGGCCTTCACATCTTCACACAGGATCTACACTCAGTTCTGAGAGTCTGTGAGCTGACTTGTTGTATGCTGGTCAACGGCACGCAGTTTATCTCCGACGGCGACTCCTGCATGCTCCGCCCAGGAATCTGGATCCAGTCCTCATTTGGTACCAAGTTGCGATGATGCCAAGCATCCAAAGTTCGCAAATGGCCCGAGACCGAGGTTGTAACCCCACTCAGAGTGCTCCCAAGGCGCTTTCAATCTGAACAAACTGGGCTGGTAGGGAAGTTGGTAAGAAGTGTAGGCCCAAAGATGGCCACCGCCGCGCTGCACAAGCTGAGAGCCTCGTGTGGCCATCCCTTGGTATCGCATCGCCAGGAGGGATCAGCATCGTTACACCCAGAACTCAGTACCCTAGACTCAATGGTGACCCAGTGGTGACCCAGCAAATCCGAGGAGCAACGGGTCGAGCCTCTGTGAACTTTGTGATGGGTTTTGAGAGCCCGCGTTGTGGTGCTTGTGGCGAGCCCGCCAGATCGATTGGACCCTGAGAGCACAGGACTCCTCCCTCCTCCGCGAGGCTTCCGCGGTGCTGCGCACAATGAACCTCTGAATCTCAAGACGTGATTTGTGCAGTGGGCAGATGGGCATTTCCAGTGCGACTCCTAATGGACCCAGATGCTGCTGAGAGTCAGTTTAAGAGGCTCGTCATGGCTACTTTGCAGAACCTCGCGCAAGCTCATCCCAGACATGGGGCGACCATTGATCCACAAGATCTGATCGGCTTCGCGTAGCCCGAAGACATCTGCCCAGCTGTCGCGCGCCACGGACTCCACGACCCAGGCCGTCCCTTGCTCTGCAAGCTTTTGAGAAAACCGGATGCCCAAGTCTTGGATCTTCGTGTTTGCAGGTGCCCAGAGCTCGCCGCCGTCCAGAAGCCCAACTGGCCTCATCCGCACCCTCGTCTGCACCCTGGCATCGGCCGAGGCCAAGTGTTGCCCCAGAGCCTCGTACACGATGGCTTCTAAACGGCCCGAGGCCCTCGCACCTTGCAGCCGCCGCTGGGCTTGCTTCGAGGGCCCCGGCAGAATCGACGAGCGAAACAGTGGCGGCACATGGACGTAGACGGTCAAAGTGCCTTGCGACAGCATTTATGCAAGTAATTAGGTGCTAAACTATGTTCCACGCAGAACTGACAAGGCGCAGACCTGTGTCGGAGTTCAGGGCAGCACAGCTTCTGGAGTCTTCCGCCTCGATAGCTTTCAGGACTTCCTCCTCAGAAGGATCCCGCGATCTAGCAAGATCCGCAACCCAGGCACAACCATACAAGTGGCCCCAATCTGCCTACCTTGTCCCTCGCACAGCCCCTTTGCCCCTTCCCGTTTGCCCCTTTGTGCAGCAGGTTTCTTGGGCGCGCTGGAG